AAACACACTTGCTTAGACAATATACTGCTGTATGAGAAAATGGAAACTTCACCGTACAGGACGACTCTTGTTCTCAATTGCATTGTTCGTTTCATTCCCTGTGTTGCCCATAAGAGACGGGAGCAAAAATGTTGCAGCAGATGTTTGTTGTCTTCTGGCGTGGAGTGGCGGCGTCATTAGATGTACACATAGTCATTTCACTAAGTATACCACTACTACAGCATATGTACTATCCTTAGGCTAGCGTGCGTGCGAGTGAGTTTGAGTATGTGGGTGCGTATGTGTGTGTGTTGCTGTGTTTGTGTGTGTGCACGCACACGCACGCGCGCGCATGTGGGTGATGGTGTGAGTGCATGTGTATAATATGTGTAGTTCCCACTGTATTCCTTGCACAATAGGTCTTCACTTACTTTTCTTTCGCATACAACCAGAACCCATTCCTTGTTCGAAATTAGATTTTTTTTGGCCTGGTGATCCCGCAAGCGTGGAACTCGGAGTGTAATATATTTTTGTTTCACTTTACTTGCACTATTCCAAGGCTGTCCAGACTTCTAACAACTGCTCTGAGTGATATGGTATTCATGCAACCATGCCTAGAAGTAGGGTAGCTGTTATAAATAGAGACATATCCACGCAATCAACTTACACTGGTTCAGTTTGGCAGGATTGGTGAGACAGTTCGTCGTGCATGCTGCCTGCACATCGCAAGCAAACAGTTCTGTAACCTTCGTACTTGCTGGGGGTCTGTCTGTTTGCGTCCCAGTTGATGACAGATGTGCACAGTTTGAGTACTGGTATGCGCAAAGTTACTGGGGTAATATCGTTCATCAGCTAGCTGCAGTCGGAGTTGATGGGGTGATGTACTCTTCTGATCCTGATGGGACGTATCTCGCCCTGCTTTCTCAGTTGCAGCTTGTTGAGTTCGCTTTGCTGGAGGCTCACGGTTCGGAGGGCACTGGTACACTGATGAGGGCTTTCCTGGACGGCGTACTCGTCAAAACTCAGCTCTCAAGTCCCTCTGGATCATAAATGCAGCGAGCAAACATAGCTCGTGCTGCGAAAATAGGCATGAAATTTTCACGACGCATTGCAACATCTCGGCGCTTTGCCAGGTCTCCATCCTTTGGGAATTTGAGAAAACTAACCCCAGGAGGATGATGTGATACTGGCACAATCAACAACACAACAATTTGGCATTGCAGCGGCTCAGGCGACTTGGCAAACTACTTTCTGAAGTGACTTTCGTCCTGAAGAAAGTGAGATTCAAAATCCAAGTATTTTCGCACATTGCCACAATGACGTCACACATACATTGGTATGGGGCGTGGCTAAAATTGAAATATCTCAAGAACGCTTTCTCGTAGAGACTTCGGACCAAGACCATTCGACTCAGCGCCCGAAACTCTACAGGCTATCAAATTTTCATTTTTTCGTGGAGTTCCCCTTTAATTCTAGGTGGCCCCTTGTAGTAATAATTATAATATTAAAATCATCATGAAGACATCCATGCTGTCACTCCACGTACAGCTAGCTAGCCACACATTCAGACTACAGACAGTAGTAGTAGGATGGCTTCCAATCATGTCTTGGACTTCATCGACCAAGGCAAGAGACTACAAGTGGTGAAATTTTATTTTTTGCCTTAACCCCCTTTAACTTCCCCTTTAATACAGGTAGTTTCGTTCGTGATAGGCCCAGCACCGCCGGTCCATGCCTGATTATACCAGTGTGGCAGATGCAGCAACTAACGGCGACTGAGGGTGAGGTGTTGTTGTTTAAAAGTATTATAAATTATATTAAAATACATAATGAGATACACACAGTGCATGTACTCCGAGTGTAGGCATGCAGAGCAACTGGCACAACTTTACCTGACAGTACTTCCACTTTGTATCATGTTGTACTTCCTGCTACCAGCTGACAAGTACATGTACATGCATGTCCCATTCTAATAATGACAGGACATGTGCGAGATGTTTCCAAAACAGAGAACAATAAAGCCAAGCACAGTCCCGGTGTAGCAAATACAAGTACAGTGGATATCGGTTATAAAGTCATCGGACATAGTGATAAACCGGCTATATTGATACAAAATGAAAATATCAAAAGCAAAACCAGAAAAAGCCAGTCAAATTATCATTATAACCAATATATCGTATATAGCGATAAATCGGCTATAAGGATACAGAATCACCATTCAAAACACCTCTTTGTGCAGAAAAATTATCGTCTATAGTGATAGCAACACACGAGTGTGAGGCATTGATGTCTCGATTTGGAGCCACATGTGTGTTGTCATAGGGTATTCTGGTCTGGTGCTTCCTGGATGATGCCTTTGGGCCAAGAAGTTCTTCACTCTAGACTGGAGAAGGTGCAGTAGCATCCATCACGTATCAGTACGCTACATTAGCGCGATCGAGTACCCACACGTGTATAATGTGTATGTATGACGCGAGCAGTTGAAAATCGCCTGTAGTGATATACCGGTTATAGTGATAAAATGTGAAAAATCAGAAGGGCACGTTATAACCAGTATCTACTGTAATAGGAAGGAACTACTACACATCTACATGTATGTAAATATTACCAAGACTCAAGAGTACTCTTGATATTACCGGTAACATGTTAGAATACATGTACTGGTGTGCTGGAATGCCGCATAATACATGTACAATCATGTTTCCACATCCTGATTGCTTCCCACAGGACACATAAAACAGGTTGCCACTGTTTAAAAAAACGCGGACAGTGCAAATCAAAATAGCGGGCCCAGTAATGTCCCTGTGCAGCTATCAACTTGCACTGTCCCCAGCTGTCTAGGATACTTATCCAAAAAGTCTTCTTCTAGATATCTGATACCGACCTCAAGATTTCCAGAACAGAACTAATACCACAAACTACAAACCGCATTGATCTCTGGTGGTCCATGGGACTGTGGTCACACACTGGGTTACTGTCCAGACATGCGAGCAGGAATGGCGTACGAAATGACGGCAACACCAGGCAGATCAACTACATACAAATATTAGAAATCAACTTGAAAAATTACAGCCATGAGCTGGTCACAGTCGTTCCCACCATGACTATGTTACTATGTTACAGTATGTAGTTCACCACAGCCAGCACAGCCAGCACAGCCAACACAGCCAACAGCTACATGATGTGTTAGTAACCTAGCTATAGCTGTGCCAAGCTAACTCAGCCAACAGAATGTAGCGATGCTGAATGGTATGCATCGTGGTGCAGACAGACAGACAAACAGACACACACACACACACACATGCGCATACACATGTACCATTGATACGCCCGTCACAAGAGAAGCACGCAATCTACCAATGCACTGGATGTGCACCCACAGATTTTCTCTTTAGCAACGATAGGGTAGCGATAGCAGATCTGCACACATACATGCATGTATACACCTGTGACAGTTACAGATTGCAGACCCTACATGGCCAGCTGTATACCCAGCAGATGCACAGGAGGCTGTAGCTGTTTCAGTGTTCCTAAAACCAGTAGAAGTGGCAATGATGACTGTACTGTACCTACTAGTACATAGTGTCACTGTCATGTCATCTACGTAGGTCACTGTCTCAGTGTCTGTCATGAGCCTATGACTCTGACCATGACTACATGTACAACACACTCTCAACGTGAAAATTGCGTCAAAACACGTTTGCCATGCAGTATGCATGGTACACTACAAACCAAACCACACGTGCGTGATACACGTAGTGTTACTACATGTACATGTGCCAGCTTGTACTAGCTCTGTATCAAACACACGAACAGTACATCACAGCACATAATATATACACCGAATACTCGAAATAGAAATCGTTACAAGTAAAGCTAACGAAAAGATTATTCGAAAAGTTTCGATTACTCAATTATGCATACAGTACTACATGTAAATTAGTATACACATATGATTGTAGATCGACCGATGTGCGAGAAAAAAGTCTCTTCTCCACAGGATTTTTTTTTTTTTTTTTTTAAACCGGCCTCTTGTGTAGCCTCTTGTACGGGCAGAATTTAGTAACACAGTGATTCAATAAAAACAACTTCTCCACAGGATCAATTTTAAATTTTTATTCTCGGAATTTTCGCATTTCCGGTTTCTAATACTGTACTGCTTTCATTTGTGGAAGAAATAATCGAAACAAACAGTGTAATCGTTTCACCTGTACTATTAGACTACTGTGCATAGTACAACCAAACAACACTTGAACCTAAAGTTTTAGTTTCACGAAAAGATCGAAACTTACGGACAGCCCCCTAACTTCAGCTAACTCGGTTCAGAAAACCACTCGAACAGATGTTCCGTCCATCCGGTGATCACTGCACAACATTCCTCTCCAAGAGGCACTTTGACCTCACTTTAGCAGAGGGACATTGGCCCAGAGGCACTTGGAATGTTTGGCCCCATATGGAAATTGTGTTCCCAGTAGCCTGTTTTGAATAGAAGCCTGTTTTTTGAGGTGCACTGTCGGCACATAGGCTGAGTTTTAATGTTGACATACATGGAACTACCTGGCTTGAATAGAAGCCTGGTTTGAATAGAAGCCTAACCTTGACATTGGCTTCTACAGGAATAAGTCTGGCTTTTGTACGCGACATTACGGTAACTTATTATATTCTTTCATAGTGCTTGGAATTATTCCCTCCTGTTTATCACCATCATCACCTAAACTCACAGAGTATACAGCACACGGGGGTGGGGGCAGGCAGCCAAGCACCATCCCTGGTAAGACACTGGCAAGCATCATGACCAGGCACACACACACACACACTCTCTCTCTCTCTCTCTCTCTCTCTCTCTCTCTCTCTCACCCACCCACCCACCAATACCATACCAGGAAGAAATGTCATCCATGCAATACTCAAGCAAGTACAACTCACACTGAAACAAGCAGGAACACATGACATGGGATACGATGCCAGAAGCAAACACCTCCCACCATCCACCCCAGAGCAGTCGCATGGACCATACACGATACTGGAACCAACCTTCCTTCTTTTCTGTCCTCAAATAAAATTTGGCAATTCGCCATCAAGCCAGTAGAAAGCTGTACTAAATACTGCAAATAAATAAATAAAGACCCCTGTTGGGCAGCGACAGTGACAATAGCAGATATCTTTAAAAACAATCTTCGCTCAAAAGTATACTGGAACGTGCCATACGGTGTATACGAGTACAGCTGGGGTCAACCGAGTAGCTGTTCTGTTCTAGAGCAAGAGCCGAACACACACACACACACACATACACACACACACACCTTTGACCTTTGACGCCCATCGCCGGAGGCGATGATAGCAATGCTACGGCAGAAGCCATAGCAACTTGTGCTGGGATTGCACCATTCAACAGCTTGCAAGGCTGAAGAATTGACCGTCACTATTCAGCCTGGTCTACACCATACAGCTATTTGAAGTGACTTTTTCCGGCCAGTGAATCCCTATTTTTGGTCTTTTCATTTTTTTTCCTGCACACACATCATACCACATACTCCGGCATGCACTGGCTGTTGGTAACCACCCAGGAGAATGAAAGAAAAGTCAGGAAGAGTCTGAGAAAGAGAAGAAAGACGTGTGTGACCATAATCGTCGGGAACCGAACCCGCAACCTATCGATTGGAAATCGCTGCACATACCACTGCACCATATGGGACACACACACACACACACACACACACACACACACACACACACACACACACACACACACACACACACACATACACACACACACACACACACACACACACATACACACACACACACACACACACACACACACACACACACAGACACAGACACACACACACACACACACACACATACACACACACACACACACACACACACACACACACACACACACACATATATCCGGGCATACAGACTTAGAGTATCCCATGCTGCACGCTGGTCTGGAATCATCATCGCACGGAGCTAGTTGACAATCGGTGTCGCCAGGCACAGAGCGGTTCTCAAGCGCAGAAGGACACACAAACACTGCACTGACAAGAGGAGACGTTTGTAACGCCAGCCAGCAGGTTGGCTAGTACTCAGGAGCAACGTTAGCGGCTTGCGAAATAACGCCAACAATCGAGCCAAACACTGTTCCCCACACGATGAGCCAGCCAAGGTGAGGCCGGATGATCCTCTCAAGCAGCTCCGTTGTGTGCCTCTCGTCCATCATGGCAACCCGATGACTCATGTACGTATCCAGCTCATCTCTAAATCGATCAATCTTTATCACCTGATGGCAGCCAAGGAACAACACACAAAACACAAGTCATTCACTAAAGGTTCTCACTGTTGCAAGTAGTGACGTCCTCTAGTGTCATCTTCGCTCAATCTGCATGAACTGCAGCCCTTTCCATCACAGACATGCTCAGGGTTATGACCAGAATCAACTTGAAGAGGGATCCCTGGGAACGTTTGTGCATAGTTGTACAAATCTGCTTTGCTCCACATACAAAGTATTTGTTGAGAATGTGGGCCTGGAGCATGTGGCAATGAACCAGTGCAGTGGTTTGCATTCCGCAAGGGAAAGCAGCAGTTGTGTTGATACGTTGAACCACGCATTGTACAGTGGCGCTTTCGATTTCGAACGGGGCGGCCAGAACTTGAACGAGGATGCAGCACCACGTCATGAAGCTTTGGCTGACTACAACCCTGATGCTGCGACCATTGTAAGGAACTCTCCAGTGCTCAACCCCCCCCCCCCCCCACACACACACACAGATATTCCACATCCCACCTACCTTGCCAGGTCTCGAAGCATGCTCCAGTAGCAGTGGTGCCACTTCGGCACCCATGCCCAGGACAAACGGCTTCACCATCGGCTTCAGTGCACTTGGTTTAATTCCCACCGCTCCCAGTAGCTGCCCCTCTGGTAGATTGGAGAGTTTGGCCAGTTGCTCATCAACAACTATATCGACTTCTTCACTAGCTAAAAGAGTGTTGATCTTCTCGGGTACGTCTGACGTCGTAGCCACCTCGGACAGCTTATCCATTATGTACTTGTTGATGAAGTCGCTGTCAAAGATATAGTCGAGGATGATCTGCTTGACAGACTGGCCAATCTCTCGGTGATGATTCGGTATCACCCTGATCATGTGCACACACACATACAACACACACACACACACACACACACACACACACACACACACACACACACACACACACACACACACACACACACACACACACACACACACATGCACACACACCAGATAGACCCCACACAAGTTAGCTCATCAAATGCCAGCACTGGTATGTACACTGTAAAAACTGACAGACAGCTGTTGGAAGGTTACATTTTATAGTGCAATGTACAATCATACAGTGCTGTAAGTACAGGTACTAGCATACGCAACTGTTGCATTCAATTTGACAATTTGTGGAAAAATTGCACCAACCTATTCATACCATGATAGGCTAGTATGCACAGCAAGGAGTCGGTGTATCGGTAGGGACTAGTATGCACAGCAAGGAGTCGGTGTATCGGTAGGGACTGGACACTACACGGCAAGGAGTCGGTGTATCGGTAGGGACTGGACACTACACAGCAAGGAGTCGGTGTATCGGTAGGGACTGGACACTACACAGCAAGGAGTCGGTGTATCGGTAGGGACTGGACACTACACAGCAAGGAGTCGGTGTATCGGTAGGGACTAGTATGCACAGCAAGGAGTCGGTGTATCGGTAGAGACTGGAGACTACACGGCAAGGAGTCGGTGTATCGGTAGGGACTGGACACTACACAGCAAGGAGTCGGTGTATCGGTAGGGACTAGTATGCACAGCAAGGAGTCGGTGTATCGGTAGGGACTGGACACTACACGAGACCATGGTCCCCGAAACGATGTGCCCCTTGACTTCGGATTTAGAAGGTTCTATATGATCTGTGGTCTACGCAGCCGCAATTGCGATCGCAGCCTTAACCTGCTGGCACCAACCGCGGCCTAGACAAACAATGCCACAAGTGAGCGTGTGTATATCAGCCCTGCCCCATGGGTGCCTGGAACAGGCATCCCGGGAGCCAAGCCCACATCAATTAGCAGCACCATCAACTGCTGCTACCACTCCCCGATTAAGGTAAAGGTGACCCATAGTCCATTCTGTTGGGGAACGTGTTACAGACATCTTGTTTCCGAGAGCCTGACGCACTGGGGAGGCGCTCATCTCCTCCGCCCCTCCCAAAACAAAGCCAAGTACCCAATTATGGATGGGATTCCTGGGAGCGGGTATTAAGCAGGGAATTAAACCAGCAAACTCATGGCTAACTTAGGGGCCATCCGTAAATATAGATATTTATTCAGAAACGAAAACTAGTCATTTAGGGGGGGGGGGGGGGTGAGCGCCTGTTCGTTTCTCGAAAATTAGCGATGGACAGTTTGTATGTGTGGGCAGAAAAAACGAAAAACTATATTGATACTATGTACCGTTTGTAGTTTGTGTGTGTTCGTTTCTCAGGGAGGGAGGTTGAAGAGAAATGACTACGTTGTTTTCGTTCCTAAATTAATATCGGCATTTGGTCAGTACCCAAACGTCCACAGTGTTTTCCTTGAGGATGCCGTGCTAGGTTTCTCCTTACAGTGATGTTACCGTGAAGTACCGTTGATCCGCCCCCTCTCTACTTGCTGCCCCCTGTCGATTTTCTGCCAGTGAAGCGACTTTGGCGTATACAACGAAATACGCACTTGAACCGACGCATGCACTGCTGTACACAATACGTGCCAATCCAGGATGAAAATGTGCACAGTCCAGCACATCTAGTCTGATCTTCTACGTTGTTGTACATCATACTGCACTTGACAGCCTTGATCTAATTCCCTTCCCCTGCCAAAAACCCAGCTGGGAAGCGACATGGCGTGGGGGGGGGGGGGTATCCTACCCTGGGGTGGTTCTACTTGAAGTTGAAGTGCTGAAGTGCTGGATGCATGAGGTGAGATCTTGTGTGCACGTGCCACCACTACTCCCGATAGTACTACTGTCACGTCACAATCACATTGTGTGCATACAATGCCAGTACATTGTACATTGTACATGACTGTACTACAGTCTACACTCACCCACTGCCATACAAGAGAGGTATACGATAGAAGAGCATGATGATGGCCAGCCAATTGGTAAATCCACCAGCAAAACCAAACAGTCCAAACGACAGCACGTAGCAGACTATAGTCTCCACGGTGCCTACTCGACACCACTTCTCATTGGGGTGTTCAGGCAACGCTAGTCTTAGAATCACTGCTGTCACACACACCAGCACCACGACAATGAGCGCGAAATTTCCTTTCTCGGTAAACGCATCGCAGCACATTTGTCTCCACTGGCGACGTCTGCGCTGTTCCGCTCGGCGCAGAGACACTGGTACCTCAGTACATGTATCTGTACTCTCCTCCATTGCAGTTACTGCAGCTGGAGCAGCTGGGGCAGCTGCGGTACACCTAGTTCCAGTCAGACAATGAGGAAATGAAGGACGTCTGTCTGCTTGACTGAACTACAGCCGGCCGGCTCGCGGATAAGTCATTATCTGCGTCTAGCAGTGCGTTTTCCAGTGAAGGAAAAGGAACATTTTCCAGTATCGGCCAGCTGTGAAAGCTTCATTGCACATGAGCTGCAACTAATTATTATTTTTGTAACTGCCAACATGTCATGCAACAATGAAAACTACCTGTATCAAAAATAAAGAACATTGAAAATTTTTAAATACATGTATTAATTTTGGAAAGATCGCGTCCGAACGCGCCATCGTGTGCCCATGGCGACATTATCTGCATCACTGAGTTTGTCTGCATGGGAGTCGTAAAATACCGGTATTTTACGACTCCCTGCTGTCTAGTCTAGTAGTATAGTCTGTTCACGGTCGAATCCCGCTCGTGGATCCTTCTTTTGCAACAATATTGCAGCTGTACTACAAGACAACTACAGTAGTTATATCAAGAGTACATGGTTTTCATGTACTCTTGGTTATAATTATGTACATCAGACATGTACTCTTGCTGATACTACAACTTAGTACTCAGCTAGTAGTAGTGTGACGGCAACATCAAGAATTGTGCATGCCTGCTGTTACCAAGGTTGCATGCATGCCTGCTGTTACCAAGGTTGCATGCATGCCTGCTGTTACCAAGGTTGCATGCATGCCTGCTGTTACCAAGGTTGCATGCATGCCTGCTGTTACCAAGGTTGCATGCATGCCTGCTGTTACCAAGGTTGCATGCATGCCTGCTGTTACCAAGGTTGCATGCATGCCTGCTGTTACCATGGTTGCATGCATGCCTGCCTTTACCATGGTTGCATGGATATGGAATTTTACGGCGGCCTGCTGCCATGGCCTCTTACAACCAGGGAGTTGTATAGAACAATCGCCATCCACATACACATCTGCTACAATCACACACAAGCAGCAGGAGCGACACCGAGTCTGTGCAACCGTGCTTTTCTGAAGCAGGACGGTCAATTTCGAATGATTGCTGCACACTCCAGCAATGAAGGAGCAGTACAATGAACGATGTGAAGAAACACACGTTTATATGCAGTTAGTCAACAGCAGAGTGATGCGGCAGCAGCACAAAAGACAGCGAGGCGAGACAGGTTCTAGACCAGGGAGTAGTAAACTACCCTGGTCTAGACTTTTAAATAAGAAAACATGTGTGTCATGACCATGTGCATGTTGCAAGTGCAATGGAGAAAAGGCCGACAAGGCTGACAAGGCGATGTTGCCTCTACGTCTAGCCAGTGATGTTAGGAATAGATGAACGGTTTCGTGCCTGATATAACTAGACTGCTTGCATGGCCAGCGGGAAGAACGATGCTGTCTCAGAACTCAGAGGAGACACGGGCATTACAAGTGCGGCGCAGCAAATTTCATGAGAAAGGGTATGGTCTGCTCAAGGTTTATGTCATTGAAATAATGTGTGTATGTGTTTCATGAGAGAATTTCATGATAAAACATCTGGACTAGAAGTAGCCATATCTAGAAGATCCGAGTGGTGCTGGACAAGCAAACGCACCGTGCTCAAACTCAAGGCTAGCTGGTAACTCTACAAACAATTCCCGTGACATGTGTTTTGTGATGAGAATTGGAACAGCAAGATACTTATGGTTGTAGAAGTTGCTGCCAGCGTGATCAGATGGACACCAAGGATAGTATGGTGCCTGGGTTTCTCAGCAGCGTGAGTGGAAATTAAACGTGGGAAGAAACAAATGCTGAGTGTCCGTTCTCATTTCCGCGCTATGTGTCGGTGGCAGCCTGAAAGAGAAAACGCGATAGGATAGAAAGTTTGAAACATTAGCGTCCAGCACCTGACCGGTGACATGAAGTTTGAATGGATGGAATGTACTTCACAAGATATGCATGGATGAATTGCTGCCACCAGACTCTTAACACGTGTACACATAGCTGGACACGAGGCAAAGCTGCAGCAATCGGATTAACAAGACATTGCAGCCCATGCGGTGGCACATGTGGCCGGACGACAGAGAGCACTGCTGGTGGATGCGATTGCATCTTATCATGGCAAAATTATACGGCTAGAGAGAATCTATCCACGACAGCTAATTTTAATATTCAACAGAAAAAGTGTGAGAGGCCTTGAATTTTGAATTTGGGCTCTGCTAAAAAGTGCAATCAGCACCGACACGACAGCGCTACATGCACCTCACATCATGTTTGCTAGTTGACAGCAAAACATCAGTTTCAAACAGCAACAACAAAATGACTGGCCAGTAATACCTGCACTATGGGTTGGGAACATACCTCACTCTGTTCTGGTGTGGCCACCGCTGCTGTTGCTGCTGCTGCAGTAGCAGCACTGGCAGAAGCAGCGGCAGCGGCAGCAGCAGCATGTAAGCTACTGTCTTCGTCATCCGAGACCTGGACGTCGCCTCGAATCACGCTGTCGCGTGCGTCTACGTACACGGCCTGGAAGGACAAGCACACGCATGCACACACAATGGCCATGCTTGACAAAGAAGGGGGTAAAAGAAAACAAGGCAATGCACTAGAGCCATTGTAAGGCACGGTTGCTAGCGGCGCTCTCCACTTACCCCATACCTCTCAATAGGGCTTGAAAGCGATGTTCAACATTGCTGTACAGGGGTGAAATACCCACTTCTGGATCAAACTGGATCCACTCTTCACTCTTTACTAAGTTTGTACGGCAGATGGTGGGTAAATGATGACTGGCATACTAACTCTATGTCACACCTCTGCCAACCAAAGACACATTGTCCTACAGCACTTTACATGTAGTACACAATACCTAAAGCTACTTGGAAGTACAGCGGTGCTCAGTGAAACCTGATCAAGCCAGTGAGTGCCACACCGGGCACTTGCAGCCCTAGACCCGAGAACACTGGGCTGTGAACTGGGGCACTGAGGGCGCACACCTTATTCACACGATCGGATTTCATCCAGCAGCACTGTACTTCAGGACTGGCACATCATTTCCTAGTTGAAAAGGAGAACCTGAGCAGGACATACCTCAAGGACAATTGAATCCTCGTAAATCTGAAGCGAGCAGGCAGATGCATGCACGCAGACACACAGACATACAGACACACAGACACACACACACACACACGCACAAACAAGACACAAGCAGCGTGCATTCTCAGGGTGAATTCAAATGTTTGCGGACATCTCATCACTGGTTTCGGACCAGCGCTAGCTTCTGAGTAGCAATGGGGAGAGAGGAAAGAGAGAGAGAGAGACAGAGAGAGAGAGAGAGAGACAGAGAGAGAGAGAGAGACAGAGAGAGAGACAGAGAGAGACAGACAGACAGACAGACAGACAGACAGACAGACAGAGAGAGAGAGAGAGAGAGAGAGAGAGAGATGGATAGATAGATAGATAGATAGAGAGAGAGAGAGAGAGAGAGAGAGAGAGAGAGAGAGAAAGAGAATGAGAGAGCGGGTCTCAGTTGACAAGCCCAGCATATCCCGCACTTTAAATACATGTTGGTAACACAGGAATTTTGGTCCCAGTTGACACCCTTAGGAAAGAACGGTAACATTATGTTTGAACAGTAAACTTTACAAGGCTGCCTCCTATACTGGAGGACCACTAAAACTAGGAGCAAGAGATGATGTTTCCAGTCAAACTATACCGGATAAGAAGAACACCAGTACACGGGAACAATATTTGAAAAGTCATAAGGTCCCTTGATCGGCCGCTAGACATGTTTTATTATAGTCTGCTACAGAGGCAGTTTCATTTCATTATTATTTTACTCCCTGATGAGGCCCCAAGGGCTAAAATTTGGAGATTTCTTTTGAATAAAATTTGCAGCGTCAACGGCCTTTGTGTAGTGGTTGTCACTGACCATGATATGAATTGGCATTGGCAGTGGAGCCTCCGTGTTCTAAACAACATACACAGGTTTCACTGCAGTAAACCTTGTACGGTGTTCATAGCCCGTGTGCAACACAACGTTATGCTGTTGCGGAAAATGTATATGCTGGCTGATTCATCAGTGTGGACAAGGGTTTGGTTTCCGGCCTAGTGCATATCCCATTCACTAGAAACATGACGGATCCTGGCTGTTTGCATGAAACTAAGCTAAGGGGTGAAAAGAACTATTCAAATGTTCACATGTTCTTGAACTTACTTGGTCAAACAGAACGAATACCAGTATTCAATTTCTGACGAACACGAACTCTAAGCGAACTCTGAATTAACTCTAAATGACTTTGGTCCAGCGTTTGAAAAATGTGTGTAAAGGCACAAATCACTGCTCGCACAGTACGCACTACGCCGTGGTACGTACTGCGCGAGCATTCAAACAACAACATACTGGCCGACTGGATCAAATGTACATTGTACATGCGTGTGAAGCATTATGGCCGTGCTTGAGCTTGTCAATGCCTGTACGGCTTGTCACGCGAGAACTTCCATTCCTGTTTCGGCCAGCTACGTAGTTGATATTACTCAAGTACGAGGCTGATGCCTCCTCCTGAATATCAATACCAACTGCGAAGCAGGAGGGATTTTTACTAAAAGCCATGTGGTGCACGCAATGGGAACATGCAGCAGCGATGGTGGTGGGGGCCAGGAGCTCCGTCGACCGACTGGTTTCGACATCGTCACGCTCTGGATTGATATGAAGGTACGGTATCTCCCGAGTACGCTGGTCAATACAGTATCCTACTTATCCCAGGTACACCTACGCATTTCGGGGCCCATGGTCGATGCAACTGCGTCCTGCGAATCACCAAAAACAAGATGCTGCCTTTCTTTATGATTCAGTCAAGGCTGTTGTTGTTTGAGAGCGATGAAGACAAGTTAGTTGGACTAGAGGATGTGGCATGATTGCATATCTTGCGTACCAGTGACGGTCAGTGTGATGATAGACGTGTAGTTCAAAGTAGGCTACTTCATGTCAAGATACGTCATCACGGATACGCCCATGCTGGTGCTGACTTCCTTGTCACTGGATGGGCGTGGAACTTTCAACAGTTTGGAACTCTTGCCGAACACTTTCCGTGTAGGTAGCTTTGTAATTACGTATCGTCGGAATTCGACACCAGCAAGTTAACTGCATCACTATCGGGTATGTTAGTTGACTGGGTGACGATGGGCATGCGTCCTTTGAGCATTGCCAGTGACTCCGGTCTCAAGTGTCTTCTTTCATCCTTCGAGCCGGCATGCGATGTGCCTAGTCACACCAGTGTCGCTGCATACGTTCACAAATGGAACGACAGGGCCAAAGCTGACCTGATTGGGATATTGGCAATGTTTCAGTGGTAGCTGTTTCGATCGTATGACACGTACACAGTTCATTTCTTGGATGGTTGCTGGAAGATGAGGAGCTGTGTGCTTGCAACTCGTCCAATGGACGGAAGCCATACGGCTGCCCACACGCGAGACCACATATTGGCGTTACTATTACTCCTTGCCTAAGTTTCCCTGCCCACATGAGTTATCAGCACCAATTTGAATGCCTTACACAGATATCTGGCCACCTCGTAGCACTCGTCATTTTCCTTTCCCCGCGTCCCTTTCTTTCTCAGCTTCATCTCTTCCCCTCTACAAACACTATCCATTCGTGAAGATCTGGAGAATCGCCATCCCATGAACCTAACACCTGATGAGGAGACTCACTTCCTGAACACCGTAAACTGTTGGATACGCGAACGTACTTACTATATGCAAGTAGCAGCTAGACACATCGTATGTCAATCAATACTTTTTTCGGAGCTTTTTTCACTGAAAAGTCGATTTTTGTGACTTGAAAGAGGTCAGAAAGGTGCCCGGTAGACCGACGTGCCCCAGTCAGGGGCGTCCGGAAAAGGGAAGTTTAACTGTACGCAAAATAAGTTCAGCGGCAGCATATAAGACGTACAATGGATCCTTCTCTATTGTAGATGCGAGCATTGCGGAACATCAACTGACAGTCGTTGTCCATGTCTAAAAGAGACCGGTAGCGATGGCTGAGCACACGATCCTGCAGCAACAAGTTTATACGCACACGCACACACACACACACACACACACACACACACACGCGCGCGCGCAAACAGTGCACACACGCACGTACACACGCACGCACGCACTCACACACACACACACACACACACACACACACACACACACACACACACACACACACACACACACACACACACACACACACACACACACACACACACACACACACACACACACACACACACACACACACACAAACAAACAGATCACAGTGTTTAACCTTAGTCTGGATTTTTGTATGCCACTGTTGCTATTCCATAACCCCTTGGTGTAAGTGAGTGAATAGTTTTACGAGGGCAACTACAATTTAATTTCCTCAGGGTGTGTCGACTCCACTGCATCACAATATCATGTGAAACAATGACAAATGCAGCATTAGCAGGATGCACGCATACTCAACAAACGGGTGTACAGCAGCAATATCGTCATGTTCAAACCTTGATTCGCCGGATATCAATGGGCGTCTTGATGATCTCGTAATAGTCCTTTAGTTGCCGTGGTGACGGCAGCTGATAGAAGATCTCGCTGAGCACCCTGCCCTCCCTGCAGTGAGCAAGCATGAGCAAACAACACACGAGTACATTGTACACCTGCTTGTACTTGCACTTTGTTCAATTTAATACAGTACTAGTACTCCCTGATGAAGACCCAGGGCTAAAATTTGGAGACCAGTTCAGAAAAGTTGGTGAATGTGTTGGAGAGATGACTTGTACAGTGTACTTGCACTTTGAACAAACATATGCATGCACAAACATCGTACATCCTCAGGCTGTGTTTACATGAGAAATTTCAACCCGGGTCGAGTTCAGCCCGGGTTGAAAGTCTGTACGATAGACAAAATAGGTGAGCGTTTACATGAAGACAGTGGACCCGGGTCAAATACTGATATGCCGCCAAAATTCCACTTCTAGAGTCCTGTTTGGTCACATGAATACTTTCGCGCGAAATTTGCATGTGCATTGCTATTCAAACCTGGTGCGAGATACGCACAGAAGTACGTTTGTATGATTTTCTTGCCCCGGGTTGACCTCAACCCTCACCTTGGGGGAAGGGTTGAAATCAACCCGGGGCGAAATTTCAACCCGGGTCAAGCGCAATGCGTCATGTAAACGCGCCATTCATTTTGTGTACACGGCGGGTTGAAATCTGACCCGGGTCGAACTCAACCCGGGTTGAAACGCCTCATGTAAACACAGCCTTAGTCAAACAGCAATGCAAGACCAGGTTACGCATGCCAAGGCTATCTAGTCTCTTCATAAACACTACTAGTACTAGTACTAGCAGTCACACTACTCATCAGACTAAGTCCGGCGAGTAAAGTAAAAGTAAGTAAAGTTTGCACATCCGCGTTACCACCGGCTTACGATTGTGTTGAGAACACACAACCAGCTTAGAGAAATTTCACTCGTGCCACGCCACCACCATGCCTGATTATACCAGGGTAGCAGATGCAGCGCCATAAACGGTGAGGGTGAGGTGGTAAGTCTCACGACCAATGTCCGATAAGGGGGCGAACCTCGTAAGCTGCATCTTTTTTAAGTCTGGCTGGTAGGTCGAGGAAATATCAAGAAATTATCACGCCTTCTGATACTTTCAGTGAACATGATTTCAATGCTGCTGGGAGCACCACAACTCCCCCCCCCCCCTCCCTCAGTTTAATATGTTTGATGTTGCATTACATTGTAGAGGACAAAGTCAGACTTACTCATTCTTGTACTCCATAATGAGTGCAATGATCTTCAACATCTGCTTGGTAAGTAGGGGTGGGTTGGGAACGACTTTATCTGATGATGATGTTGGAGACAGTCATCGGAATCGCATACAAAAATGCACAGACACAGACACACAGACAGACGCACAGTCACGCACAGTCACGCACAGTCAGACACAGTCAGACACAAACACACACAGCCACATAGTCATCGTCTGTCTGTCGTCTGTCGATACTGACACTTTCACACTGGATTGGGCCGAGGTGGTCAGTTATGCCTTTCCTCCGTTCGCCTTGACCGACCGTGTTCTTCGCCAAGTGATCCGCCCATGGGCGAGTTAGTTGGTGGTGATTGTGCCGCTGTGGCAGGGGCTGTCTGGTTCCCTCTACTTCTCAGCACTCTAGTGGCCAATCCAGTCCTCCTGCCATCATGGGTCGACCTGCCTTCCTCTCTCTCCTCCTCGGTCTACTCGAGGAGCCTCACCCTCCGATCAAGGCCGGCACTTGATCGCCTGCCTGGTATCCGGGCGCCATTCTCAAATTGGTATCCGGCGGTCCTACTAATAGATTTTTCATTTTGGAGAGTCAAAAGTCAGTCCCCGGACCAAGCCCTCCCCTACCATCGCTCACTGGCTCAAGGAGGTCCTACGGAAGGCGCGTATTGACCCTGCCTTTCTGGTCCATTCCACCCGTGGTGCTTCTACGTCGGTCACTGATTCCGGGAGCATGTTGACTAATGTGATCCTCACCACGGCTGGCTAGCGACAGGCGTCCACTTTCCATCGATTCTACCACAGACCATCTTCGGGCTTGTCTACCCGGGCTCAGTTTGTCTCGGCTGTGCTTCAGCTTTCCCATACGGCATGAACACTGGCCGTGGACTTGCACTTTGTTTGCTATGGTTTCTGACCTTGTTCAAGTTCTCGCTTTTCGTTTCAGTTTCTCTTTCACCTCTTACATAGTTATTTATGGCGTTAGCGCTTCCAGCATACGTATAGATTATAGACCGGTTAGGAGGTCTATACAGGATATATAGACCGAGTAAAAGACCGAGGTCCCCCGAGGTCTTTTACGAGGTCTATATATCCTGTATAGACCAACTATGAGGTCTATAATCTATTTATCGTGTTCTCCACGCAATAGTTTCTCTTCATATACGACATATCCTTGTAATTCTAGTATTATACTATAGCCTATACTGCATTGTACTGCATTGAAAGTCAAGATCATTGTTTAAACTAGGTTCAGCATCGGTAGCACAGTGGCTGGGTGGTAAGGAAGAATGACTGAGATTCACAAGGTTGTGGGTTCAAATCCCATCTTGTGTATTTCTGCTTTCTTCAAAAATTTCTTTTTCTAAGTTGGAGAGAAAATTTCTAAGTCCAAGAAGTTCTAAGGAGTCAAATATAAGTAGTCAAATATATCGTGTATTTGACTAAGCAGTCAAATACGCGATATATTTGACCGCTTAGGTATCAGGGAAATTAGTGGGGTCAAATACTAAGAAGGCGATAAACTGTTATATCGAAGCTCAACGGCTCCGATACGCAATTCACCATTTCATTAGCAATGGTACATTGCGCAAGAGGTGCACATAAGGAGGCACAGCACCGGATTGACGGCCAACACACTCAAACCGCGCTATGGCAACCACTCAACAACCTTCTGGCACGAGAGATACACTACATCGACGGAGCTCTCCAAGCAGGTTTGGAATCTTCAAAACGCCGAGCGCAGCTTTGAAATCAGCTGGAAGATAAAAAATCGCGCCCCATCGTACAGCAATCTCAGCAAAAGATGCAGCCTGTGCCTCACGGAGAAATTCCACATCCTCACCACTCCAAAGGCCATCTCCCTTAATAAAAGGAGCGAGTTGGTATCAAAGTGCCGCCACCAGCGCAAGTTTTTGCTGGGTTACGAAGTGACATAACGTGTCTGGCGTGCTACGGGTTTGGCGCGCGGTGTGTGTGTGTGTGTGGGGGGGGGGGGTGTATGTGTGTGTGTGTGTGTGTGTGTGTGTGTGTGTGTGTGTGTGTGTGTGTGTGTGTGTGTGTGTGTGTGTGTGAGTGTTTAGGTGCGATAATGCGGGAGTATGGAGTGTGTGAGAGCGAGAGGCTGTGTGTGGATTAGTGTGAGACAGTGTGTGTGTGTGTGTGTGTGTGTGTGTGTGTGTGCGTGCGTGCGTGCGTGCGTGCGTGCGTGCGTGCGTGCGTGCGTGTGTGTGTGTGGATTAGCGTGGGTGTGTTTGAGTGTGCGTGTTCATGTTTCACCATATGCACCCAGCACATAATAAGCGAGATAATTATAACAGTGCCCCGACCCTTCCCTCCCTTTTTTCTCGCTTGTTCCTTGCTATTCTGAGGAACGGTCTGTGACCTTGCTAATTTTGGCAGGTAAAAAACTTTTAAGCGATTTATCAACTAGCATGAATTTTGCCAGGAAATATTAGCAAGAACTCAGATGGTGAGCCAAGGAAATTGAAACAAGGACAACGCATAACTTGTGCTCCACGTTTTCCTTGTTTCATTTTATCTATTCTAGCAATCAGGGGGTTTATGTCATAAAAGAATGCATGAGTGCCATTATGCTATGCAGAATGCAAAATTTCGATTGGAGAGTCTAAACGTTAAAAATAAGCCGCATCACAGTACCAGCAATTGGTCTTCCTTTCGCGGTTTGGCTGAGTCTTCGCATACTGTAAAGCGGGATTCACAGAAGCTTTTTTGCGATGCGACACGCGATGCGACGGGATCTGCGATGGACGCGTGCGATGCGAACTCGCGAAATACCATTCACAGAAGAAGTCAGCGATGCGACAAAGTCTTGCTGATTTGGGTACGTCACCATGACATTCGCGCGGTTTAGTACAACTAGTACAAATTTATAGGCAACTCTTGAACCTTTGTATAACTTTGCTGTAGAAAAGGTCAAAATCGTACGCCAAATCGCTTGTCGCATCGCAAAAATTGAGCCAAGCTCAACTTCTGCGATGGCCCAGTTGCGGCAGTTGCGTGGGGTGCGAGAGGGCTGCGATTTGGGGATTTCCCGGTTTCGTGGCAGTCGCATCGCGTGTCGCATCGCAAAAAAGCATCTGTGAATCCCGCTTTAGTCTATACAAATTTTCGGCGCGTATAAATTTCGGCCTCCCAGAGCTAAAACACATTTCGGCCTGTACTGCTGCTGCCTGCGTACACTGTCACAATGAACCTTGCAAAAAAACAACAACATATTTTCGGCCAAAAACACCCAGGCCAAATAGCCGAAAATAAATATGCGCCGAATATGTGTTGACTTGCAGTATGTTACACTCCTCCTTCTCGTCCAGTTCCCTTCCGTTGCTGATGCTCGGTGTCCGCCATGCCTGCTGTGGCCATTCTGTTTCTTTCCCACATTTGCTATTCTCATCGAAGCTGCTGCTAGTCAGTTTCGTGATTTTCCAAATGCAACCGTGAAGAAAATGTGTCAACATGCTCTTGTGTTTCAAATATGCACAAAAATAACTTTATAATTCGGTTGGGTTTTATGTACCGTAATCTTGATGAATTTGAAGATAACCTCTTATTGGCCACTGACCATCACAATAATAAAAACAACAACGACAGTGACAACAACAACGACGACGACGACGACAACAACGACAACAGCAGCAGCAGCAGCAACAGCAGCAGCAGCAGCAGCAGCAGGAGCAACAACAAAAACAACAACAACAGCAACAAGACCCACCCACACACACACAAAAGAAAAGGGAGAGAATAGACTCACTGGCAGGTCGTCCAATCTTCTTCTTCTTGGGTTCAGCCTTTTTCTTCTGTTGCAATGGACAGATAAAAAAAGAGTGTGAGGGCAAAGCACGTCGCTACCTGCACATACATTGTACACACCAGTGCCAAGCTCTGTGTACGTACACTGCACACGTGTATATGCACATCTCACTGATGTGTGTGTGTGTGTGTGTGTGTGTGTGTGTGTGTATGTGTGTGTGTGTGTGTGTGTGTGTGTGTGTGTGTGTATGTGTGTGTGTATGTGTGTGTGTGTGTGTGTGTGTGTGTGTGTGTGTGTGTGTGTGTGTGTGTGTGTATGTGTGTGTGTGTGTGTATGTGTGTTGTGTGTGTGTGTATGTGTGTGTGCATGTGTGTGCATGTGTGTGGTATATTTATGCAGACATGGTAAATGAACATATAAGTTAAGCATGTATGCACTCAAATCTTTTTGCCATTGGCCCATGTGCTAGGAAGAACAAGAAGCTTTATTCAGCCATCACAACTCTTCTGAAGATGTATTATCGTATGTCCGCACCTTTAACCCTTTACCTTCTGTGTGGACATGAATCGACCGAATTTGGTCGATGGACATGCATGCACTAAAACATTCGTAACTCGATCAATTCTTGACGGAATGTCAAAAACTAAATATGTAGGAAGAAGCCGAAGCGCCCAGCTGTTCATTGCAACAATCGGTGAAGAGCTGCGATGCCGCATTCCAAAGATATCGCGCTCGATATTTCAGCCACGGCAAAAGTCGATTTTTTTTTCTGAGTGACTGGCCTTGAGCTGGGGATTTTCCCTCTTCTGACATGCTGAGTCACCTGTGCATGTTTTGAGCGCGTGGGCAGCATAAAAAGAAACCCAGGACAACAAATTTGAAATGTTTACGATGAAGGAGTGAGAAATGGCTGACGAGGAGAGAATTTTCTCGGATACCCAGCGATGGGGAGTATTTGAAGCACCCTGGCGTTGGATATGTGATCTCAGTAGTGTCCAGTTTGAGCTCATTGCACGCAGCTCGTGGAGAGCTTTCCAGAATGCCCAAGAGTGTGAAAATCGGTTGATTATAACGAAAGATATTCTCAGAATGAGGTGAGAAATATCGCATTTGGAACTGCCTGGGAATTATGGTCAGAAGGTAAAGGGTTAAAGCCATGGAGGTATATTCGATTATAAAGCCAGTCTCAGTTATAAAGACACACATTTATCAACCCGACACTTCCATTACGCCACTCCACCTTCTACGCACACCAACACCTTCTACCAACCTACACTTCTACCCGAAGGGTGTACCCCTTCCCACCTGTATCGACCCGCACCTAACCTTCACCATTAACTTAGATACATGTATTTCCCACCTTCACCTTCTCACCTCACCTCATCTCACCACCATCACTCCCTATTAACCCGTGCCACCACCCAAAGCCCTCCATTCTTTATCCACTGACGATGTTGTTCAGAACAACGAAACGTCTGGAGAAGTATCGTAAAAATTTCTATCGTTATTAAATGTTATCAAATATACCACTCTTTGGTCTAGAAAGAATACTTTTTGATATCAGTTATAAAGCCATGGGCTTCATGAATGAAACGACATTTGAACGAGAATTTTGTAAAAATGAAGGAATAAGTACTATACTAAAAAACTTACAGGCCGGCAGGAAGGGTGAACAAGTGGATTTAAAGTCTAAATAGACATTTTTGTGTGGACTTTGACTTTTATGGCATGGCGTAGTGGGTGAGTCACTTTGCATCTAAATAGCTAGGAACGCAGCGGCATTTCGAAAATAAGGCCATGGCTTCAAAGGCGCTGACATACGGTATGTAAGCGAGCAGAGGCATGCTGGGCTCTTACCTTCTCCACTTTCTCAACAGGCTTCTTAACCTCAGGTGCATCATCGTCACCTTCGTGCTTGCGCTTTCTCTCACGCATCTTGTTCTCAGCTTCATCCAACTTACCATCCTCAACCGCCTACGGGACACAACAACAGTGAGAGTACAATAAGAGAGAGAGAGAGAGAGAGAGAGAGAGAGAGAGAGAGAGAGAGAGAGAGAGAGAGAGAGAGAGAGAGAGTAAGTTACAGGTAAGTCTAACAAATGAGGACTGAGACTTACGCCTGAAAGCAGGTGCATGATTTAACAAGCAGGTTGTCAGTCTAGATTTATGCGCAGATGGAGAAAAAAATGCGCAGAATTTTTGTAATGAGATGAAAAGCAGAAATAATATAAAATAATAAGAAAAGATGAAATGAAAGCCTGCTCACAACCCCGCCCAGCCTTGCGAACGAGAGAGAGAGAGAGAGAGAGAGAGAGAGAGAGAGAGAGAGAGAGAGAGAGAGAGAGAGAGAGAGAGAGAGAGAGAGAGAGAGAGATAGAGAGAGAGACAGAGAGAGACAGAGAGAGACAGAGAGAGACAGAGAGAGACAGAGAGAGAGAGACAGAGACAGAGAGAGAGACAGAGACAGAGACAGAGAGAGACAGAGAGACAGAAAGAAGGAAAGAGAGAGAGAAAGAGAGAGAGAGAGAGAGAGAGAGAGAGAGAGAGAGAGAGAGAGAGAGAGATAGTTAGAGAGAGAGAGAGAGAGAGAAAGAAAGAGAGAGAGAGAGGTAGAAAGGGAGAGAGAGAAAGAGAGAGAAAGAGAGAGAGAGAGAGAGAGAGAGAGAGAGAGAGAGAGAGAGAGAGAGAGAGAGAGAGAGAGAGAGAGAGAGAGAGGTAGAAAGGGAGAGAGATTGATACATAATATACTAGTACAGTATAGTCATATACACAGAAGCAGAGAGCCAGTGAAGACTGAAGAGGCCCATGTTTTTTGGTTGAGAAGTAGGTATTTCAGAAGTAGATAGATCATCGTGACTAGGAGCATGTTCGATTGGTAGGATCGGGATCCCGATCCACCGGATCCACTGGATACGCACCCTTTCGATTGGTCGAATCCGGATCCTTCGGATTTGGATCCGGTCAACCCACCTCGGGGAGCAGGGTTGACCGGATCCAACAGATCCAAATGTGACCTTTGTGCGTATATGGCGGGTTAAAATCATTTTTGCACACATTGTGGTACGCACACGTGGATGGAGATAGAGCTTGTTGACTTTTTGTATGACGCATGCGATGAGTACGACGTTCACCCTTTTGGGTGACTTGTGAGCGCCATTGTCAACATGGCAACAGTCAAGGTCCAAAATAAAGTGTTCAGTTGAATCTGAAGGATCCGACGGATCTGAGATCTGGATCCCGATCCCGATCCTTACCAATCGAACATGCCCTAGGACTTACAGCAGTGCACACTTCAAGATCCCGTGGAAAGCAAACCAGCGCTTACCTTGACCCACTGTTTGTCGGTCAATGCCTCGGAGTAGTCAACCTCTGTCCGCTGTCGTACACCAGTACCATACAGTTTCTCCTCCTCTTCCTCATTGGCTAGCTTCTCAACCTAACACACACACACACCAGCAAACCAACAACATGAGTACCGGTACTATAGTGTATATGCACAGCGTGCACTGTATTCATAGAATCAATCTGACGAGGGGAGAAGCCAAAAACGGCTAGCTGTGTGAAAAGCAGCGCCCTCCTACTCAGATTGAGCCCCCCCCCCCCCCTACTCTTTTGTCGATTTTTGTGTTTTCCATGCCATTCAACGAAAATGCATTCGGTCGTCAGACTCGTCACTACTGGAAGGTTCAGAATCATAAAGGCACATTTGTTTGGGGCGAAGTCGGGGGTTCGCCACGTACGTTGCATTTTGCATGGCAAGACAATTTTGGAATATGGAAAAAATGGGTTACTGGGTACCGGTAACTGTTTCCTACGCCCGCCTACTGCAGCAGCATACGTACCTCCTCAAGGTCTTTCTGCAGCCATGGTGGCAGCTCGTGATCCTCCATCAGTCGAGACTTCCCTGACCAATAGTGACCCTGCGGGACACGAGCACAGCATGCACCAAACGTATCAGGTAAAGTAAGTACTCTACTTTCAGAAATTGTAGGTGCTCAAAATTTTCGGTATGAGGGCAAAAGGCCAGGTTAGGTGAACAGAACTTTTAGGTGCAGAGAAGCAGTTCCCTATTGGATTATGTGTGTTAGTGTTTGTTCGGTGTATTGACATTTTAGGTATGAAACAGACGCACCGAAAGTACCGAAAATAAAAATTTGTGAAATTACAGAATGTCATTGTCCTCATTGATAAAGCCTCATCAACCTACAACAGGAGTTAGTCCTCTAGACTGGGGGTCTGAAGGCCCAAAAGACAAACAGTGTGGGACAGTAATGGTCAACCAGACCAGTGGTATTGGGCTAACAGAAAAGAGTAGATGAGTCTGCTGGACTGAACTTACTGTCTTTTCCCTCTCAATGCGTTCAGTGTCCATGATCTGGAAGCACACACGCGGTGCACAGAACACAAATAAGAAGTAGAACAAACGGGAATGTTGCAATACTAGTGTACACAGTCCATGGACAGTACTGTTTCACACTTTGCACATTAGTCAGTGCAGCACATAGAAGTGAGACGGGACCTGGTAGCAATGGCAAATAAAAGCTGTGAAACCTGTCTAAGACGACCGCTCTGGAGACCTTCAAAATGTGGTCTCCTTATCCTGGGGCATTTGACCGAAAAGAGCATCTTTGGTCCTGGTCGCAGTGGTCTTCCGGGACAGGTGGTCGCCTTATCCAAGCGGTCGCCTTGACAGCTTTTACTGCATATCAAAGCCACCTTCATACGTCAGACCATCATCACACAGCTCAATTGTGAGAAGCAATAGAGAGCTAGAAACTGCCTGTTATTAGGAAATCTCGACACGCTTTCAGGGAACACGATAAGATTTCGAAATTGCTCTGACACAATGTCCTGCCACTTCTGGAAACAGTCGGACATGGCCGGACGCTGTGATTTGGCAGATTTCGTGATACATGTATATGTCTGGGACTCTTATATTTTTTCACCACTTTCATACACGACAACACTGCACACGTACATGCTACCAAGAGCGCATACACTTGATGCTATTATTATTAGACTATTAGTATTTCAGTGCGGTGCTACAAGTCACATCCGTGACACAGATCATTGGTAGATGCAACACTGATTCAAATCTCTGTGCACTGTGCAGCAAACACAGTAACTGGGACTGTGTGACTGTGTGACTGTGAGCGTGCAGTGTTTCTGCACATAATCGGATTTGAGCTGGTTTTTCGGCGACAACGTTATTTTTATGAAGTCAGCAAAAGACAAAGTGGGCATTTGCTTGCACGTTCTTGTTACCAGCTCCAAGATCCACATCATGTCACTACGAGTACTCGAGTTGGCTGAAGGCTCCCATCTTTGCAAACATGATGTGCTCTTTGAGCAGCAGGTAGATTCTACGCGACGTTGAATTTATGACTAACTTTCGCTGCTGTTGCTTCATCGATCTTGCACCGGCAGCGCTTTTTCGACAGGAGCATACTTGACTGGATTGCCAGAAGACTGCTCCTTTCGATAGAGGCATATAACAAGCTGGTACATTTCTGATGCCTCGTTTCCCCTGCAACATGGATGTGTTCAATTTTCGAATCGTACAAGCGCATCGCGGAATAGTTCCTAGCTTCACCAGGAAGCGAGAAAAAAATTCATTTCAAAACTCCTTCTCGATCGTTTGCTACGCTCAAACTGGAGCTACACTGAAGCGGACAGCTTCCTGCCATGCTGCAAAACCCTCTTGTCACAGATTGCTGCTCTAACTTCTTGAGATTTCTTCCCAGCCAGAGCGCCACTGTCCTTAGTCGTTCTCTTTCCCAGCGACGCTATTCAATTATTTCGGTCGGACAGATTGTTCGTTCAAGTAAATAAGCGCCGGATGTGAATCGAAAATGATCGGAAAATGTCCGATGTCCGACCGTTATCGTGCTCGCTGCGCTTTGCTTACCACCACATCTCCAAGGGGCCAAATACACATACTTCTCAAAGACACCCCCCCCCCCACACACACACACACACATTAGAGAGGTTAAGATGCACGTTATTTCCAACGTGACGCGCAATTTCACGCCTATTATGGCGTAAAAACTCCAAATTCGACGTGAACCGCAGGTCACTCGCGTTGCTTTTCGAAGTGCGAGCCAAATAACGCGAGCTGAACTTTCGCGTCACGTAAGAAATAATGTGCATCTTAACCTCTCAATTCAGGACAAGTTTGCTCAGTGCCAATTGTTCCCAATCAGGTTGAAGTGGATTTGTGCAATCAGGACCTCTAGTAATACAGGACGGATACATGTACACGTGAAATCCCAGGGCGCCCGGGTGTGATTGATCACTTTTACAGCAGTTAGCTACGAACGGTGGCTGCCAAGGAGCAGCAGACACTGGATGTACAGTGCTGCTCAAAGAAATCCAGTCCTGAATCGATGCACTCATGTATGCGCCGGGCGTTGCGCAGCCCTAGACCTGCGTACACCAGGATTCGAAAAGGAGCAAGGTGCAAACTTGAGTGCCGCGACTGGGTTTCATTCAGGAGGACTGTAGCACAGTGCCTGAAGAGATAAAGCAAATTATGATGACGTGAACACGCGAGACTACTACAGTTTAGCCTAATCAAACAGTGTGTGATTAGGACAGCAGAGCAATCTCGTACCTGGAAGTGTGGAAGCTCATTTTGACCGCGACTGATCATTTGGTTGATCACCTCATCATCCGGAACATCATCTTCTTCCTAAAATGCACACACATACGGCCATACACACAGAGAAAATGATCCGTATCTCTCAGCTTGGTTGGCGGTCTTACAAGATGCAAATTACGAAAACTCCCTTTACCGATCTCTCTACTGCGTTTGAAAAAAACCCAACCAATACGTTCGGCCTGGGGCCATTATCACCATTCATGAGAAGCAAACAGTTTAGATGGGCCTAGGTTACAAGATGGCCGGTATTTTCGCAACACTTACGGAGATAACGTTCTCGGTCATTTCTCAGAAATCACCAATCCGTATGCTGCTAATCGCAGTAACCATCTGCCTATACTAGTAGATACTAGTAGATAGTACTAAATACAAACAACATGAAGGTTGACTCCAGCTGCACTGACTCTGACCAGCACAAATTGATGTCTGCCCCCAAAATGGGTGTATTCAGAGTAGAGCTGTTAAGCACCGGACTGTACACGACCAATTTGGCTACAACATGTTCATGGTAAACGCACAACAGAAAAAGGGACCATCTGCTTAGGATAGCAGAGAGAGAGAGAGAGAGAGAGAGAGAGAGAGAGAGAGAGAGAGAGAGAGAGAGAGAGAGAGAGAGAGAGAGAGAGAGAGAGAGAGAGAGAGAGAGACGGAGAGAGAGAGAGAGAGAGAGAGAGAGAGAGAGACAGAGAGAGGGGCGTTTTCTTTCAGGATAACTCACCTCATTCTCCTCCTCATCGAATAGCAGTGCTTCCAAGAAAGCTCGACGCTCTACACCGGTAGACTTCTGGTCAAACATACCGGCTTGAATAACCTACACCCATATACACACCCATATACACACCCATATACACACCCATATACACACACACACACACACACACACACACACACACACACACACACACACACACACACGCACACAAGTACATACAAAATACTGTCAACCGGGGAGCCTTTGCGACCTGGACACTTTAACGATTTACGAGAAAGGTATGCAACAAAGGCAGCTAGAAAGTCACCCTGGGGTACCCTGCCCAGAGCACTGCAGCCCTGCAGTGTGCGTGTGCCAGAGCTGCATGAAAAATCACGACCGCCATGCAGCTGTATTAAATGAGGCCGATCTTGTACAGTATTGGACAATAGCACATACGCACCGGTAGCATTCATAGGACATGACATCGTACAGTCATGTACTTCTAAACTGGACTCTTACTTTTTCATCCATGTTGAGCTTGTAGCGAGCTGCTTGCAAGATCTGCTCCTCAACACTGTTCAACGTAATGAGGCGCAGCACACGTACTTCATGCTTCTGCCCAATACGATGGGCACGATCCTGAGCTTGCAAGTCCTGCACCACCGCATTATAACACAAGAACAGAGGGGATTTCCCATGTCACTACAACCCATAACAACACAAGAACAGAGGGGGATATGGCGGAAATACAGCCGCTTGGACTGCATGTGCCAGGCCTATACGTAGACACAAGTATTCCAAAGATAATGTTGTGAGACACGCCTTCGTAATTCGTACACACAGACACTCAAATACACCAAACTGAGCCGCAGCGCCTGCAATGATCTCCAGGAACACGTAGAGACCGGCTCCCTCCCACAACATACACCCCCCCCCCCCCCTCTCCGTCTTCTTCCCTAACCTGGTGGGGATTCCAGTCACTGTCAAAGATGATGACCGTGTCAGCTGACTGCAGATTCAGACCCAAGCCACCAGCACGGGTACTCAGCAGGAAGAGAAAGTAGGGCGACTCGGGCGCGTTGAACAGACTCAGCAACTGACCACGATCGTCGGCTTTCGTGGCGCCATCGAGTCGTAAGTAGCGCCAGCCTACAACACACATCAGCATACCAACAAAAACAGGTTTACAGATGTGAGTACACAGTGGATCACGCCCTTGCTCTTCCCTACTGCAGTACAAAGGGCAAACACGTGACAATTACAAGAGCAGAGAGCATGGCCAGACACTGACCTGCTCCAGCCAAGTAGTCCTCCAGTACTGTCATGCACTGCGTCATCTGACAGAACAACAGCACCCTGAGCAGCAGTGGAACAGGAACAGAAACACACACACACGCACGCACACGCACACACACACACACACACACACATGGATTCGGACACAGAGACCAGGTAAGCAGCGAAAGATCCAAGCACAATTTAGCACAACATGTTGACCTGCATAGTGTTCAATGTGCGGACACCATACACACACAAAGTATATACACATGTCATACTCTCTTCTCACCTGTGACCAAAGTGGTACAACTTTGGCAGAATACGATCTAGTAGCTCAAACTTGCCCGACGTACGGAACAGATCTGGCCTAAAGCAGTAAACAAAAAGAAATACACAGAACAGTACTCTCTTGCCTAATACATGGTCTCACTCTATGTTAGACAACATTTATCTACGGCACTGACCTGGACTTGTGTCCATTGGCCACACAGTTGGCCAGCCTTGCTGCAGGGTTTGAAGGCAAAGAAGATCTCTCCCTCCGTGCTCGCCTGAGTGCGGCTGCCTTTCAGGAAAAGCCGGCTGCCCAGAAGGCATATTTTTTAGCCAAATCTGCATCCCGGTGAGGCTGGTCATCGTGGAACATACAGTGGAGTAGTGTACCTCAACAGTACAGCTGAGTGCTGTACACAGCACACTCTGGGTACTGAGTGTGCTATGTACAGCTGGAGTGCTGTACATAGCACACTCTGGGTACTGAGTGTGGACTCGGTAAGTATGTGGCTTTGTTGGTCCGGAGAAGAAAATTTCTTTGTGCAGCGTGGATACACTGTTTTATATTGGACTCATTGCATCTCGCTGCTGCTCAAGCGCAATGCATGGAGATGGGCTGCTAGACGAATACACCAGCTGTTATGATATCAGCTACGGGGCCACCACAAACCAGAAACACTGCCCAGTTCACACCCTGACCCCCTCCTCCCCGCCCAAGAGAACAGCATTTGCCCTGCTGGATGGCGTGACTCCAGAGTTGGTCAATGCTGCGGCGTAACTAGATTGTCATAGAGTGTTTAGAACGATTCATGTCACTTACCCTTGAATAGCAGCACCGTGTAGACCAATGTGTTCACTGTAGGCTTCCTGAAAGCGGAAAGCAAGGAAAGAAAAGGAGTGAGGCGACGTCACCACCAACACCAACAGCACACAGAGAACAACAACAGCAGTCATGTACAAATAGGCACACCAACTTCACCACGGGAAATGCCAAGGATAGTTATTACCAATTTTCTATTGCACAGCGAAGAACAGCAAACAACAGGTGAAGTGGAACAACCATGCTTCCCTCTTTCCAGTTCAAGTCAGCATGTTCATTTCGCTCCCCAACTCGTTGGCCCAACTCGTTGGCCTTTATCTAAATTTTACGCGGCAGCCGGCAGAGTCTTCACTGAAGCTGAATAACAACGAATACCAGCAGATGTCGAGGGAGAAAGACAGATAAGCGAGCGAGAGAGAGAAATAGAGAGAGAGAGAGAACGAGAAGGAAAGAGAGAGACTTCACACAAAAGGAAATCAAGCCATACCTCCATTGCCTGGAAGAGGAAAGGATGATTACAGATCTTCCTGAGCTGAACGATAGTGTTCATGAGTGTCTTTGTACCACCCTTGCCCTGGAGAAGACAAGCCATGACAAGCCACAAAACAAAAACAGCAAAGCAAGTGTTGAGCAGTATATTCGACTGGCTCCTTCGAACACAACACCTTTTGCAATCGAATCAAATAAAAAGGATTACTTTTGGCAGTGGCACAAGACTCAAGAGTTAGCCCCCAAACACACTGTACTATATATTTGTACTGTGTGTTTCATAGTAATGTCGTGCGAGGTATGCTGGTTTTACACCTTTGTCTATCATACAAAAGATTACAAAGAAAGTGAGCTATACAGTTATGATACAGGTTGTAGTGATCATCACCACCAGCAGCACTGCCACCACCAGCAGCACTGCCACCACCAGCAGCACTGCCACCAGCAGCACTGCCACCAGCAGCAGCACTGCCACCAGCAGCACTGCCACCACCACCAGCACTGCCACCACCAGCACTGCCACCACCAGCAGCACTGCCACCACCAGCACTGCCACCACCAGCACTGCCACCACCAGCACTGCCACCACCAGCACTGCCACCACCAGCACTGCCACCACCAGCAGCACTGCCACCACCACCAGCACTGCCACCACCAGCGGCACTGCCACCACCAGCGCAATCCAGTGCAGTGCTGCAAATAAAGAGGTTATGTTGAGTGCTATTGAGCGCCTGCCTTTTTTATCTTGTTAGTTGTAGATCGACTCAAACAAGAGCGTGCAACTCCACTGCTGGTCTGACACCTGGCCGGATTTTTGTTGTTGAAGTAAAGTTTTGCAGAGACCTTGAATCATTACACCGAGTTGCACACTCTTTGGGTCCTCTTGTTGAAAGTTTATAACACTCCATTGCAATACATGCACGAATACTTGAGTGACGATAACCGCTGATGAAAGTCACAAGAAAACGATCTGGTTAGCTATAATTGGACTTTGTTGAACTTGCGTGTGACGGCAATGACGGCACAACAGTTACTGAAGTACTAATCATATTCATAGCCATTAACAAATACTTGAGTTAAGAATTACGAAGGCATGTATCTGGCTGCGTACCTTCTTGTTCTGTTCTGAGCCATCCGTCAAGATCACACCCTTGGACTTCATGTGTTGGTACATACGCTTCTGCAGCGCTGACATGTCGCAGCGCAGGATGTACTCAGACTAGAATAGCACACAGGACAACCATACAACACGGCACGACCGAATGAATACAACGGGTCGACGGCACAAATGCAACCGTATGCGGCTCACATGAGGAATCACGGGCATGCTAATACAATGTAGTAACAACTGGAACTCGACATACTCTGTGATGCCCACAGCTCAAACTATAAGCCATGAATGCTTCAATGAGAATTAGCCGTGCTCCAAACACAACCACTCACCACGATAGGACACAGGCAAGTACACGCACCAGTGTCTATGTGCAGTTGTCTCATTGACGCACGGTGATCTACAGGCTGCTCACAATGGGATGCACTGCTGCAGCAGCAGCAGCAGCAGCACCAGCAGCAGCATGTGGAGTAGCAAAACTGCTTAACCAGATAGACTAGGTGCGTACTGTTTGGATACACATCCATGCTTAGACATAAGACTGTCATGATATAACTCTACCTTCTCTGGCAGCTGACTTTCCACCTCCCTCTTGAGCCGGCGAAGAAGGAACGGACGCAAAACCTGATGGAGACGGCGGATAATCAACATTGTTTCTTCCTTGTTCAGCTCAACCTGCGGTGAACGAAACGAGAGGTCAGTGTTATGCACGGGGAGGTTAGTGTTATGCACGGGGAGAGGATCGAACATGTTCAGCACAGCTCTATTATTCGACATGTGGCCACTGTGTGCCGACGGAAAGCAAGCATGTGTCAATGTCATACAGCCCAGAGCACAACAAGCCCCTACCCACCTACACTGTGATGCATGCACAACATCAGCCACGGACCTGCTATGATAATAATACGAACAGGTTGAATATTGCCCGAATAAACAATCATACGGGGGTCATGCATCTGTCAATGATCGTTAACCAGAGTTGCTTGTTGGTGGCGAGGTTGAGGCATTCCTGAATCGTTGCTATAGGAAACAGTCACATCACGACAAACAAAACCAGCTCTCACCTTCTCGGCCATGTTGGCAAACGGCGCATTGAACCACTGCTCGAATGTTGTCACCGAGTGAAAGATAGACGGTAATAAGAAGTTGAGCAAGGCCCACATCTCCGGCAGAGAGTTCTAGCAACACACACACACACAATTGCACAGTACGGTTTGAATCCACTTCTGGTGTACTTGTGTGCGCGTGTGTGTATATACATGTGTGTGTGTGTGTGTGTGTGTGTGTGTGTGTGTGTGTGTGTGTGTGTGTGTGTGCGTGCGTGCGCGCGCGCGTGTGTGTGTGTGTGTGCGCGTACGTGTGTGTGTGAGTGAACATGTGCAATGTACTACAAGTAGTACATTGATTCAAAGTGTCAAAGTGTATGTACATGTACCTACCTGCAGTGGAGTTCCACTGAGAATAAGTCGGTGAGAAGTCTGGTAATGCTGATTGATAGTGGTGGTTAGCTTGCAATGGTGATTCTTCATACGGTGGCCTTCATCGATTATCATGTGCTTCCACTGGATCTAGTTCAGCAAACCAGTTCAATCACAACAACCTATCAAAACCCGATATTTAAACAACGGGACAAAAGACTAGGAATTTCTTTTGCCCTTTGCCAGTCTCACAGAACCTAATTCCAATATGTCCTCGTCACCACCACCAACTCAACTTTACCTTTGCCACCAGACGAGCAAGAGCACGTTGGCCTTTTGCAGGAGCTGAGGTTTCCCTATACTAGCACCGGTCAGACCGCACTATAACGTACGGAATGCACAGGTCCCTGTCAACACTGCACATCATCTCTATACATTTATTTATTTTATTCAGACTTTTCCCGTTTATGTTTTTCCCTCAAACTAGTCAAGATTTATTTTATTGCAAGCAATACATGGCTGGGGTAGCCAATGACCACTTTGCATGGCGATTGCAGGGGTTTTACAGCCAACCATGGCGAACAAGGAAAAGAGCATGTACGTCCCTCTCTATAACATAACCCGGCATGTGGATGGCAACACACCCGTCACCCTGCATATACCAGTACACCCTCGCCGGTACAGTACCTTGCTCAAGATGTTCCGGTCCTTCATCACGTACTCATACGTGGTCAGTAGCACGTTGTAGCGAGTGGTCTTCACCTTCAGCGCGAGCGCCTTACGAGCAGCAGGTGCACCCTGAGCAAGTGTAATAACGTTTGCAGCCACATCAAGACAAAGCAAGGAAGTATTGCCATCTCATGACATAGTGTGTACCGCTACAAGTACTCTGGTTCAGGCTGAAGAAGGCCAAGACAGAATGCTGTGCCATGTCGGCAGCGGTGCTAGTCAGTGACACAGCACAGGCATCTCGTTGCTCGTCGTTCCAAGGCTCACAACACATGGCAGCGCAGTACAGTTTGGTTCGAAGGCACGCAAACACAGCCTGCAGTCTTCCTAATAGCCACGCTGTTCTCATTACCCTACCTAGATGTTCCCATGCAAGTACCGTGCACTCCTTCCCAGCTACTCTCAAAATGCAATACCAAATTTTCAAGCCTGTTTGCTTGCACGACTTGCTCAAGCAGCAGCAATAGCAGCAGCAGCAGCAGCAGTAACAGCGGTGGTAGTAGCGGCGACAGCAGCACGCATATTCACATCTTGGCCACACAGGAGCAGTGCAAGAGCATAGCAACTCAACGCACATCAAATGCTGCTATATTGCACGTGTTACTGATAGCAAAGTAATACGCACAGAACCACTACCCCCCCCCCCCCCACACACACACACACATGGCAGGGGGGGGGGGGGGAGAGGGGGAAGAGGGGTAATATGTCCTCACTTTGTAAAGAATCTTCACGATGGCAGGTGCCCACTTCTCAAACTCCATAGCCCAGTTTGATAGCGTTCTACACGACAAACAAGAAAGAGAAGCGGAGAAAATGAGTCTGTAAACTAGGCACGTACATGTACAAGGAAACAACACACCTGCTGAATAACCTGAAAGAGCACCACAGGCAAAAGTAGCAGAATACCCTTGCTGTGATTATAGCATCCGAGCTCAACACCCCAATCAGTACAACAAACAGATAGCGACGGCACCGACCGGAAGGAGGACAGCAGTTGATGCAACAAACAGCATAGCCTCATCTTAACAGGGATTCACATATCCAAAGACCAAACACCAGCCACGGTGCCACCATGATGTGTTGCACATGAATGTATGAAACTCACGATAGCGGAACGATGATCAGGTACGGGCCAAAGTAGTTCTTCTTCTCCACCAGGTAGCAGATAGTGGCAATGGATTGGATTGTCTTTCCTAGCCCCATCTCGTCTGCCAGGATACCGTTCAGGTTGTTGTTATAGAGAGACACGAGCCACTCCAGACCAGCCATCTGCAAGGAGAGTGTACACACATCAATCACGAAGCAGGAACAGGTCGATTGTCAACGGCTTCCTTAGGTTTAGTCAACATGGACAAAAATGCAGTTTTAGAATTCAGCTATTCTGCGCGGATCAAGTAAACTTGGCCTAGCAATGTGCTATAATACAAATCCTGCAAGCAGCCACTGAAAACAGGGCTCTCTGTTCAAGTAGTATTCACTGGCATCGCACCATGTCCAACACCAAGCCATGTACAACACATACACATCAGTACACAGCTCCGAGCACAGACACCACCATGTACGCCCGTCGCAAGAGAAGCCCGCAAATCTGCAAATGCACTAGATGTACACCCACAGATTTTCTCTTATAGCAGCGATAGCGGACACGATCTGAATGAAACAGATCAAGACTATCGCCAGATTGGGCACAGACAGACACACGCACGCACGCTCGCACGCATACACACACACACACACGCACGCACGCACACACACACACATACACCACACACACACACACACACACACACACACACACACACACACACACACACGGAAAAAGCTCTAGCTAGGCAACAACACTGACCTGATACTCCTTGAGCGTTCCGCCGACCAGCATGTCCGGCTGCTTGGTGATCTTCTCCTTGTGCTGATGGGCAATACGGAAGTATGTACTGTTCTTGTTTGTTTCAGAGTTGCCAGGCTTTGCACTGTCTTGGTACTCATCGACAACATCCATCGTGCCCACTGCAGCCCTGGGTAGCACATGCAATTCAATACAAGTTCACAGGTGTACGTAAGATCAGCTCACAGTATTGCACCACTATCACATACTTACGCATAAGCATAAGCATACTCGTGGCCTGGCATGAGTAATACATGGATGTGGCAAATGGGATCGAGGCCTTTGGCCTCTGGTTGGTGGATCTGATCTATCCTCCCCCACCGTTTAGGAGCCGCATCTGACGCCTGATCATGGGGTGGTGGTGTCCCACGGAAGCGGAAAGGTGGTTCTTGACCAGGGAGTTGTACGACTCCTTGTTCTTGACCTGCCCGGTACGCGAACCCCGTCGAATTTATTTTTAATTTTTTTATAAGCATACTTGCAATATAATCAAATTCACGCTCCAGACATGGATGCGCTGAGTGGCCACAGATTGTGTAGACAGCTAAACTTTAGTATGAAGATTTATTTTTGCATTGGATATAAAGTACTTTTTTTTAGGACCCAGCATATTCTTTTCCAGTCTTTTGACCTGGCACATAGAGTACCTTAGTAGTACCAGCAGTAAAAGCTATAATAATACATCAAGCACATGCAGCAGTCAACAGCCACAGATTTGCCTGGAACCAACACTACAACTACCGTACACTGTGCAGTGAAGCTTCTCTTGCCCGGGCGTCTCGCAGCCGAAAGCTGCTGGTAGCTCAGAACCGCCCGTAACTCGGAAACACATTACAACCATAATGAATAGAATGCATCCGTCTCCCATCACTCGAGGAGCTACATGTGCGCCTTGGTACTTGAGGGTGGTGGTGTTCCTACGGATGCGGAGAACTAGGTCTACCCAAGTCTCACGCTAACCGTGCAATTTTTCTTCTTTCTCTCTTCCGTTCGATTGCCGACGATTGGGCTCACGGAACTAAGATCTATAACATTCTCAAGCACAAAATGTTTAAAGTCAAAACAACATGTTTCCAGCTTACTTGACTGCATCGCTTTGCTCACGGCTCTTGCGCAGGCGTTCGCGCCGGGCACGTCTGCGAATACCGAGTGGTCCCGACGGCAAAGCGCACGCCTGATCGCTGCTGGTGGCTGAAGCAGCGGCGCTGTCGGTGCCTGGCACTGCGCCACCCTGCGCGTCGGCCATCGGTTCTTCCCCGCCATCGTCAGAGCCCTGAAAGTCACCCAACACACATACGCACACAAGTAGCCATGACTTGCCAGTGGCCCACATCAATACACTATACTGCACCATACTAGTAGATGTACAAGGTAGAGGTACAACATATCTCCTACATTGATTGTACTCAACTTCACATCTTTCTTATGGACTTTTTAATGATGACGGCACGGTTGTCACGGTTGCAACAACAACGACAGCAGCACTAGCAGAATGCAAGCAAGTAACTGACCTCACTATCCTCATCACCAGACAGGTCAGAATCCAAATCACTGACAGTGCCAGTATCACCATCAGCCTTCCCTTTGTCACCGGGACTATCTATACTCCTCGAGGATCTCTTCGCTGGACTGGCCAGCCGATATCTGCATAAAAGCCGTGGGGGAAACAGCAGGGAAGAACAAGTTTGAACACTTTCTGCAGCTTCACCACTAACAACGGTGAATACATATCAGCGGCATTGGACACACGTACACAGTTACAGTCACTACAATACTGACCTTACCACTTTTGCCCAAGATACCCGTCACAATGGGTTCACCAACATCAAAGACTGGACCAATGAATCTTACTCTCTCTCTCTCTCTCTCTCTCTCTCTCTCTCTCTCTCTCTCTCTCTCTCTCTCTCTCTCTCTCTCTCTCTCTCTCTCTCTCTCTCTCTCTCTCTCTCTCTCTCTCTCTCTCTCTCTCTCTCTCTCTCTCTCTCTCTAGGTATAGGCAGCTTGTTTATCAGTGTAGTTAGTTTTTTTCTCTGGTCTCTTGATGCTGCTGCCTTATGACACACATGGCGCCCCTACGACCAGAATTGTTATGGGTTATACGTACAGTAGTATATATACAGTAACATACCCGCTAGAGAATAAAATGTAATGCTTTTAATTAAAGGAACAGGGGGTTCGTCAACTGACAACCTCTCTATTCTCTAATCAGTTGCTACTCACTGTACTCAATGGGCTAAGCTACTTGTCATGCTTTTCACTCTACATTGGCAGGGATAGGCTACACTACAGGGAGGGGGGTACTTCAGATGAATGACTGCAGCACCATAAAAAAACTTTCCAACACCCCTCATATGCACACAATCTTAAGGTGGCAGTCTGGGTTCAGAGGGTCAAAAAACAAAGTTTCGATTTTCTGTATTTTTTCACTGGCAGCGTCTTGTGTATGGTCCAAAGGGTTTATCCTGAAAATTTGAGCGTAATCGGGTGCTTCCTTCCGGAGATATAGCCGCGCAAAGTCTGCACAATTTTTTTTGAAATACTGAAATATCAGCAAATTTCTACAAAATTTAGGTTTGCACACTATTCCGATTTTTACCGTCAATCTTTGAGCGATTTCATTAAAATTTTCTGGAGCGACTCCTGGTACTCCTCTGCGCTGCAGACTGACAGCCGCGCACGATGTTTGTCACCATGGCAACCAAGATAACTTTTGCGCATGCGCAAATTCAAAAAAATTCAAATTTCGACTCTCATGATCTCAGCTGATCGCTCTGCTGTTGAAACTTTTGGAGTAATTGTTTCTTGGAGCTAACCCCTTCGTTGGCTACTATGGGGAAGTCTAGAGCCAAGGGAAAGCCCGGACGATCTAAGAAAAGGAAAAGAACGTTCTATGGAGTGTCTCAGGCGCCGAAGGCTCCCTCTGGTGAAATTTTGCCTGCAGAACAAATTCCTGACTTGCCACTGTCTGATGACGACCTTGAAGTGTCAGCTGAAGCCACGTCTTCAAGCAGCGATAGTGATGGAAGTGGCGGTGAAGTCGACAGCAGTTCCTCCGACAGTGACTCGGATGAAGAGTGTGAAGAAGAGGCGCATGGATTTCGCCTGATTGATCTCGAGTGCCTTCAGCAGCTTTTGTCAGTTGCAGTTTGTTGCAGTGGCTGTAATGGCGCAGTCACGATCAGCGAATCGCAACGGGGAGGCCTTGCATCATGCCTGGAGCTTTCCTGTGTTAACTGCGGCGACATAGCAAGCGAATTTATGTCCAAGAAGTTCAATCGGGTCTGGGAGGTGAACAGACGAGCAGTATTCGGAATGCGACTGATTGTCCGTGGACGTCAATCAATGGTAAAGCTGGCGGGTGCACTGAATATGCCATCACCTATGAGTCGGTCGACATTTTACAGCCATGCTAAAGGCCTGCATTCCGCGTCCAAGAGCGTCGCTGAGCGTAGCATGACTGAGGAAGCTGAGAAAGCAGTGTCCGCAGCAGATGGGGGTAGCGATATCGCTGCTTCCTATGACGGTACCTGGATGCGCCGAGGATTCACATCGCTCTTCGGAGCCTTCACTATAATTGCATATGATGTCGGCAAAGTGGTGGACTGCGAAGTGCTTTCAAAGTTTTGCCACAAGTGCACGCACTTGGCGTCTAGAAAAGAGAAGGGAGAGCTAACCAAAGATGACTATGATCGACAGATTGCCGAACACGATTGCTCAGTCAACACCACTGTATCAGCTCCTGCCATGGAGAGTGCAGCCGCCAAGACTCTGTGGGCCAGGTCCTTTGAGAGCCGCAAGCTGAGGTACACCACCTACATTGGTGATGGAGATACCAAGAGTTTTAAGGCTGTGCGTGACGCTTGTCCGTATGGGCCCGAGGTGCCTGTAGTCAAGGAGGAATGTGTCGGCCACGTTCAAAAACGCATCGGTACCAGCCTAAGAAAGCTGAAGAAAAACCTTGCGGGCAAGAAGCTTGCTGATGGGCGCACTATAGGCGGACGTGGTCGCCTCACGGATGCCATGATCGACAAGCTGCAAGCCTACTATGGCATGGCTGTGCGGAACAACAGCGGAGACTTGCAAGCCATGGCCAGGGCCATATGGGCATCCCTCATGCATCGTGCATCCAGCGACAGTAAACCTCAGCACCAGTATTGTCCGCCTGGAATTAACAGCTGGTGTAGATGGCAGCAGCAACAGGCAGGTGGTGATGTCTACGCCCACCACAATATCCTGCCAGAGGCAGTATGGAAGGAACTGAAGCCGGTCTACATTCGGTTGTCCGACCGGAGTTTGCTCGAGCGCTGCCAGAAGGGTGCTACGCAGAATCGCAACGAAGCGTTCAATGGACTCGTGTGGCAGTTGTGTCCAAAGACAGGCTTTGCATCCGCTCCCACTGTCCAGATGTGCGTCTACCTGGCCGTGGCCTGGTTCAATGATGGAGGTGTGGCAGTGAAACGCGTTCTGGACGAGATGGGCCTCCCTACTGGACACCACACGACACGTCTCATCAAGCTGCACACAAATAATCAACATGCTAGTTTCATTATACAGTGCCAGCGTGCCTTCAGCCCAATTTCAGCAGTGGATACGTGGGAATGAAGGAAAGAAAGTAGAAATAGCACATCTGCTATATGAACAGTGATAGAGAGGCACCTGATGGCATTTGCCACTAACAACAACCTATCACTCGCTGTAAAAAAGGCAGAGTGAGAGGGGGGGAGAGAAGAGAGAGAGAGAGAGAGAGAGAGAGAGAGAGAGAGAGAGAGAGAGAGAGAGAGAGAGAGAGAGAGAGAGAGAGAGAGAGAGAGAAGAGAGAGGAGAGAGAGAGAGAGAGAGAGAGAGAGAGAGAGAGAGAGAGAGAGAGAGAGAGAGAGAGAAGAGAGAGAGAGAGAAGAGAGAGAGAGGGAGATAGAGAGAGATAGAGAGAGATAGAGAGCGAGAGAGACGAGAGAGAGAGAGAGAGAGAGAGAGAGAGAGAGAGAGAGAGAGAGAGAGAGAGAGAGAGAGAGAGAGAGAGAGAGAAGAGAGAGAGAGAGAGAGAGAGAGAGAGAGAGAGAGAGAGAGAGAGAGAGAGATGCACTGTCTGCATGGTCCATGCTAAATGTTATCACTTGCCTCTATGCTGAAAAATGAACTGCTCTGAGTATCTTTAGTTCTTTTACGTCATCTCCACGTATTCACTCATGAGAATGGTACGAAGCTATTGGAAAATCTTCTTGACAGTCGGTTACGGGCGATGAAACTACATGCAGCACCACTATTGCTTTCTGTGGTTAAAATCTCCTCTACTAAACCTTTGTTCATAGTAACTTCATACACACATGTGTTAGTATAAATACGCTTATACAGAGTTTGGTCGAGACCACGCTCTGCACTACCCTGCAGTTTGGGTATTATCTCACGAGTCCTTCACTAGCACATGTGTCATCATTATTACTCACCCTGGATTGTCATGTAACCATGTGGTAAGTTCTGACTTCAGAGGCGCTTCAACACCGACCAATGTCTTGCCTGTGGCTATCTCCACAACTGGCGCGTGCATATCCAAGTCATCCTCCTTGGCCAGGTCCTGGCTGATGTCGACGTCAACATCCAGCAGGGAATCATCTTGACCTACATCATCATCGTTGCCAACACCACCCAGGGTGTTGCGTCTCCGCATTGCACGCTGCTCCAGCTTATGCTTTTTAACCAGGTCGGTCAGCTGCTCGATGAACTCATCCGTCTGGTCAAGTAGGAATGCCAAGCGCTTGTCCTTTTGCTGATCGATAAGTTTGCGGTAGCCTTCTTCATCCTCAGCCTGTAAACAGAACAGCATGCCATGATATGTAAGGAAGAGAAATGCAAGAGAGAAAGTGAGAGTGAGAGTGAGAGAGAGAGAGTGAGAGAGAGCGAGAGAGCGAGAGAGCGAGATAGAGAGAGAGAGAGAGAGAGAGAGAGAGAGAGAGAGAGAGAGAGAGAGAGAGAGAGAGAGAGAGAGAGAGAGAGAGAGAGAGAGAGAGAGAGAGAGAGAGAGAGAGAGAGAGAGAGAGAGAGAGAGAGAGAGAGAGAGAGAGAGAGAGAGAGAGAGAGAGAGAGAGAGAGAGAGAGAGAGAGCGAGCGAGAGAGAGCGAGAGAGAGCAGAGAGAGAGCAAGAGAGAGAGAGAGAGAGAGAGAGAGAGAGAGAGAGAGAGAGAGAGAGAGGGAGGGAGAGAGAGAGAGAGAGAGAGAGAGAGAGAGAGAGAGAGAGAGAGAGAGAGCGAGAGCGAGAGCGAGAGCGAGAGCGAGAGAGAGAGAGAGAGAGAGAGAGAGAGAGAGAGAGAGAGAGAGAGAGAGGGGGGGGGGGGGTATGAACAACACTGGTTCAATCCGGCCGCATTCCTTCGCACCACCAGGTTAACCACATGCAGACTCTCCTACCGTCGCCTCTGCAGGAACATGTTCAAGCAGGCTAGAGACAACACTATCTAGCAAACATCAGTGCCTCGCACTGCACTGCCTTGCACTGCGATATCTACCGGTATACAGCAAGGTACGCTACTAAGCCCACGAGTTAAAAACCTGCATGAAAATCAGTTACAAAACATGTAGCTGAGTAGTGGTAGCTTGCCGCTTATAATCAAAGGGTAACATCTCCGACATGTCAACAACTCCCTGGTGTGAAGAACATGGGATAGTACCAGCACATCATAAGTTAAAGTAGCTGCTACCAACCATCAGGCGGCGTATTCTCTCCTTTTCCAGCCGATCGGACTCCTTCTTCTGCTCGCGTTCGGTTGTGGCGTAGTGGACGAGGACGGACTTGGCGAGCTTGGTTATGCGAGCGCTGACATTTCGATGGAAGATACGCCATTCGGCCCCGTGCTGCAGGATGGCCGACACGAATTCCTGTACAAGCACACAAGAGGCATTTACAAACATATTCGAAGTAGACTGAGGATTGCATCCGGCTCCGCAAACACCAGGGAGTCTTATAATGTAAACCCAGGAGAGGACACGGCACGCAAAGGTGCGTGCAATGTGTGCCTCACTAATCCTGGAGAAGTCCCTGGATAGGAATTACGGGAACTTCAGAATGCCGCAAATATTTTGCAGACGCTTTCACCGCACAACAGCAAGAGCACAACATAGTGCAATTCTTCCTTGCCACATTTGAGGCCGGAAAAGTAGGGAGCTAGAACTTTGGACAGGTTTTACAAAATTGCAAAGCTGGCCAAATGTATGGAAAAGCAGATTCCAAGCCCAGATTTTCAAATTTAAAGTGGGTTTGAGCCTTAATTTAGCCAAACTTGGGACTATTCTATCTGAATGGAGTGTTGTAGTAGTGCAACTGACCATATGTTGCTCATGACCCATGCGCTGCTGCTGTAACTTCTCTTGAGCCCTGGATGAAAACAAGACAACAGCAATCACTGGCTTGCACATGAAGAGGTCTGCCGCTCGCAAATAGACATTACACACAACACATAGATTCTTGGTTGGAGGACAGCAGATCATCAGCACACGAAGCACAGAAGCCATATAATTTCAACTAGGCCTTGGTGTACTATTACTTTTCAAGTCGAATACAATGGTGATTAACATGGCAGCAAGCAAGTCATTATAACGGGCACTTTGGCGATCAGAGCAGTGACAAAATAGCACCTTAAAGGATAGCGCTAGTGGCGCCAACTATATAGTGAAACAAACAATATTATCAAACAACAGTGGGGTACTAGAATGTCAAAATAGTGACAACTTTTGCACATACTTGAAGTACCTGTACTTCTTTTGCACACACAGTTCAGGTTTTAGCTTGCCTATGTACAGTAACACTGCCGCCAGCACAGCACGGTGAGATTTGGTGCGCGCACACGCTTGAATAGTGAAGTGAGAGTGAGTGCCGTGTTCGCAGACTGCACTCAGGCAGGCCGGTGACGATGTCCAGTGACGGGGTATTGCCGAGTCCTTCTCATTATTGTCAGTGTCCGGTGGTCCATTTACATGGTTGCTATTGTGCAGGGCAGTCGTACCGCTGGCGACTTCTCTGCCGGGCGAGGGGTCGCATACTGTTCCACATGTCGATCCTGTATCGGTCGCTTTTTGCGGAGCGGTGTTGCGGACACGCAGCCGTTCACTTCGTCTCGTGACAGTTGCTGGTGGTTTGATCGGTGCTGATTTTTCTTCTCCCTTTGTTGACGGTGACGGTGATGTTCTTGACTGGCCGGCATCTCCCTGTCCTAACCGGTGTTGTATCATCTTTTAAAGTGCTATTTTGTCACTGCTCTGATCGCCAAAGTGCCCGTTATAAGAACTTGCTTGCTGCCATGTTAATCACCATTGTATTCGACTTGAAAAGTAATAGTATGCTAAGGCCTAGTTGAAACTATAATGGCTTCTGTGCTTCGTGTGCTGATTTAGATACATCAAAGAAACACATATGAGAACTGGTAGGAACTGGGTTTGGAGCACACTTCCCATTCGAGAACCTGACAGATAAATGTCGCAGCTACCGGTGGTATCTGAAAAAGAGCTGTCAGTCGCGACTATGGAATCTACTGACGCACATTCATACAGCCAGCTACTTTTTTAAAAGAGTTCAATAGCTGTGCACAATATGAAAATCACTCACCTGAGTTGCTGTTTCTTGGAGCGGCGACTGGACTTTTGTACTTGAGCATCCAGACCAGGCTCGTCGAGTTTCTCTTGCCGAACTTCTTCACGCACCTGGAGAGCAGCAAAGCATTCATGACGTTCACAAACCCAGAAACATACATTTCCACAGCAGTGGCGGCTAAACACGATTACGCAGAATGCTGCATAGGCTCCAAACGCAGCCGACTAAAAATGCCAAATCATCCGGTACAGCGCTAGAAACCCTGCGTAGGGCTTCTTGCCACCTGGATGGAGCCAGCTATCAACATGGGGACAAAAAGCTGGCTCCGCGGCATGCCTCCTCTTCTGGGGCTAATACGACCACCTGAATGAAATACATGAACATATAACAGGCACATGCAGAGAAAGGCAAACAAGAATTGTCAAAACACAGTTTGCTGTCACTCTGAGCGTAAAACTCCGAGTCACAGCTAAACTGTTTCTGCTCTTCCCTGTACATGTTTGTACAGTCATGTATGTACACAAGGAAGGCCCAGCACCCTTATGTATTGAGCACTCACGTGTGTATGTACATAAGGAAGGCCCAGCACCCTGATATATCAAGCACTCTCGCGGGCTGCCACAACTCGCTTCAAGCAAACATGCTACAGCTAACATCGCTCTGTACTGGATGAATGGCAAAGAGAAATCCACCTTCCCCTATTTGAGAAGCTACTGCAATTTGTTCGGTGTCTTGGAGGTATATTTACTGCAGAGCAGTACACGCATGGGGTGAGGCTGAAGTCGAAACCTAGAATGCTAATATCACCATCATACATGATTAAGGTAGCTACCTTCTGCTGTAGATCTAGAAGTTTCAGTGCCCGGAGTTCCGTCATCAACTGGATATTGGCACGGATGGGCTCGTCTTGTTCTTCCAGGAACGCAATACGTCGCTGCATTCGTGTCGCAAGAATGTTCTCTCTTTCTTTCAGCACGAGCGCACGAGGCAGAGGTTTTGGGTTGTCTGAAGGCAGAAGCTTTGGTGGCTTTCCTTGCGGAACTGGCTTCTTCCTTGCAGCTTGTGCAGCCGGTGACAGTGGCTTGGCAGAGGATTTCGCTTCAGCTTTGACAGGCTGCGGTGAAAGCTGCTGCTGCTTCTGCGGCTGTTCGGGCTGAGCTTGTTGCGGCTTCAGTGACTGCGTCGGAGTTTGTTGAGAAGGTGGCTGCGTGGCTTGCGTTGATGCAGTTGGTGGCGTGGGAAAGGCAACAGTCAAGGCACCAGTAGCACTCAACAACTCCTGCGATAAGGTGTGCTTGTTAGCCAGTAACTGATAAGCTGCAATCTGTGCTCGTAGCTGTGCAACCTGCTCTGGACTCAGGCTAGACGTCACCGAGTGAATGTTTACAATACTGGAGTTGGAGCTGACCGAAGCCAAAAGAGCGGCATAAGCGTCACCATTCGCTGCTGCAGGTGCAGGAGCACCAGCAGCAGCAGTAGCATTGCTTGTACTGCCACTCTCACTGCCTTGCGGTGCGGGTGGGGATGACGTATGGCCACTCTTGGGCGGCGCAGCGTCTCCACTCGCTGTCTCGGTCTTCACGCCAGGCTTGGTTACTTCGGCCTGCAGCTTATTTGCAACGGCTGATAGCAGTTTGTAGCGGTTGTCTGACTCCAAGCCCTTCTCACGCATGACTTCCAAAGCCTACACAAACGTGCACAGACGACACAAACACGTGCGCGCACACACACGCACACACACACACACACACACACACGTGCACACACACACGTGCACACACAAACATGTGCACACACACACACACACACACACACACACACACACATACACACACACACACACACACACACACACTCTAGAATACAATGTATATGTACATGCGTAGCCAAACCGTACACGTTGTAAACTCAGCACTTTCATTCTCGGCGCCAATGAGGCCATGGTCATGCAGTACTGCTGGAATGGAACGCACTACTTGCTAGTACTAAGCATAGTCCTGACCTCAACCTGAAACTGGTGTGATGTACTACTGTCTACACAGCAAGTGAGTGACTTCCACTGCTCGAAACCGTGTGATCAATAAATACTCAGGGGCAAAGCTATCTGACACAGAAGTCAGAACGAGTTTCTGCAATTCGGAGTTTTATTTTTTTTTTCTACCAATCCATGGTCTTTTTTTCTGTGGAAGAAAGAAAAACAAACTGTGCTGCACTGACTGACGTGACAGTCTGTGCTGTCAACAACAAATAACTCCAAAGCACGAAAAAGGCCAAAAACTAAACCAAGAACATGTGCAATAACATGTTATTCGGAGTTTTATGCCAAGCGACCTTTATGCAACACAGAGGTCTACATGCAACACAGAGGTCTACATGTAGGACCATTTCACACACAGGTCTACATGTAGGACCATTTCGAGGATCAAACTTTGCCAAAAACTGTTCTAATACACACTTATAACACATTATCGACCCCTCGTATTATTACTTTAACAGAGTAAATACTTTGAAGTATGTGTACTTCGAAGTATAATGTATGCACTTTGAAGTATGTGTATAATGTATGCACTTCATTGGAACTGATGAGCAAGAGCTAGAGGACATTCGTGATCAATGTGCCGACACCCTCCCAAACCATAACCTCACCGGTAATACCTCCAAAACTGAACGAACAAAGATATACCTGGCTGATGATCTGGAGGAGCGTGGTTCCGAAGCATGGAGAAATGCGAAGTCGCTGGGATCACGGCTAGGCTCAGCGCAAGATGTCCAAGCCAGAAAGGCCCCAGCAACCCCGGCATTCTGTTCGTTGTACGCACTCTTCAAGCATCAATCTACCTCACTACTGCTTAGAGTTGCGCTGTACAATACCTATGTGAAGCCAGTGCTGTTGTACAACTGTGCGACATGGGGTCTCACAGATGCCACCATCAGAGGGATTGACACCTTTCATCAAAAGCATCTGAGAACAATGGCTGGCGTTAAGTTCCCAAACACAATTACCAACAAGCATCTGTATGACATCTGCGGCTCAGCACCGATTTCGCTCGAGATTGACCAACGGCGTTGGGAGTTCCTCGGTCACGTACTGAGAATGCAGAAGAGCTCTCCCCCACAGCGCGTGTTAGAGTTTTCAGCCACCACGAGCCTGCGCGGTCGACTGGGCCGACCCAGGACAACTCTCCTCTCAGCTCTTTTTCAGGACTGCCTAGCCCGACTCGTCATTCGCCTGGGCACGCTTAGAGGCCTTAATCAGCTGCGGCAGTTGGCAGGGGATAAGTCACTGTGGAATGGCACCCCGCGGCACCCATCTTCCTCTGCCGAGCCGCGTCCTTGACTTATCCCCTGCAGGGTGAACATCACGAACAGTCTACCGTCTTTCTGACATTGCCACTCGAACTTGACAATAGAAGCAGCTTTCCGTATGTGCAGTTACATTGAGCCATGGTGTTTTTATCTTATTTTCGTGAATCCTTCCCGGAAGCAAATGCTGGTTTTTATACATTCGTGTAATTACTCAGCGTTATTTGCAATAATAAGTATAAGTATAATGTATACTTTAAAAAAATATTTTTTTACCGCCCACGGCCGCACAAAGTCCTTGGCTACAAAAAATAAAATTAAAATCTCTCCAAATCTCTCCAAACCAAACTTCAAATTCCTTTCCAAATTTTCGCCCAAGAGGGCATCTTCAGGGATAAAAAAAAATTTAAATCATGACAAGGCTACAGAGGAGTTACGCCATTCTTATTATAATGTATACTATACTTCAAGTATGTATACCGTTAGCTCTGTAGGTATCAACTATTACATGTACATCTACTCTGGTACAGATCACAAGTGCAAAGTGAGGCATCCCTACCAATAGCACAGTATTATATTCCAAAGAGAACTTGATAAATAATCTCTCGACTACATGTGGTGGGCACTAATGCTCGGACCGAGGGAAGTGCTATGTGTCATTCAGCGTTGTGTTGTGTACCAGTATTATCCACTTCGCACCGAACACCATCATAACTGGCAGGCATTAGAGAACTGCTATTAGTTCTATCAGGCACACGTAGGTTTTATGATTACTTTTATCTATATGGGTTCGAGGAGTATCAGTGCTGGTGTTATTATATTGGCAAATGGATGGTGCGTAGATCTACTATGCATTGGGTGTGCTCGCGAGGCAGTTACAGAAAGTATCGGCACCATACCTGCATCAGCCCAGGCAGCTTATCCAAGGATATCGATATAGCATTCGCCATGGTTGAGATGTGCAGTTCGATTTTCTGGCTTCCTTCAGCAACCAAATCGTCTTGTTTCCACCCTGCTTCGAAAGAGTCCGAACGATGTACCCAGGAGAACCACCCGTGGTGAACCTCTGGATATAGTCCCACTGCTCAGCATTCTAACAAAGCAGCTGTGAATTGTACACAGATACACAATTTGCAGGCTTTCAAAATATCGAAGAGAAAGTGGAAATGGGATGAATGCACGTAACTCGTTCGACGACTTCACGTTCGTACCAACCAGCAACGTAAGTCGTTGTGCACAGGGCTAGGGTGACGTCATTGCTCAGCCTTCTAGAATTATGTGACCGCGCGACTGGTGCGGCGGACCCAGCGCCGGCGCCCTGGCGAGCGCGCTAGCGGCCAAGCGCTCGAGCGCGGTCATATCAGATTATGTCATATGACTCAGATCATAATAATCATGTCCACAGTACATGTACGTGATGTATGCAAGGCAGCGCAAGCCGCAACACGCACGATACTCGCAACACTTGACTTGGCGCAAGGACCACTGCGCTGACCTACCAGTCAGAAAAGCCACAGAGTCTTTTTCTGGCGCATGGCCAACCATGCAGCGCTGCACGTGCCTGACCAAGAGTCAGCTGAGTCATAAAAATACTCTGTGCTTTCTTTGGGCGTTCAAATGGGCAAACCCTATTGGGTAAAACTATGGCGATGACCACGTGACAAGACAGCAGTACCTTCTTGTCTTGACTTGACTTGAGTCTTGAGCTTGTGGTCACAGGGCCTAGGGTCTAGGAAAGTCAAAGCTGTTTCGACATAATTATCATAATCTATTTCCGGAGCACAGTACAGAGAGAACCTACAAAGCCGGAGCGAAGCCAGGGAGTGGATTGCTCCCTGGTCGTCAGAGACTGCAGAAGCGATGGCGAACCTAGGTTTCTGCAGCTCAATTTCCCAGGCCGAGCGAGAAAGAGTGACAGTCTCTGCCTTTCTCAAGGAGACCCAGGAGGATGTCAACTCCCCGTCGACTTCAACGTACCAGAATCGCATGGAAAGTCTTCGCCGGGAATTGGCCAAGATCGATGAAAGTTTGGACAATGACAAGAAGCAACTGAAAAAGTTGGTTTCTGGGATGCAGAAGATGGTTCACTGTGGCGAGGAGCACGTCAAAAGCAAGTATGCATTTTCTGATGCAATGGAGAAGCTTGGAACAAACTTCATGCCCTCGCAGCCAAAGATTGGCACTGCGTTTCTGAAATTTGCTGTCATATTGAAGGATATGACGTTGTCATTGGAGAACCAAGTGAAGAACATGAACAACATTGTGTTGTTTCCTCTGGAAGCACTTGTGAAAAATGACATGAGTTCTAATATGAAGAAACCATTTGACAAATCCTATGCTGAGTATGAACGTGCACGTGCACGTGTCGAGAGAGAGAAACGCCGTCAAGCTGAAGCATCGGGTCTTCAACGCACAGACTTCCGGCCTGAGGAGACAGCACAAGAATTGGAAAGGGAAAGGCGAGCATTCCAGCTGGCTACGTGCGACTATTTCCTGAAGAACAATGAAATTGGCCTAAAGAAAACATCTGACTTTGCTCAGCATCTTGTTGAGTTTTATCACTCACAGTGTAGTAACGTGAAGGACGGGCAACAGATGTTATCTACTGTGTCATCATGGGTAACAGAGCTTGCCAACGACGTAGCAGAAATTCGAAAAAGCCGGTACGAAGAGGAGCGCAATGAGCTAGTGGAAATGAAGAAGGTACTGCAGGCTGTGCTGTCACCGCAGGACCAAAAGTCTGCGGAGGAGAAGGCAACCAATCCCGGTATGAAACAGTTTGGTGACAAGAGAGAACGTGAACGACAGCTTGGTTTATCCAAGGCCGGTTGTCTGATGAAGCGATCCGATGGTATCCGGAAGGTATGGCAGAAGAGGTACTGCACCATCTCTGATGGTATGTTTACAATCTCTCACTCACAACGCGACCCACCAACTGTAACTCTACCGCTTCTGACATGCCAGTGCAAAGATGAAGTGGACCAATCGAAGAAGCCATGCTTCACACTCCATTCACAGAATCGTAAATACGTCTTCCAGGCTGAGGACGAGCAAGAAAAGGAAGAATGGGTTGGAGTACTGAACAACACATTGGAGCACTTGTTCAACAGTCACTTGGCACCGCAGAGCAATGACGAAGAGTCCCAGGATATCAAGTCGATGAATGAGCTGATCACAAGAATCGTCAAGTCCATCAAATCCCTGCCTGGAAATCACCAGTGCTGTGATTGCAGTGCTCCGAATCCACCCTGGATCTCCACCAACTTGGGAATCCTTGTATGTATCGAGTGCTCCGGCGTGCATCGGGAACTTGGCGTGCAGTACTCACGTGTACGGTCACTTGTCCTCGATAACCTGTGCACCGCCGAGTTGCTTGTCGCGCACCGGATGGGCAACTACTCGTTCAACGAGGTCGCAGAGGAGAACCTTTCAGTGGAGAAGCTGCGGAAGGATGCGTCTATGGTCGAGCGCAAAGAGTACATCCGCGCAAAGTATGTTGAGCGGAAGTGGGCAAGGCCAAGTGGTCGTTCGAGTGCAGACATTCGAGCTGATCTCTCCACCGCCATCCTAAGCCATGACCTGGAAGCAGTACTGCACGCGCAACAAGAAGGAGTGGACTTCTCTGCACAGGTCCCAGAAGCGCCCGAGGGCGGTAACGCCATGCATCTGTGTCTGGACAAGGAGGAGAACAAGTCTCTGCACATTCTTGATTTTGTCATCAACAATGGTGGTGATGTGAACCAGGTGGATGAGGCGGGCCGTGCACCGCTACATATTGCAGTTCAGCGTGACTTACCACAAGCAATCAAACTCCTGCTGCGTGCCGAAGCAACGAGCACGGCAGAGGACACGGCTAGCAAGACCCCGTATCAGCTGGCAGTCGACCTAGAGCGCCACGAGTGCGCTGAGCTACTGCAGCTATACACGAAGAAGAGAAAGTCGCCTCGTTTCAACCAGATCAAGATTGAGTGGGGATTCTTTGGAGATCAGAACGAGCAAATCTACACTGATTCCGTAAGTTGGGATGCATCTTAGTGTGTGTGTGTGCGCGTGTGTGCGTGTGTATGTGTGTGTGTGATGCATGGTGTGTGTGTGTGTGTGTTCACATGCACCCTGAAGTACCGCCAGAGCGCCCCACCCATCGTCCTTTCGTGGTCGCTCTGGGGAGGCAGGACAGCCACGAGTGTGCGAGGTGGTCTGTACTGGGCCATACACACACTTACGCAGTGACTGTCGCAGTGAAGCAACAGCAGCTTGGTGAAGGTAAATTCCATGTTGTTCGTGCTGGCTGCAGCTCTGGGCACTGCAGTTCACATGACTCACCGTACAAGTAAAATGCGACGCAGCCCCAATGTTGCAAAAACAGAATGAACCCCGTGCGACTTCAGTCGCACCAGACCATACGACGTTCACTTCTATGGCCGGAAACGAGACTCCTCTTTCCGTAGTTCAGGGTGGGGCGCTCTGGCGATACTTTACGGTATATGTATACTGTGTCTGTGTGTACACATAGCACACTGCAATGCCAGGCTAGAATAAGCCTTTTGCGCGTTGTACAGATGTACGAAGTTCAGTACTAGGGCGTAGGTGTGTACAGAACGGATTGGGTGTTCATTGTGTGCTATGCATGCGCAATTGACCAATTTTAGCCTCATAATTAAGGGCAGACAATCCCTATTCCAGCTTCTTCACTTTGGTTAGTACTAATGACTACCTAGATCTTTGTCAGAAAAGGTTTTCGTTTGAAATGCTTTCAGGGCCCATTTCTTAGTGGAAATAGCAGAAAACACAATAGGGTCCTGCACATTCAACACCCATTAGGTTCTACGGTATTCTACGGGATTTCGTGCATCTGTACAACGCGCAAAAGGCTTATAGCGGGACTCCTCACAGGTCCGGCTCCTGTGAGGTGAGGTGGATTGAAATGGAGCCGGGGGCCACTTCATAGGGGGTTTGATAGGCTATGGCTGCCTCTGTGCTGCCAGACATGCCTCAGTCTTGCAAGCTGCTGAATGGTGCATTGAAGACCGTCATGGTCTTTTTGAGGGGCAACTTATCCATATTTGGCAGGTACAACCCCGCTCTAGTGCATTTATGAGTATGACCTTACAAAGTTCATGACCTTTGATGCAGAGCTGGGATCACAGTGTGTATGGTTGTAGTCGACTTGCCCCACAAAACCTACACATAGTTGTATTAGCGTGGAAATGGTGCATACGCCCCATTCCGAGTGGGGCAAGTTACAATAGGGAGGTTCTGCTATACGTGAAACATAGAGAAATCACGTATAGAGCAGGTGTCTGGGTTAGAGTCTACAGCTTCGCGTGTTTGGGGTCCAGATTTCTACGCGTAGATGAGGTTCTCTACGTTGTGGCACACGCAAAGAAATTGCGTTCGGATCTGCTGGATATCATTCGAGGGCAGGCAGAAAACTGCCAAATATGGAAGGGGAAATTCCCAGTACACATTCCACGTGACTTCTCTACGTGAACGTAGAGCAGAACAGGATTTCTGTACGTTACCGGAACGCGAAGAGAGTTCACGTGATTCTTTGCGTCGCGTTCCCATAACGTAGAGCAGAACCTCCCTAATAGACACCCTCAGCAAACAACGTTGTGTTGTACAGTCGACCTACCCTTATAACGATAACCTCTATAACGATATTTTTCTGCCAAACCAAATCACTCCATTGACTTTTGTATACAAAGGCTTACCTCTATAACAATATTGCTATAACGATATTACCCCTATAACGATATAAAATGGGCTGACCAATCGACATTTTCCATTTTATAACAATATCTAGCAGGGAATATTTATAGAGCCCACTAACCTGAGTAACCAGATAGGGCAAGCTTCACTTGATAAGTCGCTGGGACATGTTGAAATACAATGGGGGCACCAGTGGGCACCTTGCTGTGCATATAATGCGCATGTACGTCAGTTTTTTTATGCTATGAAGAGTGTAAAAAATGAACAAAATCCATGCATTATGACGTACATGTATGAAATGAACCAGTTACCCTTATAACAATATTACAGTCGTCCCTCTCTAATCCGGCATTTGTTTATCCAGCACCCTTGCGAACCAGCACATTTTCTGGCAAAACGGATTTTTTCAGTTCATTTTCTACACTTTAATCCGGCACTTGAATTCCGCCTCCAGCAGCGATTTTCTGCAACAAATCACTCAAACGGTACATAATTCGATTTTCTAATCCAGCAGTTGCACATTGCATACTGTCAGGGACCATTGAAACATACACTTGGGAATATCCTATGCTAGTGCATAAGATATTCCCAAGTGTATGTTATGGACATGCATTCCACAAAGTACTTGGTTTGACACAGAAAATCCCTACGTTTTGATGTACGACACAAACATGTATGATAACATGTGGGCCGGGTTGGAGGGCAGGATTTGATAATCCAGCACCCTTGTTTATCCAGCAGAAAATGCCGTTGCAAAAGGTGCCGGATTAGAGAGGGACGACTGTACCCTTATAACAATATTAAATTTTCTTGGTCTGACGAAAATATCGTTACAAGGGTAGGTCGACTGTAATGGTATTACTGTAAGGGGGAAAATACCGTGATTTGGGCTCGACCTTTAGCAAGATGCACGCTATTTTTACTACGCGGTTGCCACAAGAATAGCTTTTAGTTCGCGCGGTACAACTATTTATGTCACCATATACGCAATACAAGGTGAACTGCGTACGGACTATGCAATATTTGGCCAAAAAACGTACCGTTGGTCACAACGATAAATCAGCCCCCATAACGTTTTTACGCTGCAACTTCAACGCTATTTGGGTGATCAAGGTACGAGTACCGTAAAAAAAATAGCGTTACCGTTGTTTGCTAAGGGTGTCTAATATGTAACAATACATACCCGGGGACGAGTACATCACATCATTACTGCTTCGACGCTACAAGTGTGCGTAGGTGCGTGAACATGTACTCACGTGTGTGTGTGTGTGTGTGTGTGTGTGTGTGTGTGTGTGTGTGTGTGAGCGAGTGAACGAGCACGTGTGTGTGTGAGCGTGTGTGTGCGAGCGATTGAGTGAGTATCTGTGGGTATGTAGTCCATGGGCATGTGGTCATGAGTGGGAGCCAATTGGCGGTGCGTGCGTGTCTGGTGTGAAACATGTGTGTAAAAACAAAGAAAAGGAAGACAAAGGCTGACAAGAAAATATTTATTGGTCAAAAGCCATGTGTGGTCCAGCCCGGCTATAATAGTAAATTATCCAGTGGTGCCACATCATCCTGGTGAATGGTGCATTCTCAACACAATGCCTGGCACTGCGTGCTGTAGTAATGCCCTTCGTCTATAGCCTTTAAGCTTGGTTCAAATACTGTTGGTATCCGCCAGGGATGGGGTGCCTCTCCCAGCCTGGTCCGCAAACGTGAACCTGTGTGATGCGTATCAAAAACATACTGTAGATTACAACCAGTCTGGGCTGTGAAAGTTGACCAGTGTTCAACTCCGCTGGCATGCCCCAGCCCTGACCTTTATACTTGTGAGCAAAATTGCTATGTGAACTGTGGATGCTGGTAATCGCTGATGCTAGAACTCATACCTTGTCAATTTGTCGATTTAATTCTATCACGTAAACGTAAAGCTCATTCCAAGTTCCCTGAGTGGAAGGAAATGATCAGCTTCGCCCAATGTTCTTGCTGTTTCATGATAGAAAATCGAGTGGCATGACCATTTTTTTTTCCACGGGTATGGAATAGTGGTTGCACTATGATGGTCTTTGAGAGTTAGGTGGTCCCAAGACCTATGTTGCTACCTGTAGACTTGTATTTGATTTTTGCTTAGAATGTATCTCCTTCTAGCAGGACTGTCTCCACTACTGAGTGCCTGCACTGACCATCAACTTTATGTTTGTCTGTGTGCTGGACCTCTCTTGCAGGGCTACACAGAAAAGACAGAAAAGAAACCGCTTGAAGAACGGCCGTCTCAAACGGTTTCAAGTGTAAGGAGAAAATCTGATGTACCAGCTTTTTCTTGTTTTGTTGGCTTTCATGGGTTTTGCCTGCTTCACTGCCGGAATATGAAATCTGTTCTGCATGGGATTTCGCTGACTCTTGAAGCAAAAAAGTTCCTTTGCTACCATAAGCTCTGGCCAGCTCTCTGAAGCATTTGTGTGGAGAAAGGACAGCAGCTACAATTTTGAGTTTGCTTGTCATTGTCATTTCAGACGAGACACTGTACAGTCAAACCCCCGATTTCTGGAAAGATTTCTGTCTCATAACCTTTGACACGACTTTTCGAAAAACAAATGGTCACATTTTGTGCACATCAAGCTCAATTACTCAGCACAATTTCATGCACAATGTACGATTTTCCTGATTTATCCATGGCGACATTCAAGCCGAGCAAAACACAAGGTCCACAACACGTGGAAAACAAATGGAGAGCGTGGTTTAGGTTTGTGGTGTCAGCGTGGACGCGTGTGGTCTCGCAACAAAGCATGCTTAGCAGCCATCGAGAAATCACGTAGCCTGTGCCGATTTTTACAGAAGAGAATCACGTGCAGTTCCAACGTTATAATTATTCTATTCATACGTAATCATGGTACAATGCATTTACTTTGGGCGAATTCTCCCTAATAACTGTACGTTATGCACGTGCTACTGTAAGACATGTATATATAACGAGGAAGCAAATCTAACGTGTTAACGGATGACATTTCTTCCTTATAATAAGATCCGTTGAGGCCGTACTGCTTCATATATATGCAGTGTGTGGATATGGCAGAATACTGCAAGACCGTTAACATATCTTCTCGTTAACCTATGAATTTTGGACAGTCGTTAAATTTGCGACTCGTTATAATAACATGTCTTACAGTATGTCATTCACTATCCTCCCCGGGCCGGCAGAAAGTAGTCTGTACTGTGTGCATGGTTGTAATATGCACTCTTTGAGCACATGTCCACTGGAACTGTTTTGTCATGCTGTGTTTATTCCTGCAGACTACAACGACTCCAACTTGCGCGGCCTCCCAGCTCGCACGTTCAACGTCAGGTGCGCAGGAACGGAAATCGATGGTCAGACAAAGCCGCGCAACTGTATCGTCGCCACCCGAGTCACAGGCTACGACTCCCGGCAGACCGGCCGCTCTGCCTCGTGGTGTACTGCACTGTGTAGAAGCACAGTTTGACTGCGAGGCAGATAACGAAGACGAAGTGTCGTTCCGCGAGGGCGAGCGGATATACGTGACCCAAGAGACGGACAGTGACTGGTGGTTCGGCTACATCGACGCTGATCCAACACGCTACGGTGTTTTCCCGGTTTGCTATGTCAAGGTACTGTAGTAGCCGCTGCTTCACTCACTTGCTTTGCTCACACGCTTTGAATTTGGCTCTCTCTCTTTTCGTTTTTGTTCAGTTTTATCGCTTCCTCTAACTACAGCTCCCAGCACCGACTCACACCTGTCCAAGTCACACTAAGACATACATGTAGATATAGAACTGTCCTATTCATTTCATCTCCTCGAATGGAGCAAATGTGCTGTCATGCTAACGTCCTATACATTATATTTCATTCAGAGAAATATCCTTTATTTCCACCTCCATATTTTGTTTCCAACCTCCCGCTCACTCTGTGTCTGCACATAGTTCTTTCAAATGGTCTGCATTCTCTCTGACTTTTCATGCTCTATTTAATCTCCATTTGCATACTAATATTTATACCGTACAAAGAAGATTAAAATGTGTCTGCGCTTTGGTGTGCAAACACTTCACCATCATCATCATTGAACGAGGTAAATAAAAGTTTAGTTCGACAGTGATCAATCATTACCATGAACTTGATGATGAAGAGCGGAACTTGGTCTGCCAGCATCCTCAGTTACTATCGTGCTCTCTCTCCTTCCCTCTCTCTCCTTCCCTCTCTCTCCTTCCCTCTCTCTCCTCTCTCTCTCTCTCTCTCTCTCTCTCTCTCTCTCTCTCTCTCTCTCTCTCTCGCGCGCGCGCGCTCTCCCTCTCTCTCTGTAGCCATTGCAGCTCTCGGTACGGTGGTGACCGCTAGCTTGGTACATGTTGCTGATAGCTGGCAAGCCAGGTTCTGCATGTTGCTGTTGGTACACACATACACACACACACACACACACACACACACACACACACACACACACACACACACACACACACACACACACACGTGTGACATGTCCAAGAGCTATGCATACCAGGGAGTCGTAAATTACTTTACGTAAAGTATTTTACGACTCCCTGATGCATACCATATACCCCTACTCCTGGCCCTGTTGCCGAGATATCACACAGTATTGCTGTGACGGTGACCATTGGCATTGTGTGACGTTCGGTGGTTGGCTTGCCCAGTCTAAGTGCCGCCCAAGAAATGCTCGACAAGTGAGGTCGGCGGTGTGTACGCGTTTCATTAGTTATTTCTGCAACTGTGAGAGGGAGAGACTGTACTGGCAGGTATCGCATCGTGATCTTGTGCTTTCTGCACGTCAGCAGTGCATAATGGATCAGGGAGAAGTGAAATTGATTCTATAATTATTACAGTACCCTTGGTCCCTCGTTTTCATTTTGATGCAATGTCTTCATGATCATCATCGATGCATCATGGAGTGAAGTGGACATGGTTTTGATTGGGGAGTTGTAGGCAAAATGTAGCACACATGTTTTTGGCTTTTTCTACAACTCCTACAAGATCCTTGGACCGGGAGTCGTAAAATTACGAATGGGAACAGACAAACACATGCTGGACCTGTATGCGAATATCGAATGTACATGTTGTGAACTTGTGACCTGCAGGATCCTCGGGACAGTCGGGAGTGCTTTTCAAGACGACAGATCACAAGCAGTTTGATTTTTCCATACGTCTGTTTTATTTTTCAGATCCTAGATCTACGATGTATGAGTAGGTTACGACCACGAAAGAGAAAAAGAGAGAGAGATCAGCTTCGTTGTTTCCGCTTGTGCGGTTTGGGAAGATGAGCTGGCCAGGGGAAGGTGAGGCATATCTTTGATTAGGCAGAATACTGGTAGATCTTATCATATACGATGAAGTGAGTGTGCCGTTGCTGTGAACATGCGGCGGAGGTGAAGGAAGAGGGAGGCGAGTCATGATGAAGACTCTTTATGAAAATGACCACCCACTTCCGTACATAGACGTTGATGATTAGACTGTTCGGATTATGGACCAGTAAGTAATTCACAATGTCGAAGTCAACGCTGACTCTTCGTTTTCCTCTGTGTTCTGGTTGTTTGCGCACCAAGATCCGGCAATGCTGCACAGGAGTAAGTCAAAAGTGTGGTGGCAGCAATTGGTATCCTGAACTGAAAGAGATGTTGACCAATGATGTGAATATTTGTACTGTCTGTCTTCGTCTGAAGGTCACCCTACTCCCGATGAGGGCCAGGGTGGCATGCCTGCTACGCTGGAGGAGGCCGAGTGGTACTGGGGCAACATTTCGCGGTGAGTAGCCTGGCATCTCACAGAGGAAACGTTCTCCTATGTACATGATTGTACAGCATTCGATGATACCTTTCCTATGTGTGTGAGCTATTTCTGATACACATACATGTAGTAGTTGTAGACCATGCAGACACCAACAGGAGGGGCATTGGAAGTGGTATGGTCAGCCATCAGAATAATTCTAGGGGGGGGGGGGGGGAGCTTCACTGAAAATTTTCGAAATTTAGAGCCCACATCAGTGCATTATATTGATTCACACGAGGTACCTGTGGCAAAGAGTGGTACAGACAATATCGTAGCGACCGTAGTGTGTCCAATGCCCATGATTATTTAGTAGTAGTGAGGCTGCCGGGGCGTTAAAGAGCGGCTAAAGCAGATGTACGTTCGGGATGTCAATCTCTCATACATATCCCCTAACAATGAAGAGGTGACCAGGTTGGTAAAATGCTCACTAGCAAGGACGATCCAATGCCAGCACATACCAGGGCTGGACTATCGGTATAGAGAAGTGGACATTGAGGTTTAAAGGCAATGATTGCAATCATTGCAATCATTGCATGCTATGAAATGAAACTGTAGATCAGTTGCCTGGCGACCGTGACTTAACGTGAAACTCGGATTCGTAACACAGCTTCCTCTGTTTCTGTCTCTCTGTCTCTGTCTCTGTGTGTGTGTGTGTGTGTGTGTGTGTCTCTCTCTCTCTCTCTCTCTCTCTCTCTCTCTCTCTCTCTCTCTCTCTCTCTCTCTCTCTCTCTCTCTCTCTCTCTCTCTCTCTCTCTCTCTTGGCATTAACAGTGAGGATGCCACTATGAAGCTGAAGGACACTCCAGATGGCGCCTTTCTCGTTCGTGATGCTTCCCGTGTGCCCGGCGAATACACGTTGACATTACGGTAAGTTGTGTGACCTTGTGGCTGACCCCATGCGCGGCCCTGAGCAATGATGTCATATGCAAGGGTGTACAAATCGGCTCTGCCCCAAGGGCTGCTGGACCTGGCAGCCCGGGGTCGAATCCCACATTGTTCACGTTGCCTTCGCCCACTTCATCTCCCTATAGATGCTGCAACTCACTGGTTGACATCTGGTTGACAGTGAAAGACCATGGTGGTGAAGATGTTGAGATGGTTGATAATTGATATCAACTACAACTATCAGGGCATAGATTAACGGCCGGACATCGGACATTTTCCGGCCATTTTCGGCCACTGACCGGACGTTTTCAATTTCACCGGACATAGTGTCCGGTCAAAAAAGGAAAAAAAAGAGCAGCGGCCTTTCGACCTTTTTAATTTTTATGCGGAGTTGGGCTTTCTTCGGAGCTTAGGCCAAATGCGACTTGCATATCGTACAACTAACACATCTACACCGTAGCCTCGATCCCTCAGCCTCAGGCGTAGACTTCACCATAAATCCGCCTGTAGCAACGCGGTTGCTACAGTCAATTCACACTTTCGACCTTTGCCTTTGGTACATGCCTGGTGCATGGTGTCGACTTCGCACCTGAGCTGAATCTATGGGTTGAACTGCGTTCGCTCTTCAAGAGGAAGATGTCATCTTTTATTTTTCACTCTTTCACTGACCAGGAATGCAGATAGTCTTTTAGAATGTCTTCTGGAAAGCGAAAGGGAGATTCAGAGGACTTGCCGAAATGCCCTCGAATTCGGTCCAATTGCGAAGGCACTGTGCGAGATGGACGATGGTGCTGCCGCTATTGCATGACGCAAATTCGAACTGACTTACCTTCTCTGCAAGGAGCATATCGCGTTCGCAAAATTCTTGACTGCAACGCTTTCTTGTACATACATTTGTCGTCAGTAAATAGTTCAGTTTCTAATACAAATAAATTGGCGAATTGTACATAGTAATGTGTGAGATACGTCCACATAATGAGTCATTGACTCATTGTGAATATACTTCAGTACTACTAAAAAAAGAAACACCCTGAAAATGTGTTGTGGAAAATGTCCGGGCATGTCCGGACAGATTTCAAAACGGAAGGACATTTGTCCGAGCTAAATGAAATCCTTAAGCTATGCCCTGAACTATGGTCTTAACTTAGCACACTGCACAGTGCCCTGTCTCAATACAGATTACTTTGATCAGATTCAGGCAAAGGATTGATAGTGTACACCATCATGTTCAGCATCATGAATATCACACTACATTCATGAATGCGCATTAACCCTGGCCATGCCAACATCTACTCTGTACCGAATGTGGTACCGTGTAAGTGTCCCTCCCCACCCTCATCCTGCTACACACACACACGCACACACACACGTCACATGTACATGCATAGTCATGTCTCTCCTGCTTCTGCTTGATCCGTTGTCTATATGTGTATGTGTGTGCATGCACGCACGCGTGCACGCGCACACACACTCTCATTCTCACTCTCTCTCTCTCTCTCTCTCTCTCTCTCTCTCTCTCTTTCTCTGTGTGTTTAGGAAAGGAGGAGTCAACAAGCGTATCCGAATTTTGCACAAGGATGGAAAGTATGGCTTTGCTGAGCCCATGACATTCTCTTCAGTGATGGAACTCGTTGAAAACTACCGCCAACACTCACTGGCTCATTACAATCCTAAGCTCGACGTCAGACTGCTATACGCGATCTCTCGCTTCATGCAGAAGGTAATTGTGAATGACAGTTTGATAACAGGGTGGTCTGACATGGAGTCTTTGGTCAATGCTGATGCACCACACAGGTGGTGTATTTGAGCCCATGCTTTCAAAGTGCATGTATGTCCCCATATCCAGCATGCATTTGCACAAGCCCTATGTATTCTCCAAGGCTGAGCCAATGGGGCATGTGTAAGGAAAACAACTATTTGATTGCATCCACGAAGGTGTAGATTAGAAAGTCAGGGTTCCAGTTTCCAGTGAATGGACTGTAGCCTGGGTGTAGGGATGCGGAAAAGTCAGTCTGACCGGGTATCATGCAAACCACAAAATGAATTGAAGTATGCATGCTACAGGAAATGCCAAACTTGTGCTGGCTGTAGTTGTGCAAGTGTACGCGTGCGTGTACACACACATACACACACACAAGTGCACCCACGCCTGCAATGGGCCCGTGCTATTCCACTGCTCTTGGCCTGAAGACAGTACCATACAGCTGCGCCAATGCTTGAATCAACAGATTACGTGTCCGTCAACCAGGCTTGTGCCTATGACTCTAATCTGAGTTGCAATGACAGCCTCAATCCTTCTTTGTTCATGCCATGGTTGTTGGTAGTTTACCACCTTCACTGGTGTTGCTTATTGACGTTATTGTTATGCATGCTGCAAATTCTAAACATTATGTACCTGTTTCTGTTTATGCTCTTTCACTGGCTACAAGGATGGTGATGACGACGAGGAAGGCAAGGAAAACCTTATCCAGAAGCTGATGAGAACAAATGAGGAGCTTGATGAGACGAGTCGGCAGTACAACAAACTCAGCCAAGAGTTCACCACGGCATCGGCGGTAAGTGTGTGCTCCACACGTTGATGTACTGGTAGTCTTACTGGTCTATGCAGTACCTTGCAGGGGCAGTGCACCACTAGCTGTTCCCTGCATTATTTAAATGTCCGGTAATAAAAGTGGTCATAGCACTCAGTATTGTTGTGAATGTTCCATAAAGTGTATTAAAAACAAACAGACAACAACCAAGCTGCCACCAATGTGACTGGTGTAAAAGAAGCCCAGACATGTGTGAGTCGGACCATACGTGCAGTTCCAGTGTGGGCACGGCCACTGCACCTGCAAGGGCTCACTGCCGGCTTATCACATCCTCCTTGGCGTTCAGCCCTCGCATTCATCACTCTTGCTTCTCGTCTCACCAATCGTTTCGTGATCGGCTCTCTATGCTTTGTATTATCTTCTTCTTGCTTGCAGAATGCCCAACAGTTTAGGCTGAAGTTGAACGGTATCTCACAGATTGTCGACATTCTCCTGGAGCAGATCAAGCTGAGTGAGCAGGTGCAGGCACAGCAGCATGATCGGACGGACAAGATGAAGTGAGCATGCACACACACACACACACACACACACACACACACACACACACACACACACACACACACACACACACACACACACATGCACAGGTGAAGATAGAAATCAGCATTTTGCAGAATTTCATTTTACCCACGGAAAGAGCTAAGAAGTACACAGTGCTGCACAATGAAATCCGATTGCATGAGTCAAGTACACCCTAGACCTGCAAGTACACCCTAGACCTGCAAACACTGGGCTGTTCACTGATGCAGGGTGCTAAGCTGACTCACTTGATTGGATTTCATCGAGCAGTATTGTACTTTCAGCCTGTTTTTGTTTTGAAAAGCCAGAACAACCGGTAACCCTGGGTGTTCGATTGCTAGGTGGACAGTATGCTGTGCCTAAAGTAAGGAGATGGTTCTGGCATTTATCAGGAGAACTGGTGGTTTGTCATCTGACAACTGCCGTATCCAGTTGCTATGGAGTCCATGCACAATTATCATGGTGATGTCCGCTGTAGATATTTTCTCAAAGAGATAGGTGCTTTGCGGATCTAAAAGCAGTATAACGGTCATTTTTTGTTTTACATGCATACCCCGCACGCTTTGCATGCACTTTGTTACTGTGCACTCAATCTATTTGTAGTTGGTGTTGTTTGATGGACCATCCAGACTCTCATCCAGTCTTTCTGCCTTTTCTTCTTACTAGACTCACTCAAAATGGGCAGCTCATCAAGACGAAAGTCAGCCAGCTCCGCCAAACCAGCCTCGAGTTCAAGGGACGCTTGGAGAAGGCAACTCACGACAGTAAATGCCTCGACCGTCAAATGAACAACGTCAAGCCTGAAATCATGCGACTGGAGCGCGCACAGCGACAGCTCATGATGTAAGTTTGCGACCTTGCAAATTATTTCAGGGTTTACACCGTTCTCATCCAATGTCCTTCAGAGGTCGTGCGAATGACTTCTTCGGGATTTTCAAATGGGCACGAGTATACAGCATGAGTCAGCGGATTCTCTAACAGGTGCTAAGTATGCAGCATGAGTCGCTAGTGCAAGTGCAGCACTGTGGTGCGAGTCCACGACTTTGTCAAAGCATCTCAACTGATGATGATGTAGTCGCATAACCTCTATAGATTTAGGTGGCGTCCCGATGGAAGCGGAAAGGTGATTCTTGACCTGCCCTGTACGCGCATCCGTGCAGTTTTTTTTAAAGATTTTCAGGATATCATGTGGGTACTTCACTACCAGGTCTTTTGAGCTATTGGATTGTCCAGCATTGTTTTCAGTCTGGGTGTTTATTGTGTGTGATGTGTCACGTTGACTGCACTACAGGTTCTTGAATCAGAAGGGCTTATCCAGCGAAGAAATCCACACCCGTCTGGCCCAGCAGCGCGAGGCATCTCGATCACAGGAGGAAGACTCCGGTGGTTACGATGATCGGTCTGAGAAGGCACACTCCGTCTTCGAGGATCTCTATCTCTCGCGGAAGTAAGGGCCTTTGTTCAATAATGTGACATAGTTTCTGGAGCATTGTGTGTGCGTGGGGGGGGGGGGGTGTCTGTGTGCATGTGTGTATCTCTGTGTCTGTGTGAGCGGGTATGTAGGTGTTCAGTCTGAGGGTGTAGACATAGGTAGTACATGTCAGTGATCTTCGTACGTCTTGTTTGCGATCGTCTCAGCCAGCTTACTTCATGATTGTACATTCCCCCCATGTTTTGGCGTCTACCCTATGTGTGCATGGATGTGGTGTGGATTTTACATGCGTTGATAGATGCTTTTTTTTGGTCTCTTCTATGGTTTATTACAGCGAGGTGGAAAAGATCCGACTTCAGGCCCAAGCTAGCCAACCACAGCGGCAGGCCCATGTAAGCATACTGTATATAGAACAGGGTTGGGGACAGTTTGGGGACAGTTTGGGGACAGTCTGGGCCAAAATTTCAGTCATGCACTATCCACTTTATTATGTCGATGTGTAGATATGGTCTTCGGAAATCATTCTGTGAAGTCGAAAATAAATAGAGGGGTCAGTAAAGGCTCTACCAGCCTCGCTATGACTAGAAACGAATATTGGATCTCTGCAATTGTATTGCAAATTCTAAAGCAGCAAGCTATTCTCTGTGGGATACTAACTTGTTATTCTACCAATAATGAACGAATCATTGCGCAGATGAAGCTTTTGGTGAAAAGCAACCATGGGACTGTGTGCCATTGACACAAGAGAATGTCTCTGCTGTGCTTGTATTGTGTGTGGTTGCAGAGAAAACCCCACGAAGACATGAATACTTGGTTTGTCGGTGGTATCTCGAGGTGAGTGAGTTGTGCTTTGACCACCGCTGCCCTGTTGAGGAAGAGCAGGTGTATGTTTCATGGACAGGTGCCGTTTGAAATATTCCGGTTTTGCATTACACTGTATTTCTCGGTGCACGGGGCCCGAGGACTCTAAGTTGATTACAATGGGGTAAACAGCCATAAACAGCCAGTTTTGAATGACGCATAAACTTATCCGATGCAAAGAGACAAGTATGTTATATCCAGGGTACTTTATTGGTGGTTTAGCGTGTGCGCTAAGCCCTGTTAACGAACGTGGAACATCTACCACTCATACTTAGTCTGATGATCATGCATCTGATTATGATGTCATTGCTATACATGCGCATGCGCAGCGCGCGCCACTCTCCCACGCATGCATTCCAAATCTTGCTTTAGAGAGAGAGAAGGAGAAAAGAGAGACTCCTTTGTCACTTTTGCTTTCTGACGACTTGACTGTTCACTGGTTTGTCCGTCAATGTCAATTTCCCCTTCCCTCCCAACCCCATTCGACTGGGGATCACTATCTCTCCGTCACTGTCACCGTAATTTCCTCAATTACAGTGTCAGTACAACTCTTGTCAATATACTTATATCGGGTGAGGGCAGTCTATCTCCGCAGCTGGCTCATTTCAATCACTACCGGTCGCAGCTCCTGCCCACGGCAGGCCGACCGTCTCTCGTTCACACTCTGTGTGCTCCAGGTCACAGCTCCTGCGCAGAGCAGGCCGACCTGTCTGTCTCTCTCCCACACACACTATGTGTGCACCGGGTCACAGCTCCTGCGCAGAGCAGGCCGACCTGTCTTTCTCATGCACGCCAGCTGCTCCGCCCAATATCCCTGATATGCCAACCAGAAAACAATGTGTTCTGAGCCGGGTGCATGCCTGTATGTGGAGAGTGCGTTAAAGTAAGGTTTCACATACCAGAGTCAGCGGAGGAAGTTCTGGTTGGTTGTAACTCTGAGTGTTCATGTCGCGAGGCAATCATCAGACAACTGATACATGTTTTAAACATGACATTGAGCACTCTCTGCAGCTCGGGGATCAACTTATTGGCGTACTTTTAAGATTCGCTGTATTCTTGTCAGATGTTACCATACTGTTTTCTGGCAACGTGTTCTAAGATCGCATGACCCGGAGACGGCCGTCTCCTTTCTGCATGCATCAGTGAGTGATCTCATCTGTGCTTCATCTGTGTCTTCCTACTCGTGCAGACAAGAGTCGGCCAAGATGCTTCAGGGCAAGCGGGACGGCACGTTCCTTATTCGTTCTCGTGTGCCCAAACAAGGAGAACTTCACACTCACAGTGTCGACATCTAGTGAGTACACTGTAGTAGTAATAGTGCTACTTCTGCGAAGATGGCTGCACTACTCATGCCGTGACTGTTTCTGCAAGAGTCCAGATGTTATGTACTCTTGGTCTCTGATTGTCACCTTGCAATGACCAACAACTAGCTGACAAGCTTGCAAGAAGCGGAAAAACGAGGAGGCGTACTGTCCTTAGTGCTTGAGGATGGTGGTGCTCCTGTGGTTATGAAAAGGCAGTCTCCTTGACTCTCGTGTCCGCTGTGAAAAAAAGTCTTGTGTAGTCTTTGTTGAAATCCGGTGCCGCTGTTACAAAACTCCAGCATGCATTGAACATACCTTTGTGCTGGAGAAGCGTATTTTCATTTACCGTAAAGTCGTGTATAAAAAGCCGCAGCTTATATGACTTTTTGGGGGTAAATTTGTGGGCCTCTGCTTGAGACAGGCTTCCATACAAGACAGGTATTGCATTGCATTTTATTATTTTACTTGGGCATTCCCAACAGACCCTAAGGTCTTCTTACAGGGTGCCCAAGATGAATGAATTTGTTAAGTTCCTGGCGAAATGAATTGGGGGTATGATTTGTGCGAAGGGATTCGGGAAGCGCATTAAAGCGGTCAGCACAGGTATTTCTATGTATGTCAATACTAAAACCAGGCTTATGTGCCGACAGTGTATCTTGAAAATCAGGCTTGTATTCAAAACTGGCTTCTATATGAGACAGGCTTTTATACAAGACACTACGGTACAGTCAGACCTCACTTAACCGCACACATCCTTTTTCCACAAAAAATATCCGGATAGGCGAGGGAACCGGATAATCGAACACCGGCTATGTTGGATGCATCACGTATGCTGTACATCTGTAACCAGCTATTTTCTTCCGGATGGCGAGGGATCCGGATAAACGAGGCCTGACTGTATAATTATTGGTTCTTACTCCATTCGGATACATGTACTCTAAACCTGTGCTGTTTCAATGCCCTCTGTGCTTTCTTCAGCTTCAAGGCACTCAAGCACATCAAGATCTTCCACGATCAGAACGGGTATTTCTTCTCCAGTCCGTTCTCTTTTCCAACCCTTATGGATCTAGTTCTTCACTACAGCGAGGAGTCACTTCTCGAGCACAATCCAAATCTGCCGACCACACTCGCTTATCCACTGTACGCACAGTACTAAGATGTTAGCCAATAGCAGTACTAGTATGTTCCAGTACGGCTGTGTGGGTGTCGGCGAGAGTGTGTGTGTGGGTATTTGCGTGTGTATGGTGTGTGTGTGTGTGTGTGTGTGGTGTGAGTGTGTGGTGTGTGCACGGTACGTGGTGTGCATGCATTAACACGTTTTACTCTTGTAGCGCACAGCTTGTAGTGTAGTTGTACGCACAACATGGCTACCTGGTTGTAACCGCTACAGTCATACTAGTGTTCTTGATTCCTTTCTTTAGTTGCGGCTTTGCTTCCGCTTCTGTTCAATTAGTTCTTCTTGTATATTCTTCTAACAAACACTTCATTGTTCGTTTCAGAATAAGAGTAGCTTTGGATGATTACTAGCGAGAGCTCTCAAACAGCTGTGTGTGGGAGGGGTTGGAGCACATGCGTCTCCTTCTTTCCTGCTCTTTTACTTCAATTGGACAGCAGCTGATATTGAGTCCACACATGTACCTAAAAGCACACACACACACACACACACACACTACCACCATGTATGCCCGTCGCAAGAGAAGCACGCAGATCTGCAAGTGAAGGGTTGAGATGCACACCCACTGATTTTCTCTTACAACAATGTTTGCAGACATGATCTGAAAGGTGCAGATCAAGACGTGCACCAGGAAACTAACTACCCAATCCGCACACAAACACACACACACACTGATCTGAGCTGTCTAAAAAATACTGCAATACTCATGCAGCTGGGTATAGAAGGTTTAAAAATATATAGCAGCACAGTCTGCTGATGACACAAGAAAACAATTCTAAGCGAAAACACAACACAGCCGCCATCCTGTTTAAGATAGAAACCACCAGAAGACTGCTAAAAGGGCGAACATCAACTCTAAATGGTGTAAAGAAGCATTGGTAAAAAGAAAATAGGGCGGAGTATGCCGAGAATTATTCGAAATATGATTTCACACGCAGCACGGTTGCCTAAAGGGTAGGAGAAACAATGGCCATGCAATAAAATGGCATCAGTCAGATTTCAATGTTTTGCTGTCAGGTACGCAGAATGTTAGATCACGGGTCGGAGAAATAGTCCGGAATTTTCTCATTGCGCATCGGGGTAAGCTTTGTCATGCCCGAGGCAGTGGCTGCCTGGGTGCTAGGCTGCTTGGCAGCAGCAGCAGTAGACTTCACCTGGGCTTGGTAATGCTTGATGAGGTCAGTCAGAGGCACAGACGGTCGATACGAATGGCTGAAGGCAGTGACGCGTACACTGCGCTTGGGTTCCGAGTCAAAACTCTGGCTCTCGCAGAGGTACATCTCGGCGATTTCGTGAGCTATGTGCCGATGATCGTTGCTCATGATCGGCAGTGTGAGCGTTTTATGACTATCTGGAGGCATTCTCAGCACCGCTGACACTAGCTCGTTGATCTGTGCATCGATAGACAACACAATGCTGGGTTCACTCTTAATCCGGTCAATGAGGAACTGGGACAAAGCAGATTTAGCTGGTGTTGTATTCAATTGCAGCGCTTCAGCCATCTGGCGGATACGCAGCTCGTTCAGGCAGATGGTATCACAGGTTACCTCAAACTTGCTGCTGAAGCTGGATGATCCGCCAGTCTGCACGGATGTGAGCTGCCGTGCCAAGTCGCTTGTTCTCAAACTGTTCAGCACAAAGGACTTGCCCGTCGCCTTGGCGCAGGACACTTGCACAGATCGGCGCCCGCACGGACAGCGCAGTGTCACATCGGTGTAGCAGGCAGTCTCCGGGCATGGCGTGCCGGGATGGCAGGGGTTGGCGCACGCATGGCCACAGTCCGGCCGCGGCTGTGTGCACGCCTGCGCGCACACGGCATCCGATGCCAGGCACTCGCCGCGATGGCACATGCGATCGCAGACATGCTCGCCGCACGCCATGGGCCTCCGGCAGTGCTTACCGCAGGACACATCGTCCAGGTGACACGGTACGGCGTTGCGCTCCTCATGGCCACCCATACACAGCTTGGTGACCAGCTCGGGGCACACTGGACACTGATCCTCATTGTGACACAAGTGCTGCGGTTCGTGATTGCACGCATGCACACGTGAACAGATGCGATTACAGTACGGCGGACGCGTGCCACACGGCTGCGGCGGGTAGAGCACCTGAGCACCACAGTGACATCGCAGCTCATCGAATATCGTTTGCCAGCAGCGATCACAGTGTCCACGATGGCAAAGTTCCTCGCACTTATGCTGACCGCACTGCAAGCGCTTGCCACACGGTAACATGCATGTATGATTCTGGTCAGTACAGCAGCGCTGGCTGCAACGATGACGCCCGCACGAACGTTTGGCATTGCACATGCGGTCGCACAGCACTTCCTTTCCCGCGAGCACCTCCTTGCACGGCAGCTTCTGCGTGGACTTTCCGCAGCGGCACTTCCGGACCGATCTACTGGGACAGGGCCGACAGGGTCCATCGTGGCACTGCATGTGACAACGGTGGGGATTGCCCTCGTCCACTGGCCCACACACTAAGGCCTTGTTGCACACTTGTCCACAGGTCGGGATGGAGTCCAGGCAAGACTCGCGCCGAGCTTCCGACACACCCTCACCGGCAAGCTCCGCAAGCGTTTTCTGCCCACAGTGACATGTTCTCACAATGTCGGGACTCAGTTCACAAAGCGTACATGGACCGGAGTGGCACGGCAATTCACACAGGTGATTGCCACAGGCCAGGGGTTTATGACACGGCTCAGCACAGGAAAAACTGCCATTACCACCACCGGTGGTCTCACTACTCACGGGAGCATCGGAGCATGCGTACTGACGTTGCTTTCTGCCACAGAAACACGTCTGTTCTAGCTGATGGTCGCACTCATCACACGGGCCGGCGTGGCACTGCAATCGGCACGCGTGCCGGCCGCATGCCAGTGGACGGTCGCACACACTGCTGCACGTCGGCGCGCTGGATGCCTGGCTGCAGCGCACCGTCTGCGTCGTGCGGCCGCAGCCGCAGGTCAAGCGCGTCATGGCAGGGCAAGGGGGACACGGGCCCGGGTGGCAGAGCTGATTACAGCGATGCGTGCAGTGCTCCTGAGCTCGCCGTTTGCCACAGATATCACCACAACTGTGAGGCGTTATGCTGTAGTCTGTATAGCGTCGTTGCTTCTCATTCAAATCCACACGCCCACAGAAACACCAGTAGTTTGTTGGTATAAATTCGTGAACTGCACGGCAGCTGGGGCATGCCCAGCCGGACGTAGACTTGGAGGATGTCCCATCGTTTTCGGGCTGCTGCTGCTCCACACGAGCTGCGTCCGATCGTCCCCAGCGCTGAACACAGCGCAAATGAAAGACACAGAAGCACTGCGTACAGCTCCACACTCTATCCTTACGCTTGACAGCATCACAGCACACTATGCACTCGCAGTTGTCTGACATTAGTTCTTCAATGATTTCATCTGCACGGGCGCTGCCAGTGGGCTGCACTTTCACTGCTGTTTTCTTGGCTTTAGCATGCTGCTGCTGGGTCGAGCTTGATGAAGATGACTCAGCAGCCGGATTGGCGCGTGGTTCTTGGAATGACTCCTGCTGTCCACGGTAGTCCCGTGCTCCACTAGTGTGGTACGAGGAAGATTGGTCGCTTGACGGTGACAGCTCACGTCTTCTTCGACCCCCTTGCTGCTGCTGCGGTCTGTCATGCTGTTGTTGGTGGTTCCGTGGATGAATGTCTGAAGGAGCAGCACCTCTCCTGCTGCCGTTATCATTGCCTCTGTACGGCCGGGGACGCGAACCTCTTTCATAGCCACCTCTTCCTTGATGTCTGTCCCCGTTTGATGAATGCCGTGGCGTTGCATCACCGGCCGGTGTATAATGCTCTCGGCTGTCCTGCTCATTCGTTGGAAATTGTGTGCTTGCTGCTGCTGCTGATGGCCTGGAAGAGTTCTTACCATTAGGCACGAACACAGCCGCATCGGCATTCAGTACACGGTCGTCAGCAGCCGACTCGAGTGCTCCCTGATCTTCTTGTTGGTCATTTCGCTGACGATATTGCCCACGATCATGGTGTCCGCCGCCCCGGCCGCCACCACCACCGCCGCCACGCTTGCCCCTGTGGCCGGACCCACCACGGCCCCGGCCTCCTCCTCGGCCTCGACTTGTGCCAGCCTGGTCGTAATCTCTTTCTGCTTCACGCTGCTCAGAGTACGGTTGTGCTGCTGCTCGTTGCTGCTTGTTCTGTCCACCGCGAGATCTGCCACTGGGCAGGTGGTCGCGAGCATGTCCTCTCCTCGGACCATCTCCAACCGGACCACGTGACGCACCACTACCAGCACCACCAGAACATGCAGCTTCCACTCCAGTTGAATGACTTTGGCCACCCAGGCCAATCTCTGCAGTGGAATCACCAGCCGGCATTCTCCCTTTCGGATTTCGCTTGCGTCCTCTCCCCCCACGCGAGTTAGCTTTAGCAGTGCTATCACCAGAATCCAAGCGCTGTGTTGGAACAGCTCCACGATCTGCGCTGGCCATTTTCAAGCAACACGGTTTATATTTATCAGGCTCTACGGTTGATGATGAATCTCAGCTAGCTGGGTGGTCATTCATAACTACGTCAAAATATTTTGAAGCAGGCGCTGGCCAAATGCCTGCAATTACTCCAACGTGATGCAACCGTTTTCCCGTGCTATTGGAGTATGCCCTTCGCCAGGCCTAGCTGATTCCCAAAAAGCTCAGCCACCATAAAATCCCTGCAAAGTCATGTCTTTTTTTGATGTGGAACTCAACATGTCAACATAACACTGGAGTGACTGGACCATGCATATGGAATCTCATCACACGCATTATAATAGGAATCAAGAGTAAAAACGACGTCATGGCCATAAATGGGCCAAAAATAACGCTTCTGCATGACGTATTGGAAATCGGTACGCCGGTAATCGGCGCGGTAAAGCCCGCGCGGCTCCCGCGACGCGCTTATCGACATAGCGCAGTGACGTAGATGGTACAGTGGTCTTGCATAGCGCCTAGTGAATTTTTTCAAAATAATCATTACTACATAATAGCGATATCAGACGAAAAATCGAACTTGAAACCAGAGGAATGAGTGATATACCAATCGAATCAGTATCCAAAACGCTCCGTACTGGTCAAATTTTAGGTGAATCCAAGCTATGGAAGCGGTATTTATACGCCCTCGAAGTAGGATGACAGGCACCCGCCATTGTCGTGCTGAGGGATGCACCACTGCATACAAACAGCAAGAATCGATGGCACAAAAGCCGTCAACTTGCCCAGTGCGTCATGAGCGGTTGCCATGGGGAACAAAGTGCAGTGCTGAGGGAAAGTGCAAAAATTACGACGAATCCGTACTCCAAGCAACAAAATTAATTAGTTCGTCTCGCCATGGACGGCAAAGGACAACACCTTGTCGGAATCAAGCATTTTTGTTTCTCTATCGCAAAGCTACTAATGTAGTATCGAACAACTACGCCAGTGAGAATCCAGGAACATTGGGACGTGTTTTGTACAGTTATTTTCATCGTTCACCTTGCTCTGTTCCAAGACCAGTCCATTCGATATCGTGTCGATTTGGTTTACCTCGAGCTGCTTAGCCAGAGATGATCCAACGCACAAATCACGTTGTTCCTCTGGGCCTCTCATCAGAACTGAAACCACTACTCGAACACGCACGTAGACCACTCATATGTACCCTGTTCACATAGGTGCGCACAAAAAGATCAAAAAACTATGGTGCGCAAGCAAGCACGGCGACCAAACTTTGCAAGAAACTAAATTCAAGGACGCGGAAGACGATGGTGAGCGAATCCAAGGCGTGCACCGATGCGCAGGGACCGAAAAAGCCAAACGAAAATAACCTACTTTGGCTCAACGGCAGCTTCGCGAAAACACAACGCAGATTACTAGTTCAAACTCTGAACAGGGGCTTTCTCTTTGCTCTTCGCCTTCTTCCTCTCCAAACATTTCAAAAACAAGCTTGGGCTGCTGTACGAGTCCATGGAGGTATGCTGCTTGGACGCCCACGCGATTTTTTCAGCCTGGTGCAGGATCATGGTCGTGTGCCACGCGTGACTGTAGCTGGTATGGTCAGCCCTGCGACACGATTTTAGGGCGATTACGTAACCACTCTGACATCTCTACTACATAATAGTCATTACCATGATTACCGTACCAGTACTAGTACTAGTACTAGTAGTAGTAGTACTACTAGTCGTATATTCTACTACAACACGTCAACGTTGCAACAGTAGTACGTTCTGCACGCAATGACTATCAAAATAATAAATTCTACTACTACTAGTACAGTCAGGATTATAAAAACAGATCTTTCCGTCCAGAGTCCAATCGTTGCGTTGAAAATGGTGATTGATGAGGCGAGGGAATAAGAGTCGGGCCTGAACTGATATTTTTAGGCTTTCTGTTACTACGTGATATCGTGCACAGTTTAGTTAGAGTTGATCACTATGGCCCATATGGATTGGCACAATCTAGTGCTACTAGCGGTTCTTATCAGTGTAATAGCGAACAGCACGTATGGAATCCAGCAAGGATACTCGCCGTACAATGATTGCAAGACGGTAGAATCAGTCGGCGCTGAGAAACCACGATCGTCTCTCTGGTCCACACCGTCACAGCTTCGACTGTCTGTTACAGGTTGCCAAGGTGAAATGGCCCTGACCTGGGTGTCAGCTGCACATCTTCTCGACATCTCTGTGAAAGTGGGGAAATCCCGGACTGCTCTGAATGACGTCATCATTGCAATGGCCAATATTACCATGACATCGTACGCAAAGCCGAGTCGCATCGGGGATAGTCCCAAAATCTATCACACGATTTTGCGGCCGCTGGAGCCAAATACAAGGTACGTGCGGTTACAACCTGGCATGCTGCCCTCAGACTGGCCGGGAGCATGGCGCTGTGCACCTATTTGTGAAGCTTTATCCGCTCTGCCCACTGCATGCGACAGCTCAGGGTTTCAAGAGCAGTTTCTCGTTTCTAATGCATGCACTGAAAATGACCGAAATACCTGCATTGCATTTGGCCGTGAGGAAATGACCGGACCATTGTGCGGACTGCATGCACATATTGCCGGTGGTAAGGCTAAACATGCACTACCGTCCTGAACTATTGCACACCACGACATCGCAATCAAGCGCACAACGTCACATAACTACAGTATCCACATTTCCCTGAACAACGTTACGAGTGCATGTTACGTGACGCCATGTCGCACTCTAAACCCCATTGCAAGGTCGAAACAGATGGTTCAACGTCTACAATCGAGTGAGACGTATTCTTCGAGTGATTGCTAGTGACACCTATAATCTGATTCACAGGGCCTTCCCTATCAAAATAATAAATTATACTACTACTACTAAGGCCTCTTGTACGGGCAAAAAGAAATAGATCGGCGTGAAATCAATAGTGATGAAAAACAACAACGCAAAGAAAAGAACAAGCAGAACACAATGTCAATCATCCATCTAACCAGCCAGGGTAGTTAGAGCACATTAAACTTTAATGACACCAAGACTACTACTAGTACTACTCTGATTTAGCCTTCGCTGATGGTAGAGGCAAATGCAGTTGGATCCCAAGACGGATACCTTGATGCCGTCCTTATTGAAGTTATTCTGCACCTTTTCCTCGCCCACGTTCTGAGATAATGGTGATCTCATAAGTGGGGTCATTTTCCATGTCCACCCAGAGTCTGGGTATTTCAGGGGGTATCGGCCGTTCAAGCGGGCAGCTCAGCACTCAACTGAGTCACCATTTTCCTAGATTCCTTTTGAAGCTCTCTCCCTCTGTCCAGGGGAGGCCCACATTACCCAGAGCAAGTACAGTGAGTGTGTATGACGCATGTGGTGCCGATCAAGTCATTCTGTGCTGCTGCTGCTGTTGCTTGGCTACTGTTTCTGCAGGTACTTCTATCAGGTAGTGTCGGGCGGTGACACAGGTAACATCCACTATGCCACGCGGAGTAAAGTGTACTCATTCACCACTGCTCCAGCAGCCGCAGTCCGCACCAGCAGCAGCTCGCATCCGGCCCCCTCCTCGTATCCAGTGCGATGGCTCTTCTTGGCGGATCACGGCACGAAACCCGAGTCCCAGATTACGGCCATCACAATGCGCAAGCTCGCCAATCTAGCTGTGTCCGCCAGCATGAAGCCAGACCTGGTGATCCACGGTGGGGATATGGCGTATGGCAACGGCGTCGACTATCATTGGGACGAGTGGGGCAAGTTTATGGAGCCCATCACCGCCACCGTGCCATACATGGTGGTGGCTGGAAATCATGAGCTAGTGTCGGGCGACTCCGGTGGAGAGAATGGTGTGCCGTTGATGCATCGCTTTCATATGCCCTATCCAGACCATATGCCCGCGGTGGATCACAATAGTACTCTGGACGGCCGCGCTTTCTGGTACTCGTTTGACTGGGGCCCGGTTCACTTTGTAGCTGTGTCAACGGAGCATGACACCGACGCGGCACAGAGGGCATGGCTACGGGAAGACTTGAGCAATGCCTCCAGTAGCGAGCACGTCGACTGGATTGTCACGTTTGGACACGCACCCATATACACCAGTAACATTCGCCACGGCAACAAGACCACGTTGCGATCTTGGCTGGCACCGCTGCTGGATGAGTTTTCGGTTGACCTGTCGTTGTGGGGGCATGACCATTCCTACGAACGGTTATACCCTATACACAACGGCAAGGTCACATCACAATCTTATGACAGCAATCGTGGAACTGTCCATGTTATCTGTGGCAGTTCTGGATGGCAGTTGCATGACTGTTGGAAAGCAACCGCCATGTCAGCATTCCATTCAGCCAATTCATGGGGATTTCTGTCCCTGAACGTGTTCAATTCAACTGCCTTGCAAATAGACTACGTGAGCAATAGCAATGACTCTCACGTGCTTGATTCAGTGGTTGTTCGTCGGGCCTCGGGGCGTGTACACTCACTATCGTCCAGCCATGAAGCACCGACAAAGGCCGAGACGGTGCCACCTACGAACTCATCTCCAGGTAGCAGGACTCCACCACCAACTTTTAACGTTAGTATCACGAGTACCAGCTCTAGCCGTGGGATGCTGTCGTCAACATACTTCCCAACAGGCATTAGTACCAGCTCACTTTCTCCTGCATACACCCCTTCCAGCAACGGCACCGACATTACACACACAGACTCTTCGTTTCGCTACAGGCTGCTATTTGTCGTTTGGCTGCTTGGTGGCATTGCTATTGCGTACATGATTTATACAGCGCTGCTCAGCCTGGGTGTGGTCGGAGCAGATAGCCCCGGTACTAAACTAGTGCAGCCGGCTGAAAAGAAGCTACTGACTGACCTGAGACATTCTGATGAAGAGGAGGAAGAAACACTTTGACCTGTCCAAATACAATTATAGCTACTAAAACAACAAGTACATACATACCAGGTAGGTCAGAACACCTTAGTTGTCTGGAGATTCAGTACATAGTTATGGTTGTTGTTTATAATTACAGTATATTCTAGACATTGCATGTCCTTATAATCGTATAATTATTATCTTGATCTACCTTCTTGAAGTGTACCAGTATAGTGAAGTCCTCATTGAAGTTTACTAAGTAACAACTACACCGTATTCGAGAAACAGGCGGTGGGCCGAAACAGTCATTATAGACTCAATCTGTGTTTAGCGAATCCCGCAGACTGCAACAATGTAATTTCTAGTACTGCTTCGGGTACTCAGTAATCTTTTCATCGAAAAATCTCTACGCTTCATCATGCAGCTATCTATTTGTATTTTTGTATTTATTGTATTTCAAGGATCACCCAATGGCTCTGGGCCTGTCCAGGGGATCTCCTACTCGGAAACATTTATGTTGGCCTAACAAACAGGGCCGGTTGAGGCAGCTATGTTGGCCTATGAATTTATACACTGCAGTGCTGTGAAGCCTGTGATAACATCGACCGCAAAAAAAAGTGTGAACAAATTCATGTGTATACTGTTGCCCCTGATGGTTAAAAAAGACGAGGAAGTAAGAGAAGAAGCACTTACTTCAATACAGCTGTACATGTACAAGCTGTAGCGTCGGCAGAAAAACATTGACGGATGAAATGCAGTAAAAAATGTACGGTTAAAACTGGCAATGAGAAAGGCCGTATTATTATTATTTTTTAATACTTCGTGATGAGCGTAGTACATGTACACCCTGGATCGTGATCCGTGTGCATGAATGTCTTTGTGACTACCGACTTACATTGTATACGCAGTATTTTTGGGCTTTGCGTTATGACATTGCCGCGTGCTGTGACTTGCAATGTGTCTTCACATCTCCACATCGATTAGTACATGGTTATGTACTCTTGGTATTACCAAGAGTGTTCTCTACACTGGAGCTTGCGCTATTCCGCCGACTTGACGGACTCACGACTGCCATCAGGAGCACACGAGAAGTCCATCGAACCTTCGACTTGGCACACCTGCAAGAAAGCACCACTCCCTGCTCAATACACAGTGTTTCAGGGAATTCACCCTCATCAGTTGAGCTTGAGTAGGACCAAGCGATCGTTGCATAGGAGCTCTGCCATGACAGCCGGCATTGATACCATTACAAAACTACACCATCGAACAATTGCTCCCTAACGTTAATTAATACAAACGCACACAACCACACAGAGAAGCCGAGTGCACGGGTCAATCAAGCCACATCCAGTGGCACGTTCTGTAGCAATATTAGAGACGGTCGCATTTTGGACATGGTATAACAGAGAAACGGCAACAACAAAACAGACGAAGAGCACTGGTATGCACGAGTAGAGACAAAATATTATTAGTATTATTCAGCAAAAACAAACAAAATTGTTCAATATTTAGTTTCACCAGAAGCAAGGAACAATTCTGCAATAACATACCAGTGCCCATTGAAGCATAAAAAATAATGTGTTGGACAACATCTAATTGACAAATTCTAGAAAACAAGGAATAAATGAAAGGTGGGCCCAGCGGTGTCAATGTACAGGCGAGGAGCGATAAACACGGGCACAGACACATATACATGACGGAGAGGACATCCACCAAGAGACAAACTGGAGTGCCGGGGCATGATCAACGACCAAAATTTGATAGGATGGGCATGCCTAAAGGGAACGTGAGGAAGAGATGAAGAAAAAGAGGGGAAGAGCACTGCGACCCAGTCTCAATAGAGTGGAGGACGAAGGGGGGGGGGGGGGGGGGGAAGAAGCACAGAGGCTGTGCCAGGAGGACGCAATTAAAATATGCAGTCCCTCGCATACTGAGAAGCTCAAACAAAGCAACAGTCCTAGATGTCCGAGAAAGAGAGAATGGCGCGTGCGCGCACACACACACAAACGCAACGGATTACTTCATGAATGCACCGTACGCGCCAGCGCCTTGTGCTGGTCTCGCACCCATGGCCATCATGTTCTGTTGTGCCATCATACCTTGTTGCATGCCGCCGGCTTGCTGCATGCCCATCATACCCATGCCAACTGGCTGTTGCATACCCATGCCAACTGGCTGTTGCATACCCATGCCTTGCTGCATGGCCATTCCCTGCATACCGGCAGCGCCCATGCCAGCAGCAGCAGGCTGCATGCCGCCCATGCCCATACCGGCGCCCATCATGCCACCACCTTGCATTCGCATGCCCTGCATACCACCCATGCCGCCTTGCATACCACCTTGCATGCCTCCCATCATTGCCGCTTGCTGCTGTGCCTGCATACCGCCTCCCATCATACCACCGGCTTGGATCGTGGAGCCGGCTGCGGGTGCCACTGGCTTGCGCTGCTGCATCTGATTCATGGATGGCTGATTGCTCTGTGCCTTCTTCTGCGCCGAGGACGCGCTCAGGTCCAAACTGACATTCAACCCTGTGGAGTCAGTCCACTTACTAAGCTCACTGGAGGATTTCTGAATACAAAAACACAGCAAAACAAGCAGAAATTGCTTGCAAAGAACAATATAATTCGACTGACCGGCGCCACCCACAACTGATAGCAATGGCAACAGAGATACCATAAGTCCATGTATAAATCACTGCCTAGATGCACTGATTGAAAAAATCTCTGAATATATCCCACCCCAAGGGATTACCTTACAGTCCAAAAGGCCCCGACGGCTTACCGGTTTTGACCAAGTTATGGCCCAAAACTCACTTTAAATCCAAAAAATCCGAGTTTCGGACATGCTTTTCATACATTGTGTGCAAAACCCTACGGCAGGAAAGTGATGCATACATGTATGTCCCATTTGCCCATAGAATGGTGCTTTGTCCTAAGCGTAAACAATGACAAAGAACAGACCTGCTGGGCTGGACTGTGCACAGTTCCAACCACAGGAATACCTGCAATGGCACGCATTTTGTACAGCAGTGCATGCGCCAGCTCAATACCGTTTTCTGGCGTATACGCTGAAACCACTTCACACATAGAACATTGCATTGAGAGAGAGAGGGCAAAATAAACCAATTCCTCCCAAATAATTCCCTGTAGAAGCATGGGGTACTTACAAGGTCTGCTTGTGCTGAAGTAGTTGTGGCAGCAGATGCAGCTGGCTGCATAGTCTGTGCTGTGGTTGCCTACAATATCAAGACAGTAGAGTACAGCAGATGTGCACGATTGTACATCAAAGACCGGCATTGAGAAGAACGGGAGGGATCCAATAAAGATATTATTATTAATGAAAACAAAACTCGGGAGGCATAGGGCCACAGTGCAATACATCCACATAGAGTTCTAACCAGACCATTTTCAAATTCCAATGTAGACCTGTTTAGAAGCAAGTAGGTGGACTACCGTTGCCTATATTTGGAAGCATTATACAGCAAAGCTTGGGTAAACCAACATCGGTAACAGCGATGAAAAATTGGTGTCCCCAACACAGTATTGCCAGTACGTCAGGAATGGCCTATCACATAGTAATTGGAAACGAGGGCACTTCGCGCTGCATGCTGGAGTCTTATTACATCCCAGCTTCAATGTACACTTACTGGAAAAAAAGACACGCCGTCATTTTGACCCTTTCCATCGCATGATTGTGGGGTGCGCGTGTGTGTGTTGAGGGAGGAGAGAGAGAGAGAGAGATACCCTACGAACAGTGAGGTGTTCACTGGTGCAGGACGCAAAGCTGACTCACTCGATCGGATTTTCATCGAGCAGCACCAGCTCCGATATATGCACTCACAGTCGGTGCTGCTTGTGTGCGGATATCGACCAGGACTACCCATGTGCTTGGACAATATTTCTTATGTACCAGCACATTTCCAACAAGGGATTGAACCTGCACAGTCCTGCAAAAATGGGAGGTATGCATAAAAGATGGTTGCAACCTTTTGAGGGGCAACTTGTCCCACAATTGGCAGGTACATGTACAACCAGCTCTGGTATGTTTGTGAGCATGATCCTTTTATGCAGGGCTGTTATCACAGTGTGTACGGTTGTAGTGTACTTGCCCAGTAAATCATAAATGGCAAGTGATGCATACATCCCATTAGATGACTCCCCCCCCCCACCACACACACAGCCATATTTCCAACCACACACCTTTACCACACCCTCTGGAACTGCCACAGCTACGTAAAGAACATCTCATGAGTACGAGGGTGATACCGGCGAATATCAATCCCGACTGCGAAGCAGAAGGGATTGATATGAGGGTACGGTATCACCCGAGCTACGAGGGTGATATTCTACTTATCACATATGACCCTACACCATGTACACACCATGTGTCTACTTATCCCATATGACCCTACACACTATGTGTCTTATCCCATATGACCCTACACACCATGTGCACCGTACTTCATGCTCTTCCTGCTACACAACTACATTCCCACAGTAGAGTTTAGTTTGAACTTAGGTAAAGCATAGGGTAGGAAGGAAAAGTATAGAGGAGTGGAAATAGAAGAGTTGATGGAAATGGAGTATTGTAAATTGTAAATGGAACACTGCATTGCAGAAACGAGCCAACTTCAGCGCAGTTCCTTCACATCGTTCACATGTATGTGAACGGCACCACTGAAGTTGCCAGAGAATATGAATTTTGCGCTATTCTCCGACGTCACCGTGGATGAACTGGTAGTGACAGAAGCTGACGGGGGAGGTGCCTGAGGCTCTTCCAAGGCCTGCAGTTCCTCCGGAGTCGCGCACTGCAGTGCTTCATCAATGGCGGCTACGTCCAACAGGTGAGCAGTTTTCATCTTGTCATGCTCGCTTGGCTGCAAGTACGAGTCTAGGCTTTGGGCATTCCGATGGCCGGAAGTACGCATGATTGTAGTGGCACTCACATTTTGCTTAGCCAAGGTCGTAATGGCGGTGGCGCGCACACTGTGGTTGGTGTAGATCTGGCTTAGTCGCGCTGTTTCGCTCATCTTCTTCATCATGCCATCGATTTCGTTTTTACCAAACACTTGGCCTGTGTACCATTCTGAATCCTCTGGCTGGTAATGTTTGCGTGGTATCTGAAAGAGTCGCTTGGACTTCACAGACAACTTTGAAGTGAGGAGTAGGACGGCTTCCACCTGCCAGTCGGACACTATCATCCCATCAGATACCGTGTCCTTTCCTTTAATGCCGCCTTGCTGGTTCTTCTGGGCGAATGCTGTGGCTAATGTGATGAATCTTTTGCCTTTGTCGTTGGTCTTCACATCCAGGTCGTCGGATGTTAGATACGCCTGAATCTCCGAACCACGCAGACAGAAGTGGTAAGTGATGACGAACCAGACAAGGTAGGTGAGGTGATCCGCATTTGTCTTCCAGTCACCGAGGTGCTTGTAGATCTTTTCTTTGTCGCTATCGGAGATGGGAGGCTTGTGCTGCGTTGGTGCTACCAGGCCGTCTTTTTTTAACTGCTTTAGGTAGCCATCAAGTACTTGGTTAGCCTCGATAAACTCACTATCAGTATAGAGATTGATGGTGCGCTTCAGCTCTTGCAGTTCACGGTGAATGGCACTCCGAAACTGCAGTAAGCTGTTCTTAGAATACGGCTGTTTGTTGACTTGACGGATTTCAACATAGGCATGCTTCAGGATAGATGCTAGATCAGTCGCTTGTATTGTTTTCAAGTCGCACGTTTTCTTGTTCTCCACACACCAAGTGTCAAAAACACGCATCCAGTTCTTAGGTTGCGTTTGGTTGGGCATTTTCAGAATGTAAATGACAACCATTCTGGAATGGGAATCGGCAAGAATCACCTGACCAAACTAACGCGCCAGAATCAATTAGGAATCACTTGATATAACAATTCCATGATGTCGTTGTGGAACGGCGGCTGTCTTTTCTTTTACCCGACTCTAGTTTCCTTGAGAGAGTCATGGTACTTCTGAGTGCATGATTTGAGGCACTTGAACCTGTTGCTACATTGTTTGGCTCGTGGCAGCCATTATCATTTTTGATTCCGGAATGAGAATGCTCATTCCAGCATGTGAGGTGGAATGATCATTCTCCAAAAAGAATCATTCTCAGCGATTCCCATTCTGGAATCATGTGGAATGTGACCAACCTAACGCACTTTTTTGACCAACCAAACGGGCGAGAATGATTCCGAGTGATTCCAAGTGATTCCCATTTGGGAATGTGACCAACCAAACGTAACCTTAGTAGCTCGTTTGGTGTTTGCGGGAACACGACTTTCACGTATCCTATCCAGATCTGACTCAGACACTTGCACAAATCGCTTAACTCTTTCTTCACTGCTGTGCTGTTCTGATGAAACGCGCTTTTCAGTAGTGGTCTTTTCCACTACCTCACCAGTTGCTAACGTCGCAGTTGCTGTAGATGATAAAGAGAATCCTGACATGTTGGCTATTTCATCCGTAGATAAAAAGTTGAAGTAGTTGGAAGCGGCATCCAAAACTTCTGCATCTTCCAAGTCAATATCACTTGCACCCAAGTCAAAGCTAGCCATCTTACTGGTAAGAATACCGAAAGTGACCAGACCCAGAAGTATTGTCAAGTACTTGTGCTTTCTGTGTACGTGTGTACAAACCATGAGGGTCCTTGGCTCATTGTTCTAGGAACGGAATCAATGACTCCATTCTTGGTAAGTGTTTTCCTTGGTCATGTTGTATTTCCTGCAACTTAGGCGTACTATTCTCGGAATTGTTGTTTACTAACTTTTAGTATAAATTCCAATTCCTCGAAAGTGTACTATATTGCATTCCATATTTAGCATTTGATTGCTCCTTCTAGCCCTATGTTTCAGGCTCTACTGAGCCTACTTGGTAGACCCCTCCCCCCCCCCCCCCCCACCGCTTTCGCCAGCAAGGCCAAAGGGGCGGGGGGTAGGCACGGCAGTAGGGTCTGTAGCGTAGGGCCTAGCAGGAACAATCAAGTGCTAAATATGGAGTGCATTTATAGTACGCTTTCGAGTATATGCGTACGGTGTACGCAGCAGGGGTGATATAGAGCAGCAGGGGTGATACGGGCTAGGCGGGGTGATATCGGCCTATATCACCCGCCTACGAAGGCCTCTGATTGGTTCAATCCATGGAAACCATCACCTGATATGTGATAAGATACCATTGTCACCCAGCCACCAAAGCATAGAACCTACCTGAGGCTGCATTAACGATGGCTGAGCATTCATGAGATCCATAGCTGAAAGCGGTGCCGGTGCAGCGGCCACAGCGGGTTGTTGTGTCGGTGCAGGCGTAGCACCTTGGAAGCCGGTGAAGTCGGCAAAGCCTTGCGAGCTAGCAGCCGGCGCAGGAGCAGCTGCTGCCGGGGCAGATGAGAACGCCGCAAAGTCGCCAAAATCTGCACATGAAACGCATAGCCAGGTTGAACACGTGCGTGTGTGTGTTTGTGTGTGTGCTGCTGTTCATGTAGCCACAGTAGATACGGGACAGCTGAGAGATAACATTAATGCGCATTCTGCTATATCCCCAACAACTAACAAGAATGCTAGGGATGAAACGAATATTTGACCATTCAAAAACACCAAACGATATTCGAAGGTTTGAAACATCACTAGAGCTGGTGCATAATTTCTTTTTGTATTAAGACTTACCTTGGTTGGCGGGTGCTGCACTAGCAGAAGGAGCAGCGCCAAAGGCATCAACGTGAGGAGCAACGGACTGCAACGTTGCCTGTGACACGGTCTTATTGGTGTTAGCTGCTGGAGCACTGGAGAAGTCTGCAAACAGATCACCACCACTGCTAGTACCAGCAGCAGCAGATGAATTAGTGCTTTCGGGGCCGGTCCCCGTGTAGTGGGCAGCTGCGCCGAGGTCGATTGGCGCACGGCTCTTTTTCGCAGTCTTCTTGCTTGTGGTTGGTGTACCGATTGTACCCGAAGGCATGGAAATGCCCGCACTACAGTATTGCAAACACACGCACACACATACACACACAGGGAAGCATGAAAAGACAACGAGCGAGCAAACTTGGCCTCAGTCATGTGGAAGGCTGCACACCTAATCAGTGCATGGCTGGCAAGAATACTAGTACTCGTACATAGGTGCAGTCCACTGATTCCTGCCACCAATACCGACACAGTCACACTACAGTAAAACCTGTAATGGCGACCACTTTTCCTTGTCACGGACGCATTCACATTCAAAACAGCTCGGATAAGGCGACCACTCACTCAACGCGACCGATGACCACCTACCCGCGACCGCATTGCACCGTGCTAGTACATGTAAATGTATGCATTGCATGGTGCACCATGCATGGTAGATCTACACACCAGTGCAGGAAGTGTAGATGTGCATGGTCCATGCACGACACTTGACAGGTCTGAGGACCCCAGGCACATGAGTCGTGCTAAAGTAGCATAGCCATAGGCGTGTGCACTGTGATACACTGATCAAAATGATGTATCACATGTGGATATGGTCACGCGACCCACTGAACATGGATAAGAAGACCACCTGGCCACGGCGACCACTTTTCTCGTCCCTTGAGACAGGTTTCACTGTATTATGTATGAGTGGGGCTACATTATCTATACAAGAAAACAAAACATGGGGTACATTTCTGAACATCGGAGAAGAAGAAGAAAAGGAAAGAAAAGCGTGGAGGACCCACAGTGTTCAAACTCACCCTTCGTCGTGCTCTGAGTCGCTGTCGTCTTTGTATGCGTTCTTGCTGGAGGACTTCACGCGCCCTTCACCCTCATCGTAGGAGGAAGCACGAGGGTCTGCATCATATCGATCGCCTGTAGCAGATACAAACAGAACACAAACCAAGAATGCCTTCGCCATGGGCCATTTCGCTGGGAACAGACGACCAGGCTTGAACAGTGCAAAAGCCATGAGTGTGCAGACACGTACAGGAAGGCCAAGACAACATGGACGCCACTTACTGTAACGAGTTGTGGTCTGCTCGGATGACACACCAACATACTTGTCCTTGGTCTTTTTGGCCTTCCGTCGTTCATCTCGTAGCCGCGAATTATCCTGAAGCAAAGCTATGAGCTCCTTCACTTTCTGTCGAACTATAACGTAAAGAAAACATACGAAAGCGAAGCAAGCACAGAGAACAGGTCATTTCCATCACATAGACGTGCAGTTTCGCAATTTTAGCAAGACTAGTCTCGATCGGTCTTCGCACCATAGGGCTTCATTTCGCTTCATAATTTCGCCCAGACACTACTAGTAATCGTTAGAAAATGAAGCGTAGGGGGTTATTTCAGCCAGATTTCAGTTTTGGTGTTTTGAGCTTATAAACCATGACATCCGGGGGGAATTAAGATACCGGTTTCGTGCAGAATGTGCATGCCTGCTCTCACAGAGGTCACTTGATCAGCTGCTGGTCACCACATCAGCACCATAAAACGGTCATGTGCTGTGTTGTTTGACAGGAAGCCAGAGTATTTCACACGCGACATTGTACAAAACCTATCTGTATTTTTGAAAAAAAAATAGGGATATCAACGTGACAGTGTAACTGCTCTAGCTGTTCCCCGTCCAAGGTTGGAGCAGCCAGAACATGCTTCGAGTGCACCAGCATGGGAACAGTACAAATCAGTGGTGCTCCACGTGTTCCTGTTCTTGCCCACGAACATTCCCAAATACTCTGGGTCGAAGCGATGTAGAGGATACACATGCATGTATTCATACACACTTGAGAGGAATCAAAAGCGTTTCTGCTGTAACTCGAGTTTCACGGTTTTAACCGATCATCAGACAGCAACTGCAGAAACGCTTTTGATTCCTCTCAAGTGTGTGTACTAGGCTCTGCACCTTGGTGTATTGAGCACTGTCACGAGCAACCACAACTCCCTCCGAGTGTGCATGTATGCATGTGTGTGTGTGTGTGTGTGTGTGTGTGTGTGCGTGTTTACGCGTATTAGTGCATGTTTGTGGGTGTGTGTGTGTTTTTAAATGTGTATTGGGACTCTCCTGCGCGAGTGCCGTTTGCGTTGGCTGGGTCATGTTGCCCGTATGGACGCAGCCCGGATTCCGCAAAAAGTGTTGTTTGGGGAGCTTGAGGCTACCAGACCACGGTATGGACCAAAGAAGCGTTGACGAGACACGATTGTTGGTGATTTGCATTCACTGGATATTCCAGAGTCCAAGTGGTAGTAGGCAGGTCCATCAGCATCGTCCTCCTCCCCCAGCACATGCGCATGCGGCAGAGCATTCAGGAGAAGTGGCGATTTGAAGCGTCACCTCAAGTACTGCCAAACTCAGTAGCCTATCATCTCCTCTGGAGATGGGCGTCAAAGGTGTGTGTGTGTGTGTGTGTGTGTGTGTGTGTGTGTGTGTGTGTGTGTGTGTGTGTGTGTGTGTGTGTGTGTGTGTTGAACAGTCCTATCGAAAAGTCAAATCTGAAGTGAAATGTATCCTTGACCAGACATACTAAAATACGAAACTCTGAAATAGCCCACAAACAAGGAAATCATTCGGTGATGCTATGACGTACCATTAATTCCTTGATCTTTGAGATTCTCATCTTTGTACTGATAGTCCTCCAGGGCTTTCAGATCATACATATGATCACGAGCACTCGTGACAACTCTTTCAGAGCCATTGCGGACCAAGTACGCCAACAACAGCAAGGACTGAGACGAAGCACAGCAGTACACAGAACAATAGCACAAGACTAGCATTAGAATTCATATCAAAAACGTTATACTAAAATAATCATGGGTGTAGATTTACGTACCTTATACGTGCGTCGCCAGTTCTTGGTTTTGTCGAACATTCGCTGCCAGAGCATTGCCATTACTTCAGGAAACCCTTCATACGTAAACGTGTTTTTAGCAATATCTTGCATGATGGAACCGTGAGGTCCCCAGGTATCATCGTTGGTTGCTTCTCGTACTTTAGCTTCGACTTCCGAGTAATTCATCACCACATTGGTGCTGTACAGAACAAGCGCACAAGAAAACGCACTTTTTGCATTGCTGCAATTTCTCCTTCGCATCCAACCGCTTCGGTCCTTACACTTTGTCACTAAGTTCTCTAAACTTCCACATGATGGCGACCAATTGGGAGCCTTAGCTACGATCCAATTGTTAATCAAAAACGACCATGACAGCGAAAGCGTCCAAAGCCTCTTTGGCAAGCCAGTTACCTGCAGCGTCAACGCTCAGCAGTCAAAGCAATTTTTTTCTCTTCCCTTGTCTTGTCGCATGGTTGAGCTGCGGGTCAAGTTCGCAGTGTCAAGGGAACGACGCCATTTTTGCTTTTGCACCTTCCAGCCCCTAAATATATCGGAGTTTCGACTTTCCTAACACAATGTCCAGGGCTAAAGTCAAACTCGAGTGCGATTTAGTTCAAGACGCAACGGCGCGTTGCGAGAGTTTCAGCCAGAAGAAAACTTCTGGCTTCAATCTCGATCACGTGGTATATTATCATCTTACACCTACACAGTACACATTCACTGATTCAGAGTTCAGCATGCAGTCACCATGTACCATGATGTACCAATAGCAGTAATAATTTTTCAGACTTAGGATTTTTACTTTTGACGTACAATAGTCATTGTTATGTTACTGGTTACGTGTATGTGGGCAATGTAGAGTGAACCCCCTTCTGGCTAAGTCTGCTCGAATTTCATGTGAAGCAGCCGGTACCAGGAGTTGTCTCTGTCTGCGGAATCTGTTTCTCATAATTATTACTTGGCCAACATGGAGAAGCTCGGCGTGGACACTGTAGAAGAGTTCAAAAAGGTATTTTTCATAGATTCTATAATACTAATAGTGCACTCGCGTTTATATAAATCTAGAGCCAGCGATTGTTTTAATTTGTTCCCACTGTCAATTTGGAGAACAATTCGTGAAACGTCACTCGAATTTTTAAAATTTGAATGATTTTTGGTATTTCATCTCATTCCACAATCATAATACATAATGCCAATAAATATGTGATGCGGGCGATTATAATGAACCATGGTGGAGAAAACTGAGAATAAGAAGACATATTCAGAAGAAAAAAAGCTGTACGAACAGCATGTACGTAGCTGTGTGAATGCACTTGCATGAAAACGCTGTCTGCCAGTACTGTAAGACCAGATATTTTAACGTCAATTAAAGTTAACGATCTCCTGATTTTTGTGGGTTAGCGAGGTGAAATTCTAACGAATTCTGTCTCAAAACCTGCAAATGACTGTACATGTACATATCGTTTTGCACATAACGACTTCAAATGTTAACGATTCTTTCAAATTCACTAAGTCGTTAGAATTAAATGTTCGTTAACATTACTAGTCTTACAGTACCTGGAATTCCAAAACGTGACGCGTATTCCAATGTAGTATGAACAGCCTATAACGGAACGTTATTGCAACGGGTGTGATTGAGAATATCGAATGGTTGGTACGCAGTAGACGAGTAGGAGAAAATGCTTGTTGAAGAGTTATATGGAAATCCATGTAGGTGAAAGGCAGGGGTGGGGGGAGGTGTCATGGAGACTGAGTGATAGCTCCCCCCCCCCCCTCACACACACACACACACACACATGTACCCCCCCCCCCCACACACACACGTATATTGGAGTTCCTGCATTAGGAGACAGTCACATAAGAGCGAGGTTTGGAAGACAAACATATATACCGGTACTACAGTATTTTGTGTACCCTTTGCTGTGGGAAGGATAATCTCGCTTGGAAATCTGTAGCTCAAAATATTGAGTGCATTTTGCATTTATGCGGTATCAAGAGTGCATAACCCCTCAGAGTGTAACGCCTGATCCAGCTCTGCATAGGGTCTTGGTCGAGCGTAATCGGATCTTCTGATGTCATGCGTACACTCCACACCAGCACAAGGCCGGTCTCGAGGCAGGGCACCGTTGTTTTTGATCCGAGAGTACCCGCGACTCCCCGGGTTCCTCTCAGATGTGTACGGTATTATGACGCAAAGATCCGATTACGCTCGACCAAGACCCTATGCAGAGCTGGATCAGGCGTTGCACACTCTGGGGGGTTATGTACTCTTGGCGGTATGTATGTATGTGTGTACAGTGCTGGCAACTGAAATCTGACCCCTGAGCGGTGCGCTCACATCGCAAAGACCCAACACGGGATTGTAAAACTATGAAATAGAGACCGCTAGAATGTGAACGCACCGCTCAGGGGTCGGATTTCAGTAGCCAGCATTGTATGTATGTATGTATGTATGTATGTGTGCTGCTTGTGGATTACAGGTTGCTTTATCGTCAGTGGTTGCAGCTGTTCGCAATGCCAACACGCTGCCCGCTCCCGGCGACGACTTCAACTTCTACTCCAGCTATGATGGCTTTCGTCACTTCTCCCAGCACCAAGGATCCCATCTAAAGAAATTGTGAGTTTCTATGTGTGTGTGCACGTGATTTCGCGGCTACAGTTGTGCTCAATGAAATCCGAGCCCCAAGTTAAAAAGCCCAGTCTTGGCATGTGCAACAGACTCTGCACCACTCAACTTGTACTTTGAAGGTACGCTGTACGCACAGTAGTGAGTACGTGTATGTGGATCGAGTGCCAAAAAAAGAAAAGAAAAACGCAGCATTTGCTTTGGCTCATGGGTTGAATTTCATTGGCCACACGTATAGATCAATGACTGTAGTCCCTAGTCGAGCAGTGCCAGAGCAGGACTGGCGGTGACATCATGCTTGCAGTTTCTGCGCGGTTAGTGCACACCTGTCCGACATCGAAGCAAAGCTTGCTTCCTGATGAGTTGCATAGCGCTGAGGGTGCAATGGTCTGAGCCGTTTCACCCCTCTCTCAATCCCCAGGCTTGCCTGGTAAGTGGTAACAGTCATGTACAGTGAAACCTGTTTAAGACGACCGCTCAAGGGACCTTCAAGATATGGTCTCTGTCACCAGGTGATCGCCTTATCCAGGGTCAATTGACTGGAAATAGCATCCATTGGTCCTGGTTGCAGTGGTCTTCTAGGACAGGTGATCGCCTTATCCAAGTGGTCGCCTTATTCGAGTGGTCGCCTTGACAGGTTTTACTGAACTTCATACTAAGTACTAGTAGGTATCAGCTATGCTCTACGTTGCCAATCGCCGTGAATCTTATTGCTTTTACCAACTCCTTTGCACTGCTTGTACAGAATCGGCGGTCTTCTGCAGCAGCAGGATATCAATACGACATGGATGCCCCATGGGCAAGCCAGTGCAGAGGACTGTGAGGATCAGATGGAGAGTCTCATCGAAGGCAATGACTCGATCTTGGAGAGAGTTGTAAGTGGCACATGCCAGCATCCTTACTCCTTAGTCTCCTCAGCTCACGGGCAGTGTGCTTGTTTTGTGCCATGGACAGTAGCTCTAGTGAAGCAGCATTCAACTCCATTGCCTGCTGTCCAGGCTATGAACATGTCTGTCTATACATGTATGTCCATGCATTGTGAGTGCACTGACTCATACAACATGTCATGTATCCATACCGGAGTGAAGTAGCATTTAACTCCACTGCCTGTTGCGGATGTGGTATCTTTTAAAAGTTTGTGTGCTGTATGTACTCAGAATGAGATGACCTGCAGTTGATCTCATTGGAGAAAACAAAAGAAGCCTATTGCAAGCTCAAAGGGATCATGATCTAAATGTCAGCTTTTGCTAACCAATTTAGTCAGACGTGCACAATTTAGCTGGCAGGGAGTACTGAGACATTCCACGGCATGATACTGGGGTTGAGCACTACTCACTAGCGCTAACTGACAGCTTTCCAGCCTTGAACTGTGTTGGTTAGCGCTATTTAGCAGTGCTCAACCCCAGTATCATGCCGTGGAATATCTCGGTACATGTGCTCCCTATCAGTTTGGTGCTTAATTGTGCATGTCTGAAAGTACAAGATCTGATGTAGGTGGCTGACTCTAACACATAACTTGTGCCCCAGCGTTTTCTCTCTTTTCCTCTCAGTTTTCCACGAATTTTTCTTGGCTCATCATCTGAGTTCAGTTTTGTTTTTGTCTTGTGTTTACTGTTTTCTTGTTGCTACCATGTCAGGGTATACTGCTGGATGAAGCATCCGGTGTACGCCATGCTGAGCCTGTACAGTCTACAACTGCTGGAAAGGCGTCACCGGCAGTCGCCAGCTGGAACAGGGACAATGTATGGCAGTTAGTTAGTGTGTGTGTGTGTGTGTGTGTGTGTGTGTGTGTGTGCACGTGTGTGTGTGTGTGTGTGTGTGTGTGTGTGTGTGCGTGTGTGCATGCGCGTGTGCGTGTGTGTGTTTGTGTGTGTGTGTGTGTGTGTGTGTGTGTGTGTGTGTGTGTGTGTGTGTGTGTGCGCGAGCGCTCAGGTTTCTGCCTCCCTGACCTAATGCGTTTTCATGATGACTAATATTGGCTGTGGCCTGTTGCAGATCAGTGGCAGTGCAATGCTTTGCGTTATGCCAAGAGTACGTTTGACGTGGGCTGAATTCTGTGTGTGTGTGTGTGTGTGTGTGTGTGTGTGTGTGTGTGTGTGTGTGTGTTGGTGTGGGAGTAGGCTTCACCAGGAGTCCACACCACGCCAAAATCGGCCAAGCTCATCCATTCCAAGAGTACTACACGTCCACAGCTCCTCTTCAAGGATGGCGTCGACAATAGCAGTACGCCGTTTGTACCGAGGCTCACTGAGAAACCCAATGCCGTTGTACCCCTGCCCAGTAAGTACAAGTACAAGTACAGTTGAAGTGGTGGAAGGACTAGGCTGTAGGATTGTATTTCACTGGGATTCTAGTACTCCCTCTGCTACCTTAGAATTATGTGTTGGATTCTGTGTGCAGCCCATCGCATATGCCATCCGATGGTATTCTGATGATTGCTTTGGCATGTACTAGTAGCTTGGAGTCGCCATGGCTTCCTAGTGGACCTCTCTCTCTCTCTCTGATCATATTCAACCATCCCACATATTTATATGCATCGTTTGTCTGGCAATGATCTCTACTGGTATGGTTCAGTCCAGGCATGGATGTCAATTTCGATTTAAAGTTGTAGTCTTTTTTTGGATATTCTCCCTCGGACCAATATCCCATTGCCAGTGATTTTGACTTTTCTTTTGCAGCGACGCAGTTGTTCATGGTTTGCCTCTGTCCGTGCATTGTTGTTGTTGTTGTTGTTGTTGTTGTTGTTGTTGTTGTTGTTGTTGTTGTTGTTGTTGTTGTTGTTGTTGTTGTTGTACAGACGTGCCTAAGGTCGTCACTTATGGTACGGCTTCTTCTGCTCTTGACATGCTTCTTAGCAGTGCACGGCAAGGGGCTGCTCTGGAAGCGTACGTACACTCGTCCCCATCTTTAGTCATACTACAGTGCTGTGACTAGTATCATTCCGTTTCAGATTGTCTCTCCTGGAGGCTGGAAGTCGCTGTCACGCTTCTCTGACACAGTGCCTTGTCGAAAGTTTGCTAGATGTCAAATCATTTTGAGTAAAGTAAAGTTCGTAACTCCCCGTTACAACCGGCCATACAACCCGTGTTGAGAAACACAAACCAGCTTAGGTAGTTTCACTTGTGCCAGGCCACCACCATACCTTCCTAAATTTAGTAGTCTCTTTTCTTCCGTGGTATACATCAGGTCTCATGTAGATTTTGGTATGGTGTGCTTGTTTGTGCTTTCCAAAGTAGCAGAGGTAGTGCGATAGTTTTAAATCGTGCTTTCCAACTTAGATTTATAGTAAAGAAAAAAGGACCGAGAAACTACAAGTTACGCTATAATGTCCACTAACACCACTTGAAACTTGTAGTTTCTTGGTCCTTTTTTCTTTACTATATATTTATCCTTGGCTCTCCATCCGAGTCCATTTTTCCAACTTAGCTTCAAGCTTGGTGACTTGCTGTCGATGTTGACTTTTCACTCTTTGTGCTGTCTTCCCCTGTCCACTGCTGCTGCTGCTGCTGCTGCTGCTGCTGCTGCTGTCGCTGTCACTTCCAATGCTGTTACTACTCTGCTGCCTTTTCCATTGCTGCTTCAGTGGCTGTCATCCGTACGAGGTTGAATTGCTGCAGTGGGAGCCAAGTGCAGAGCTACTAACACCGGTCAAGGAACAGGTACGGGCACAGTGCCATCCTCCTCGACACATTGTTAGAAACGTGGACACGTCCAAATGTAGATATTGATCAATGCCTGCACTACTTAGTACCTGGAGTTTAATGCCAGGGCATATGTTGGTAGGGATAGGGCGAAGCTATTGGACCAGTGCCGCAATTATGTACGTTTTTTATTGCCGGCGGGACTCTTGTATTAGATTGGACTGTAGTTATTACACTGTGCATACTGCCACCGATAGCAACGTTTTGGGTTTTGGCACGCGTGATTTTGATTCTTGATTCTGGCCTGACTTGTTCCACTTGGTTTTGCTGTGATTGTGTGCAGCTGTATGGTAAGCTAGCAGACACTCCACTTACCTACGTCGATACTGTGGAGCTACTGGAGGAGATGTGTGGCAAGCTGAGTGCTGAGACGGAAATCGCCGTGGATCTAGAGGTACGAGTACTGTACATACCGCATTTTCCAGAGTACAAGCCACATGGAGTATAAGCCACACCCAGGTTTTTTGTCACGAAGTACAGACATTTATTATTATGATTAAAATTTATTATTATACGCTTGTTCGCGTTGACATCACCAAGCTAGACATCTACCACCGTTAATTCGACCATCGTTGTATAAGCCACACCGACATTTTTCGGGTGAATTACTATACTGGCGCTTAAAGTGTGGCTTATACTCCGGAAAATTCATTTCTTGTACTCGTTTTGCAATCTTCCACCCATTTGGAGCATTCAAAAGAAGGTAGTTGGGAGAGAAATATAATGCTCCACCTTTCAGGAGTGTGGGGACTCTTCGTGGCCTCATGGCAGGATATTGTTTGTCAATCACATTAAATTTTCATGATCTCTTAGCTTAGCGTCTTTGCCATTGCACTTCATGGCACATGCACGGCCATGTCGTTTAGATGTTATTCCCAAGCTTTGGCACAGTCGTGTGGCTTCACATAGTGTGCCTAGCAGAGCTACTATAAGACTTAGTATTGGTCAGCAACCAACGACCTTTGTTGCTTATTATATAATCATGTATTTACTCGCTTGTTTTGATTGGCTTGGACCACTCGGCTAAGTGGTCCTGGGCAAGTGGCTACAATGCCTGGCAGAGTAATAATATGCTGCCAAAGAGGACAAGATCATAGATGATATGACCATCACATGGTGCAGGGGCATCGGAAGGTATTTTAGTGTGGTACGGTCAGCCATCTGAAGTACAATTTACTCGTGGGGGGGGGGGGGGGGAGGGATGGCTGAGCCGAAAATTTTGGAAATTTAGAGCCCACATCAGTGCATTTTATAGATTCACGGGGTACTTGGCCTTGGGGCAAACAGTGGTACGGTCAATACCGTAGTGACCGTACCGTGTGCGACGCCCCTGTGGTGACCAGCAAAGCAAGGGCCCGTGAGCACTTGTTCTCTTCTCGGTGTTATGCGATGAGCACATCAACCGGGAAACTCTTGAGTTTCACGAAATTTTAATTTTTTTTGAATTATTATTGTGTCACCGTCTTCTGAATCAGAGATATGCATGTGTGGCTTCTTCATTGATGGTGTTCTACACATACCGGTAGTTCCTTTTCAAGTTCTGGTCGCGTCCTTTCCACGCTGCAATGTAATGATGTGTGTACTCGTACTGGTATGTTTTGCAGGCTCACTCCTACCGCTCCTTTCAAGGTTTCACCTGCCTCATGCAACTCTCTACGCGCTCCGAGGACTTCATCGTTGACACGCTGAAACTGCGCACAGATCTGATCATGCTCAATGAGGTGTTCACAGATCCCAAGATTGTGAAGGTGAGGTGTGCTTCGCAGTAGTTGTTACTCTACCTGAAGTGATGAATATGATGAAATAGCAGGGGCTCTGGTAGTCATAAGAATGCAAGAAGAGAGAGAGAGAGAGAGAGAGAGAGAGAGAGAGAGAGAGAGAGAGAGAGAGAGAGAGAGAGAGAGAGAGAGAGAGAGAGAGAGAGAGAGAGAGAGAGAGAGAGAGAGAGAGAGGGAGAGGGAGAGGGAGAGGGGGAGATGGAGATGGAGAGCTGTGTGACCATTTTGTTGTTGTTGCTGCTGCTGCTGCTGCTGCTGCTGCTGCTGCTGCTGTTGTTGTTGTTGTTGTTGTTGTTGCTGCTGCTGCTGCTGTTTGGTTGGTAATTGGATATGGCTTTCCCTGTCCTGTCTGTGCTTCATTCAGGTTCTGCATGGATCAGATTCAGATGTGCTGTGGCTGCAGCGTGATCACAGTCTGTACCTGGTCAACATGTTTGACACAGGACAAGCATCGCGCGTTCTGGAGATGCCTCGCTTTAGTCTAGCCTATCTCATGCAGTTCTACTGTAGCGTGACAGCTAACAAACAATACCAACTAGCTGATTGGCGCATCAGGTCAGTAGTGTGTGTGTGTGAGCAAGCAAGAGAGGGAGGGAGACAGAGACAAAGGCAGAGGCAGTGCGAGAGAGAGAGAGACAGAGAGAGAGAGAGAGAGAGAGAGAGAGAGAGAGAGAGAGAGAGAGAGAGAGAGAGAGAGAGACCGAGAGAGAGAGAGAGACCGAGGGAGAGGTCGAGAGAAACCGAGAGAGAGAGAGAGAGAGAGAGAGAGAGAGAGAGAGAGAGAGAGAGATTGAGAGATTGTGGCTGGTTTTACATGTATGTGTGCAAGTGTGTAACAATGTGTTTCTGTGCTGTGTCTGTGAAATTGTCTGCTGGATGTCCAACTATCCTGGTGTGAGCTTGTACTGTTGCGAGACTGGCTTGTCTATACTGAGCCAATTCTTCCCTGCACGTGTGTGTGCTTGTGCACATGTGTGGCTGCATGTATGTGTAATTGCAACTGTACTCATAGGCCCTTGCCCAAGGAGTTGATCAACTATGCGCGTGAGGACACCCATTACTTGCTCTACATCTATGATCGCATGCGTAACGAGCTTATCAACAGAGGCAACAAGGAGTCCAATCTGCTAGCATCGGTCTGGGTGAAGAGTCGCAATCTTTGTATGACGGTAAGGTTCTTACAGTAGTTGTATATACCTTGGTTACATAACATTACAATGTCATGTACTAGTTAGGGGGAGTAGTAGTTGGAGGAGAGTAGTAGCTAGAGGAGAGTCTCTGTGATTTTCTGTGATGAGTACGGTTGGGATTGTGATATTGCATGGCCTATTTTTGTGTGTGTCCTTTGTTGTGCAAGTTAGAACATTGTTGGTGCATGTACAGAATCGAGTAGTATTGGAGCCGATAGCCGACCTGTGCAAGGCCATGCTGTACAGTGTGACCTGTGCAAGGCCATGCTGTACAGTGTGACCTGTGCAAGGCCATGCTGTACAGTGTGACCTGTGCAAGGCCATGCTGTACAGTGTGACCTGTGCAAGGCCATGCTGTACAGTGTGACCTGTGCAAGGCCATGCTGTACAGTGTGACCTGTGCAAGGCCATGCTGTACAGTGTGACCTGTGCAAGGCCATGCTGTACAGTGTGACCTGTGCAAGGCCATGCTGTACAGTGTGACCTGTGCAAGGCCATGCTGTAACAGTGTGACCTGTGCAAGGCCATGCTGTACAGTGTGACCTGTGCAAGGCCATGCTGTACAGTGTGACCTGTGCAAGGCCATGCTGTACAGTGTGTGCTGTTGGTATCTACGCGCATATCTCCCCGTGATGTTGAGACGATTTTTTCACTCCTTTTTCTTCTCCCTTTCTTCTGTTTCTTCGGCTGTCTGTCTGTCTCTCTCTCTCTCTCTCTCTCTCTCTCTCTCTCTCTCTCTCTCTCTCTCTCTCTCTCTCTCTCTCTCTCTCTCTCTCCTTTCTTTCTTTCTTTCTTTCTTCCTTCCTTTCTTCCTTCCTTTCTTTCCTTTTCCTCCTTTCTTTTTCTTTCTTCTACCTGTGTAGCTGTATGAAAAGCCTCTCTTCAAAGAGCACTCCTACCTCATTCTGCATGAGAAGCACAAGAAGAGATTCGATGCTCCCCGGGTAAGCGGCTGCATGCCTTTTTTTTGTCTCAGGTCTACTGTAGTAACTGACAGTTGTTTGAGGCAGGGGCTGTGAGAATGTACACCTCCATTCCAGTATTTGTAGCCCGAGAATGTGCAACCCTGCTACACTGCCCACATAACGCCACTTGCCTGAATCATGGACTAGTCTCGTGCATTCAGAACCCGCTTGATCCATTTAAGTGCTTAAACTTTGGATGCACGGATTTCCCCTCAAATTCCAAAATAGTTGTAGAATCCAAGAGATTCCAAAATGGTCATAGAACCATCAGCTTTTGAACCATAGAAGGGGAGCAGTTACAGCTCACCAGCCCTGTTTGGATGTATAAGTAATCATATCATGTGATGTGGGTAGTATGCTGTGCAGTTTGATCGTAGTATGCAACCGCAGCTTTTCTAACTCTTGCCTTGCCAGATGAGATGACGTCTGCGTTTGTATTTTCATTCTTGGCTTGGAATGGGGATGCAATGCCTCTATGCTGGATGGTGCTGCCCATGTAGCTTTGAATAGCCTTTCGGGATTGATACTGTTGTCTAAGCTATGGGGTTTAGTGATATTGAGAGAGAGAGAGAGAGAGAGAGAGAGAGAGGAGGGGGGGGGGGGGGCTGGCGTGGAGGACGCCTTGAAGGGGAAAGACCATCAGACTCTTCTACGGCACGTACACGCACGCACACCGCACAATCTCAGGACCTGGTGTTTCTTGTACTGGCTCTAGGAAGTAGTGAAACTCACTGACCTAGATTATTATTGAAGACTATTCTAAATACACTGTGAGGTATACCAGTTGCGCAGCAAAAGCCCGCACTCGCACTTGCTATCGACGGCTAGTAATTAAGGTATTAGAGTAGTCCAACCAGCTGAACACAGCAGCACGAGAAATTACATGACTAGGTAAACACTAGGATCTGACCCGTATGATCAACAATGTAGTTAACAATGATGAGAGTGTGCTCTTAAAGGGGAAGTTAAGGCAAAAATTAAAATTTCACCAGTTGTAGTCTTCGGGGTGCTGAGTCGAATGGTCTTGGTCCGAGAAAGCTGAGACGCTCCCTTCCTACTTGAATCCCAATCGAACTCGCGCACTTCCACCGAAACTGGGTGACTGCGCCCTACTAGATGGGGATTTGTATGCAAAATGTCACTAAAAGCGCCATTTCGTTCTTATAAAAGCACGGATGACCGAGATTGGCCCATATGTTGTAGTCTTTTGGACGCTGCGTCGACTGGTTTTGGTCCGAAAAGGCTGCGATGCAGCGTTCCTCCTTTATTCCCAATCGAACATGGTTGAACAAGCGGTCACGTGCTCCTGGGTGCCCAAATCACCTGGTCACCACGCCAGCAGGCGACAACTTTCACACCAAGGTTCAACTCGAGTTCAACTCGAGTGACAGGACTGCACCCAAAAAAGGTCAAACAGGCTAGTAAGTTGTACCCTGCAGGCACGGTGACCAGGTGACTGGCGTACGCAGGAGCACGTGACCGCTTGTTCAAGCATGTTCGATTGGGAATAAAGGAGGAACGCTGCATCGCAGCCTTTTCGGACCAAAACCAGTCGACGCAGCGTCCAAAAGACTACAACATATGGGCCAATCGCGGTCATCCGTGCTTTTATAAGAACGAAATGGCGCTTTTAGTGACATTTTGCATACAAATCCCCATCTAGTAGGGCGCAGTCACCCAGTTTCGGTGGAAGTGCGCGAGTTCGATTGGGATTCAAGTAGGAAGGGAGCGTCGCAGCTTCCTCGGACCGCGACCATTCGACTCAGCACCCCGAAGACTACAACTGGTGAAATTTTAATTTTTGCCTTAACTTCCCCTTTAACGTAATTGAGCGGCCCAGATGTTCCAATCAATTATTTCTAACATGCTATCCTTGCAACCCAATCTACTTATCTATCATGAACAATGTAATACTTGTACCACAAAGCAATACCGTGCACTAGACTCTAAATACATGACACCACAGTCATCAGTATTAAACCAATGCATGCAAGCAAGATCAGCAGTTATCCTTCATCACCTCCGCCTGGTGGCATGTAGAAACTCACTACCGACCATGCAATTACTGCGTGCGAAAGCGGGCAGGCGGTCGAATGGCAGACCTGTCTCGCAACACTCGCTCGTCTGGAGTATCGCTACTCGGCGAGAACACTACGTATGGCCCGCTGTCATCACTCTCTTCTCCAGCCGATTCCTCCTCTGTAACATGGCGAGGCTCATCTGCTGGGTCCGAGGAAGGTGCAGCTGGCACGTCACGCTTCAGCAGGTCGATGTTGATGACCTTCTCCTGCAAAACACCCTTGAACCTCCGCCAGATGACTACTGTCGATCCTGACAAGACCTTCTTGATACGCCAGCCACATTGGTATGGAGGAGTACACTTCTGGCGCCTCTTTGGCTGCTGGAGGAGGACGCTATCATCAGGCGCGAACGGGCACTCATGCTCGGATTCACATTGGTCTTTCTCGGACATCTCCGCATCAAGCAGGTCGCGCACTCTCGCACACCTCGCTGCATGCTCGTCCTGCCACGCTCTGGGATCGGATAGGTTGATGCGGGCGCTCACCAATGCTCGAGGCTGCCACCCGATCATTGCTTTCATTGGTGAAATGCCGATGGCGCTGTGGATGCGACTGTTGTAGTAATGTATCAGCACCGGGAGCTCGGCGAGCCAATCCGTTGATTCTTCCAGGACCTTCCTTATGAGGCCGAGCAGCGTGCGATTAAAACGCTCAGCCATGCCTTGCGTCTGTGGGTGCCTGACAGCTCCTGTCTTGACCTCAACACCAAATACACGCAGAAGGGCCTTGACAATGTAGTTGCGGAACTCCCGGCCATTGTCCATCCGGATCACATCTGGCGTTCCCCATCTACAGCACAACTCGACAATGGCATCGGCCACGCTCGCACCATCGTGCCGACGCAACGGGACAACTTCGGCGTACTTCGTCAGGCCATCAACGCAGACCAAGACGCAGTGGATTTCCCCGCTCTTGCTCGCTCCAAGGTGTCCATCTGAACACAGCCCCACGGTCTCCCGGGCATATCTGGTCGTGTCGCTGGCGCCGCTTGTCCTCCTGCGGCGTTCGCAGCCTTGCAACGCTGGCAGCTGCGGACATGTTGCTGGCATTTCTCGGCCATGCGTGGTGGGTAGCAGCGTTCACGCAACATCTCGTACATATTCTGCCATGAGGCATGGCCGGAGTTGGTGTGGGCAGCGCTAATAACAGACTCTTCCGCGGATTTAGCGATGACAGGAACGAGGATTTCACCCTCAACAGGCAGCTTAACGCTTCGGAGCAGGACGCCATCCTCGACGACGAGCTGACTTGCCACGCTCCTGTAACCAGCATCACGAACCGCCGATCGGGTAGCCACTTGGCTGGCGACACGCTGCACCACTTCCTCTTCCAGCTGGGCTGCCGCCACGGCGTCAAACGAAATTGGGCCAACAACTGTCGTTTCGCACACAGCGCCGGCGGTGACGTCGGGAATGCTACCCACGGATCGAGTAAGCCAGACGCTTGGAACTCGGGTCAGGGCATCTGCAATGTTGGAGTCAGACGACACCCAAGCAACATCCACTGCTGCTCCAATCATGTCAATCATATCGCTAACAATGTGTAGGCGCCTCTGCACCAACAGGTCATGCAAGCCAGTGGTCTTCACTCGTCGGACATCGTTGATCACTTGCTTCAGCCACCCGAAGACGGTCTTGGAATCAATCTTCAGCGTAATCCGCTTCGCATTCCACTTCGCAGCCAGATTGAGACCCAGGATGGCCGCCTCCAATTCGGCAATATTGATGTGCCTCTTGTCCTGGTGTGGTCGTAGCTGTGTGGTATCCTCCACCACCTTGCCGTCAACCTCCAGGGCAGCACCAAGGGCCAGGCCGGACGCATCACACCACACCGTCCATGTGTTGCTGTCGCCAGCAGAGATGCTCCACGTTCCCTTTGCTGGGTCGACTTCGGCTAGCCGCTTCTCAAGCTCCTCGCAGCAGACCTGGATAGCCGGTGGGACTGGATCATCCCAGGACGCATCGTCCGCCGAAGCTGCTCTCTTCAAGAAACTGCAGGCAGGTCGCAGCCATGAGCATACCGGGTAGTGGCTTGTCAGTCGTCCACACCATTGGAAGATTCTCCTCCTAGTTGCCGGACGCTCCAAGGTCATGGCAGCTGGCTCCTTTTGCGACCAGGACGTGTCACCACTAGAAGACTTGGTCAGCTGGAGGCCAAGGACTCTAGCCTCTGCCAGTTGCTCCGCGGGCTTGGTTGGTAGGCCGAACTCATGCAGTGCACCAGACACCTTCGGCACCAGGGCACTAGGAACCAGCAGGTCGTCATAGTAGTTATCAACTCCAGGATACGGCTGGGTGACGTACTTCACAACGGCATCCATAAATTTGGGCGCTACCGCCAACCCGAATCCCATTCTCGTCATGACGTGAGCTTCTCCCTTCCAAAGCACGACTTGGTAGCGGTACAGCGCCGGGCTAACCCGGATCTGGAGGTATGCCTTCCTAATGTCGAGCAGAGCATAATCCTCTCCTGCCTGACGCCATCGACGTAGCGTATCACCGCAGACTGGTGGGTCAAAACCAGGGTCAGAGTGGAGCTTTTTATTCAAGTGACGGTAATCCAGGCACGGCCTCACCGGCGTCGTCTTGTGTTCTTGCGGAACACCGATGAGCGGCAGCACACATGCTGGCTCGCCATGTAGCTTCGGGTCGTGCTTGATCAGCCAGCCGTTGTCTATCCAGGATTGCACCTCACTAACAAACAGGCGCTCTTGCTCCGGAGTCAGGTTCGTCCTGCTGTACTCTCCGATACCCGGGCCGAGCGGCATTGCAGGAGGTTCACCATCGAGCCACTTCCAGGTCAACTCCCATTGCTTCTCAGCAGGGCTCCAGGTCACGTCGCCGTCCGCAATACTGAGCATAACCTTGCCCTCATCAGTGGTGCTGACTTTCACCCGACGCGACGGATGGCCAGATCGACCATCATCATCCTGCCCCTTCGGGGACAGCCGATCGGCAGTGGCTGCAACAGTGTCGCTGGCTGCGGCTCCAAATACAACTCCGCAAAGCTGTCCATCACTACTATACTTCAGTTGCAACCCACCGCACCGCGAAGCAACATCCGCTCCAATCAGCACGTCAGCACGGACAGTGCTTAGGCTTTCAACTACAAGCGCTCGTACCTTGACTCTGGGAAGGTTGACAGGCCCGTCGTTTCGCTCTAGAAGGACCTCTAGAAGCCCCAGAACTTCGATTTGATTGCCGTCCAGAGCCACAAGGTTGGTCTCGAGAGTGTCTGGGCCGTCGTACGTGAGGCTGCTGCGGTCCGCGAATGCACGGCTGATCAACGTCCTCGTCGAGCCCGTGTCTACAACCGCTTGTCCGCGTGCACGTGCGCTCACAATGGACGATTCCTTGCCGGCGTTGTCACCAGACGCTGCACTTACACCAACGAAGATTTTTACCAGCTGGCCTGACTTCTCGCTCCCATGCCCCATGTACAGGCAGCGCTCCTCCGCAGGCTCACTTCGTTCCACGGAACATTCCTGCGGGGAAGACGTGCAGGCTGCCGATGGTGATGGCTGACCGGTGACTTTGCTTGACCTCTGGGCCTCCCAGGCCCTCCGTTCTTCGCAGTCTGCTTTCAAGTGACCAGGCTTGTCGCAGAAAGAAACAAGTGAGGCCAGGCCGCACGCCACTTGTACCCCCCGCCGCTGAGCTCCTCCAAGCACCGCGATCGTAGCCAGACTTCGAAGGTCCCTGGTTCAATCCCGGGTTTCGGCACCAAGAGCTGAAGGGGAAAGACCATCAGACTCTTCTACGGCACGTACACGCACGCACACCGCACAATCTCAGGACCTGGTTTACACGCACGCACACCGCACAATCTCAGGACCTGGTGTTTCTTGTACTGGTTCTAGGAAGTAGTGAAACTCACTGACCTAGATTATTATTGAAGACTATTCTAAATACACTGTGAGGTATACCAGTTGCGCAGCAAAAGCCCGCACTCGCACTTGCTATCGACGGCTAGTAATTAAGGTATTAGAGTAGTCCAACCAGCTGAACACAGCAGCACGAGAAATTACATGACTAGGTAAACGCTAGGATCTGACCCGTATGATCAACAATGTAGTTAACAATGATGAGAGTGTGCTCTTAACGTAATTGAGCGGCCCAGATGTTCCAATCAATTATTTCTAACATGCTATCCTTGCAACCCAATCTACTTATCTATCATGAACAATGTAATACTTGTACCACAAAGCAATACCGTGCACTAGACTCTAAATACATGACACCACAGTCATCAGTATTAAACCAATGCATGCAAGCAAGATCAGCAGTTATCCTTCAGCCTTGTACGTTGTAAACACTTGACCTGTACTATCGCAGCTGTAGCGATTTACTACGTGTGTTGTGATTATGTTCTTATGTTCTACAATGCTGCAGATGGAGGCATTGAAGCTTCTCTATAATTGGAGAGATAAGACCGCTCGACGTGAGGATGAAAGTACAGGGTAGGTCCTTGTGCTGGCAGCAGCAGCTGTGGTGGAATGGAATGCCTGGGCTTGCTCGTAGGATACATAAGCTGCACATAGCTACAATGTATATCCGAATGCACTAGGAGGATGGCTGGGGAAACCTTTTCATGCCAGTTTCCCCTCACTCTTCTCATACTCCTGTATCTCCGGCAGGGATACCAGTGATATCTCCGGCAGGGATACCAGTGATATCTCCGGCAAAGATACCAGTGATATCTCCGGCAGGGATACCAGTGATATCTCCGGCAGAGATACCAGTGATATCTCCGGCAGGGATACCAGTGATATCTCCGGCAGGGATACCAGTGATATCTCCGGCAGAGATACCAGTGATATCTCCGGCAGGGATACCAGTGATATCTCCGGCAGGGATACCAGTGATATCTCCGGCAGGGATACCGGTGATATCTCCGGCAGGGATACCGGTGATATCTCCGGCAGGGATACCAGTGATATCTCCGGCAGAGATACCAGTGATATCTCCGGCAGGGATACCGGTGATATCTCCGGCAGGGATACCGGTGATATCTCCGGCAGGGATACCAGTGATATCTCCGGCAGGGATACCAGTGATATCTCCGGCAGGGATACCGGTGATATCTCCGGCAGGGATACCAGTGATATCTCCGGCAGAGATACCAGTGATATGGGATGTGCACATATTAATGTGTTGCCTATGATACCAAAAAAGGATTTGTTCACTGCACTACAATAGCAGAAGGAGTAACTGCAGCAGCCATGGTATCTAGAAGACTGGCTTGTCTTGCAGGGCACAATAATGTCAAGGAGGAGAGGCTTGGACGAGGCTGATCGGTGTGTTTGTTTATGTAGAAAATAGCAGTTAGGAGGTCAGAATCACGTATAGTGGCAGCTTGACGTGTTTGATTTTGATTCTTATAATAATTATGTGTGTGTGTGTGTGTGTGTGTATGTGTGCGCGCGTGCGCGCGTGTGTGTGTGTGTGTGTGTGTGTGTGTGTGTGTGTGTGTGTTTCTCCGCTTAGATTCGTCCTGCCTAATGAAATGCTGTTTCAGATTTCACAAAACCTGCCACGGTAAGGAGGTCTATCTGGACACCGGCTTTCACACATTTCCATCTCTACCAGGGAGTAGTAAACTTCCCGGGTATTTATTACTCCCTGATCTCTACAGACCTGCTCGGCTCACCACCACGTTAACGAGCGTTTAGTAATCCTAGTAGTTTCAGTTTTCAGGACAATCCCGCTTTCTGGGAGATTCAACAGTTCTCAACAGTTCTCGGTCACTTAAGGTGGCAGCCTACCCAAATCACACCCCACCAACTTCACAACATTGCATCATCACCAATATTTGTCCGATTTAGCTCAAATTTTCAGCACACATGCTCAGATAGATTCTTCATTGCATGAACATACGAACAGGTGAGGAAGACTAAGCAACAAATGTTCAGAAGCGGAAAAGTATGGATTGCGGCTGAAAAATACGGTGGTACATATGGCATGCACCATATCGTAAAGAGAGAACAAGCTAAAGGGCTGCAAAACCACTCAGATGAAGCATTGTGGGGTCATACCTACCATAAGCCTCATAATCTACAATATATCACCTGTTTTCTATGTACACCATGCAGAGATAATGAAACGTGCGGTCCGCATCGCAAAGACTGGGTCTTGAACTACGACTTTTAGCTCACCAGTGGTTGACTGTTCTGGTCGACTTACGGAATGGCCAAGAAAATGTAGATGTGGATAAAGCTACAGGTTGTGAAGATACTACGAGCCGTTCTCAAACGGCAGTGTTCACAAAATTGAAAACAAGAGCAAAACAGCACACAAATTGGCATCCCAAAACACACCTAAAATCCACCTGCTGCATAAACGACTCCCTCCTCCTGCCTCGTATCATCAATCAGACCCTTCTTGACTGCTCTTCTCCTCTTCCTTGATGCTTTCTCCGTCTGACCTGACTTCCTGGTGGCATGGTATTGCTTCTCAGCATCCCAGGAGGAGAACCTTGCAGACGGTGACGACTGCGGAAGGCACTGCATTTCGGCTAGCAGGTGATCCAACCGCTCATAGCCATCGTTGAACATCAACACGGCAAGGTAGACTGCTGTGCGGACCGTCTGGGCGCTGCAGAAGGACTCCTTTGGGCACATCTTCCATACGAGTCCATTGAAGGACTCGTTGACATTTTGCGTTGCCCCTCTCATGCAGCGCTCCAGTAGTGGCCGATCGGTGAGGCGTAGATAGATAGGCTTCATTACGGTGAACACAGCTGGGGGAATGACGTTGTGGTGCTTGTAGGGCTCTGGATTGCCTGCTTGGTGCTGCTGCCACTTGCACCAAGAGTCAATCCCAGGCGGACAGAACTGGTCCTGCGGCTTCTCGTCGGATGATGCACGATGGCAAAACGATGCCCAGATGGCTCTGCTCATTCCGGTGACATCACCTGTGTGTCCTCGGATTGCCATACCGTAGTAGTTTTGTAGGGAGTCTATCAGCTTGTCCGTGAGGCGCCCTTTCCCACTGATCACCTTGCCATTGCTTAGCTTCTGCCCAGACAGGCGCTGCTTGAGGTCGCGCAGACTCTTCCCCAGCCGCTTCTGCACGTGGCCTACGCATTCTTCCTTCTCGACGGCAGTGTCGCCATACGGCTTACTCTTGGCAACCTGGGAGTGACCCTTGCTGTCGCCATCTCCTATGAAGCCAACATAGCGGAGACCTCTGCTCTGCTCGGACCTGGCCCAGAGTGCAACGACTGCTGCAGTCTCCATGGCGGGCGCTGAAACACCGGTGTTTACCTGGCATGTCTGAGTGTGTTGCTCTCTCCATTCATCGTAATCTCCCTGCGTAACTGTCTTCTTGGCCAAACTGGACTTCCAGTGCACGCAACGAGAGCATGACTTTGAGAGGATCTCAACATCTAGCACTCGCTTTGTATCCAGAGAGATCACGGTCTGGACGCCATACAGTGATGAGTGGCCGCGGCGCATCCACGTACCGTCGGTGCTCACCACCACATCACCGGGTTTTGGCTTGAGCTGTGCTGTCCTCGTGGTGACCAGATCAGCCGACCATCTGGACATGCTCTCTTCGGCTTGATCTTTGGCGGCTTTGAACAATGCATCTCGGTGGAAATCGAAAGATTTCTTTGCTAGAGGCGGTGGCAGATCAAGCATTGCGCACACCTTTTTCAAGGATTCCCTGCCGCGGCCGATCAGGCGCATTGCCAGCACAGACTTCCGGTTGACGTCGTACCACTTCACTGCAGGCTGCTTCCTCGACATTGGCAAACTTGTTTCATCACCACACCTGTCGCACCTCAGCCCACACTCTGTCACTAAACCATATCTCCGCGTCTCCAGGAGAGTCAGTTTTCCCTTTTTACAGGACGAACACAGAGCAGTAGCAGAAACTAGACTTTGCAAACAGGACATGTCAATAATTCTATTCCCAGAACATAATTCCGCATCCTCTTCCTCCTCTGAATCACTCTCCTCAACAGAGTCAGAATCGCTTGCCTCTTCGACCTCCACGGTGGCATCGACTTCTTCGCCCGAAATCGGAATGTCGTCGTCAGCTGATTGCTCAGCTGATGTTTCAAAATTCTCAACTGTTTCCTTGGATTTCGAAAATTGATTTTCCGTGAATCTACGCTTCCTTTTCTTTCTATGACGCCTATCAGGGTTACCCATTTCAGCAACCAACTGAACTACACGACTAGAAAGATGCTACAGCGCTACAAGAGCTTGAACTGCTGAAGACGCGATCGAAGTGTTGAACAAAATAATTGATTTATGCACCAAAACTTCAAAAGCTGTCACTCACGCACTGAACATCATGAGCACAACTAGTACAGCTGTACAGCGCGACCTGAGGCCGTGATCGCCATTCTTTTATCGTTCCTAGGCAACAGGAATCCTTGAGAACTGCTGCAAAAAAATTCAAGGTGATAGGCCTTCGAACGGTGGCGCGCGGGAATACTGAACAATACAAATTTGTTATGCCCATTTTGCAATTTGTTCCAGAAATACAGTAATAGGATAATTGTTTAGGCATCCTTACTGGACCATAGCATTGTACTCGTTCGCGGAAATGATCCCAAATTTTGTACGGTGACACTGAGTAGCAATACCGATCGTTTGAGCTATTTCACGGCAAAATCTGAACATATTCATGTTTTCCCATATTTTGGGTAGGCTGCCACCGAGTTTCAGTTTTCAGGACATTCCCGCTTTCTGGGATGAACGGCTAGCCGATTCAACAGTTCTCAACAGTTCTCGGTCACTTAAGTCATTTCCCACGCTACGAGTCGATGGAAGAAGCTGTCATTGCTGTTCAAGAATAGCCCCCCGAAACCATCTTCTGTGGAAGTCGTTTATCTCCAAAGAGGTTTGAGCTTCATTGACCAATGTACTGTATGCACACTGACACAGAAGATTGTGTGTTGTGCATGTTCTTGCAGAGAGCTGCAAGGTATTCTGGCTTGCTGCAACCCAGTGCCACTGCTGGTACGGCAGAATGTCCAGGAGATCTACACGCTGGTATCGCAGGCACGTCTTATCCCGACCAATGCTCCAGTTCCCACGGTAAGTACCTATCCCCCTCTGATGCACCAGCACTTACTGTAAGTCTACGAAATATTTCAACCTCCCAGGGCCAGAACCCATTTTGGCCGTCTTAAAATTTCGGCCTGTACTGCTGCTGCCTGTCTACACTGTCACACTAAACCTTGCAAAACTAAATTTCGGCCAAAAATGCTCGGGCGAAAATAGCCGAAAATATTAGAGAGGTTCCGCATAACGTAATTACGTTAGTAAAAAGCGTAGTCGATCTACGGAAAGTCTAACGTAAACTGCATGCGGATCTGTGTTCCGCCATACGGAGTTTTCAAATCACGTAGCTGCCCTTGGCAACTCCGAACACGGCAGTGTACGACCGGATCGACCTGGGGAGAGAGTCATAAATTTGTACCCCAATCCACTTACGGAGCACCTACGTTATCAGAGCCCTATCTACGTACTCTCCGTAGACAACTTTCCGTAAGTAGAGTGCAAACTCGCGAATTTACGGGTTTTTCCCGCCCACTAGTGTACAGTTGCTCAACTTTACGTAGTGCGGAACCTCTCTAATGTGCGCCGAATATTTGTTGACTTACAGGACATGGATGCTTGTGTCATTTGACATATGTGCCATATTCACATCGCTGAATCATCCCAGGATGGATAGGCTTGCAGAGTTCAGCCCAGAACAATGTGATTTAGCCACCGGCATGTGGCCACTGGCAAACCATCCTTGGTCTTGCGAGTAGAGCACAGGGCTTTGTAGTTGAACTTGGTGTGACCCTATAGTAGGGCCTCATCCTCATCCTGTCGGCCCCAACAGCAATAGTCTGCAGAATGTACAGCACAACATTGCTGCCCAGTTTCGGGAGAGCGATTCTGCTGCGTTTGTGTGTCTGCCAGGTGCATTCTGCCTTCTGCCTTCCCATCGTGTGCAACCGCGGCTGCAGTGCCATGATTGTGTACTGAAGTACTCCAGTTCTGTTAGTATCGCCGCCTCTCTTTCCCCCCCCCCCCCCCCCATTCTCTCTCTCTCTCTTCACTCTCTATTCCTCTGCTGTGTTCTTTGTACAATATTTATTTCCCCCTCAGCTGCCATCAGAGTTTTCCAAGCGTAAAGTAAGTCAGTAGCATGTGTTCAAAATTCTGCTTTGAGGATTGTGGATTCGAACGAAATTGAATACTCTTGGCCGCGAAATTCAGCATGCCAGCGGTTAAGTAGAATGTGCATTGTTGCTTTCTTGAGTACAATTAGTTTATTACATCTTTCATGGAGGCATTGCCAAACTTACAGCTATTTCAATATACACACATACACGCCTTGCTATACTATGTAATGTCTTTTGTGATTACCCGCCAGTGGTTTTCGTCAGCCTGTGCTAAGCACTAGTGCGGCAAGGCTGTGTCATCCATTCCAATACATGTTCCACTGGGAAGTGATCTAACTGTGTTGTTATTATTGACAATACATGTTTAGGGAAACAGCAGTAGCACGTCATCGTATGCTCAGAGAAAGTCTGCAACACCTGCCAAACAGCACGACAAACCACTGAAGAAGGCGGACAGCGGTAGGTCATATATGCAACGTCAGACGTGTGTTTGCATGTGTGTGTGTGTGTGTGTGTGTGTGTGCGTGTGCGGGTGCGGGTGTGTACGTGCGGGTGTGTTTGTTGGATGTTCATCCATGTGCAATGTACTAGTATATCACTATGAAATCAAATCAATGAAATCCGGTCGCTTGAGTGATGTGTGCGCCTTGCACCATTTCACAGCCCAGTGTTCGCAGGTCTAGGGCTGCGCAACGCCCGGCGCGTACTTGAGTGACGCTGTGACTGGATTTCATTGAGCAGCACTGTAGGTACATGCGCGATGCCCGTTTGCAGGGGTTCTGACTCCGAAGGCATACTGTACAGTGCCCAACGCTTTTCATAACACCACTGTATTGACTTTATTGTGTTGCTTGTCCTCCATGTCAAAAGGTGCTCCGATTCGTGAGTTTTCCCACGGCTTTGCAATCTCCGGACCACCGATTCCTACTGCAATACCCAAGCTGATGGCATTGGTTACGTTACCATGTAAAGTAAGTATATACTATAAATAGTAACGTAGCTATTTATTCATTAGGCCATCATTTTTTATATCTATGTTTCGCGTCAGCTCAACTTCCAGAATCATATGCGAGAGGTGGAAAGAAATAAAAAATTGCAAAATAATAAAAAAAGGCTCATCAGAGGTGTATAGAATTAGCTAGAACTGTACATAGCACAATAGCTCGTGCATGGTGTACATTTGAAAGAAAAATCCTACATCCAAGCACAACATCTGGGTTATCAGCATGAGTAAATATTCACTTTGGACAGAGGAGGCAACCGTTGGTGCCCATGCTTCGCTGGATTATTGTACTCAGACTTCAGCAGCGGTGCAAAGAGGTCCGGAACGACGCATCCTCTCAGCTTGAGGCAATCGATGCGGTCTGGTGTAAGCTCATAGAATACTGCTCGCAGATGCCGAACAAACGATTTACCAACGCTGGCCTCGAGGCCATTTCTGAATCCCAGCTTCGCCGTATGCAACCAGTCCACACTGATGATTCGCACAATCCTACACTCACTGTGCATGTTCGATTTTTTTATTTTTTTCCGAAAAAAGGCAAAACGTATGCGTGCGGACGACGCGAAACATGGATATAAAAAAATGATGGCCTTACACCATTTCGGGGCATGGTGAGACCGTGGGCCAATGTTCAGAGAGTGAGAGAGTGTACCGTTCAAGGGCCTCAAAGCCTCAATGTTGTTTCCTCTGCCGGAGTATCTTCTGGAGTGGTTCAGTTCTACTGTATAGGAGCTACATGTACAGTCAGTGTCGCCTATAGCGTTGGTGTTTGATTTTGAGCATTTTATCACTATAAGCGATATATTACTATGGCCGATACTGCATGCAATGTATGCGAGTGGGGTGTCAAACGACTCAGCGCGCCACGCACATATGCACTGCACAGCTGTCTACAGCTCCTGACACACAACATCAGCATTTCCTCACGATGGAGGCATATTTGGCAACTTGTCCAAGCAGAACTCACCAAACAACACTGGACAAGTTAGTTCTTCATGAAGAAGTAACACCCTGTTCTCCTCTTACACCACTTAATTTTACATCAATCACTATAACCGATGCAAACATAATGTGATAAGGGTGTTTTGAAATATGAATTTGATCACTATAGGCGATATAATAAATCGCCTATAGTGATCAAATTCATATTATTACTACAGTCGACCTACCCTTATAACGATATTACCAAGAGTTCATAACCCCCAAGAGTGTGCAACTCCTGATCAGTCCCTGTATGGAAGCCCGCTCGGCGGAATTCCTTCATTGCGTCATTTTTGGTGCAGTGCGATGAGTCACACCGATGAATTCTTCTAAAATTTACAGTCAAACCAGGATGCTTCCCCAGGGTAAACTGCCTAATCTGCGATTCTAGTCTGAGTCTGAGGCTGCGTTTACACGACAACGCTGGGGGCGAAAACGCAACGAAATCCTTTCGGATCCATGGTTCATTTACACGGTACGCGGAGCAAAACGTAAAAGTTGTACACCAAAACGGAAGAAAACCAAAACGCTGGCCAAGGTGGAAGAATTTGAAAACGAAAATGTTCTGCCGGATAAATTTGGGTGTGTAAACAGTCGAAACGGTGTGCTGGCCTCGTTTTCCGTCACGTTCGTTTCGTTTTCGGCCGTTTACACGGATCCGACAATCCAAAAAATTGTTTTTACAATTTTCGTCATGTGACGTGTGTTGTCGTGTGCCTGTTTTCAACCATTACTTGAGTGTGATTGGTGCTTCCACGGCAACACTTGGCACATGACGAACTTTGGCGGATCCTTTGCTCTCGTGTAGACGCTTGAAAACGGTACAAACGGAGACCACCTCGGATCGGCTTTGATCGTGTAAATGTACGAAAACGAAAAAAGAAATGCGGGACTGAAAACGGAAAACTGGCCGTGCGTTGTCGTGTAAACGCAGCCTGAGCCTCAAGAAGCAAAAGTGAAACGAAGCACACGATCCTAAAAGACAAAACTATTTATTTTTTCGATGCAATGGTGACTCTTCATCGCCTTTTTCTTTCACCAGTGCAGGCAGTCTCTTCAAGAACAATTTCTTCCCCAGGCCATCGGCATATTTCCGGTGCTTTCCTCGACGTATTCTCTCAAGTTCCCGGGAGTCAACCATTTGAAGTCGTCTTCGAAGGAGCATTTTTCGGCTGAGTTGCACAGCTATCAGAATGATTGTCCTCGACGGCAATGCAATATTTTTAACAGCGTCCTCACTTCTTCCTGTCGCGATGTCCATGGATTCTTGGAGAAAGAGTTTGTTTTTGAGAAAGTACGATACGTCCGAAATGTCTTGAAAAAAGCTTCGAAAAGTCGAGGCTACAGCCTTGAGTTAGGAGCGGTTCAGGGTATAGTTTCCAGAAATCGCAAAGAACCCAAATTTACCTCGGATGACAAGCTGCGCATGACGTAATGTAGGAATTTCGCCGAGCGCTGGGTCTATGCCCGTTGCACACTCTTGGGGGTTATGAACTCTTGATATTACCCTTATAACAATATTTTTCTGCCAAACCAAATCACTCCATTGACTTGTGTGTACAATGCCTTACCTCTATAACAATATTGCTATAACGATATTACCCCTATAACGATATAAAATGGGCTGACCAATCGACATTTTCCAATTTATAACAATAATATTATCTAGCAGGGAATATGTAGAGCCCACTATCCAGGTAGGGCAAGCTTCACTTGATAAGTCGCTGGGCCATGACGAAATGCAATGGGGGCACCAGTGGTCACCTTGCTGTGTACATAATGTGCATGTACGACAGTTTTTTACGCTATGAAGAGTGTAAAAAATGAACAAAATCCATGTATTATGACGTATGTGTATAAAATGAACCAGTTACCCCTATAACAATATTACCCTTATAACAATATTTCTTGGTCTGACCCAAATATCGTTATAAGGGTAGGTCGACTGTATTTAATAGACGATTATTCCCGTAGCTATGCAGAAGACGTTACTTCAGTAACGTCTGGCGCTAGCCAGGGTCCACACAGCTTTAATTCCCGTAGCTATGCAGAAGACGTTACTTCAGTAACGTCTGGCGCTAGCCAGGGTCCACACAGCTTTAATTTGGTGTTTGTTTGTTTGTTTGTTTGTTTGTTTGTGTCACGCCTGGCGCTATCCCGTATCTGTCCCGTACTGTACCGTACCAGCAAAGACAGCTGGCCACAATATTTTTTTGTTGTGCCATCGACATGCCTGGCGCTATCCCTTACCTGTCCCGTACCATCAAGAGTACGGTATCATCAAGAAAATGAGTATATATGCGAAGTGTATCGGGGGAATGCATTCAGTGCAGTAACATTTTGTGTGGATTTGTGTGCGAGGCCGAGATCCCGCTAGCAGGCTGGCTGGGCCGCCTGTCGACCAGTCCGGGAATCGCATATAGGCCGATAGCATAATAATTATAACGTATATACAGTCATGTTGATGTATAGCAGGGTGTCATATTCTGTAATCGACTCCCTGCTGTATGGGGAGATTTTCTGGAAAGAAATACGAAGTAGGGAGACGAGTAAATGCAATCAGAATGGATGTTAGTTGCCGTTAGTATAATAATAATAAGAAGAAGAACGCCCGTGATCGGCAGAGTCAGCGCCGGTCCCAGGAAACGTCAGGACAGACATCCCGTTGACTCCAGAACGCCCGTGATCGGCAGAGCCAGCGCCGGTCCCATAGCTATGCAGAAGACGTTACTTCAGTATCTCAGTGAAACGTTTTTGCAATACAATGATGTAGCTAATCAAAGGAAAAAGCATTTCCATCAGTTCTAACAACATACACGATGAGCTAGGCAACAAAGCATAGCGCAGGGCCCTGAGCTTCCAAGCTCTCTCGTTTGGTATTTGTTTGTTTGTGTGTTTGTTTGTTTGTTTGTTTGTGTCACGCCTGGCGCTATCCGTATCTGACGGCAAAAAAGCATAGGATGTTATAAATTTTTCAATTCTCCTTTTTTTTCAGGCATATCCTGGGATTCGAACCCGCACTATCGCCCTACATGCATTCCCCCATACACTTCGCATTCATACCCATTCTTCCAAGTTGCTTCACGTTAATCTTGCGTTTGAAAGCCCTATTTGAATATTGCGGGCAGCTAGACGGTGTCGTATTACCCTCGATCGTACCTGTCCCGTACCTATTCCCTACCGTACCGTGCCATCAAAGATGGCTGGCCACAATGCATATTCAAATAGGGCTTTCAAATGCAAGATCACAATGTGAAACAACTTGGAAGAATTAGTATGTATGCGAAGTGTATCGGGGGCTGCATGCAGGGCGCGCGATAGTGCGGGTTCGAATCCCAGGTTAAAAAAAAAGGATTTTTTTAAAGAAAACATCCCTATGCTTTTTTTTGTCTAGGTCATCAAGGCAAAAAAGCATAGCGCAGGGCCCTGAGCTTCCAAGCTCTCTCGTTTGGTATTTGTTTGTTTGTGTGTTTGTTTGTTTGTTTGTGTCACGCCTGGCGCTATCCCGTATCTGACGGCAAAAAATCATAGGGATGTTATAAATTTTTCAATTCTCCTATTTTTTCAGGCATATCCTGGGATTCGAACCCGCACTATCGCCCTACATGCATTCCCCGATACACTTCGCATTCATACTCATTCTTCCAAGTTGCTTCACGTTATGATCTTGCGTTTGAAACCCCTATTTGAATATTGCGGGCAGCTGTATGTGGCCAGCTGTGTTTGATGGTACGGTACGGGAGACGGTGTCGTATTACCCTCGATCGTACCTCTCCCGTACCTATCCCTTCCGTACCGTACCATCAAAGACGGCTGGCCACAATGCATATTCAAATAGGGCTTTCAAATGCAAGATCATAATGTGAAGCAACTTGGAAGAATTAGTATGTATGCGAAGTGTATCGGGGGATGCATGCAGGGCGCGATAGTGCGGGTTCGAATCCCAGGTTATGTCTTAAAAAAAAGGAATTTTTTAAAGACCGGGGGATGCATGCAGGGCGTGATAGTGCGGGTTCGAATCCCAGGTTATGTCTTTAAAAAAAGGAATTTTTAAAGAATATATAACATCCCTATGCTTTTTTTTGTCTAGGTCATCAAGGCAAAAAAGCATAGCGTAGGGCCCTGAGCTTCCAAGCTCTCTCGTTACTATACACGATAGCTGTGTATACTTACCTATGGCAAATGAAAATGAATTTCAGAAATTGATCACTATAGCCGGTATAATTATTACTATAGCCGCCAACCTTATAGGCGATACGTACTGTATCCGTTTATGCAGGCAACGGTATTGTCTTTGTGTGCATCCTTCCGCTCTTCGCTGTGTGTGGCTGGTTTTAGGTAGGGCTGATGTTTTCTGCACTGTTCTCATCGGTGTGTTCGTGCACTTTGCGTGTAGGTTGCCAAGAAATCTCTGCTGTCGGCTGCGGAAAGAGAGGTAGTGGATCGGGTCATACTGCCCAGTCAGCAGCAACAACAGCAACAGCCCGCTGCCGCTACGCCGACGTCTGGCACGCCTATCAAGGTAGGAGGCAAGGTTCTTCACACCTAGGGCGGCAATAGGATGTTGCCGCAGCACTGCTGTCTACCAGCCATTTATCCCTCGCGCTGGTTGATGTGCTGTTGGGTAAGGCCAATCCGCAGGGGTGCTGCCATGGAAGGTATCAGCAGTGCCCTGCACAGCACGGTGGATCTTGGCAGGTTGAGTTGGAGAGTATCTTTGAAACAACTGGAAAGCTGCAATTTTTGTTAAGTGATTGCTATGTGCTGCTGATGTGGTGGTGTTGTGCTGATGTGATTATGGTGTTGTGCTGATGCTGTAGACGTGTTGCTACTGCTGTTGCCGTGGTACTGTTGTGTTGTTGTTGTGATGGTGATGGTGATGGTGGTGGCACTGTTGTTGTTGTGCTGTTGTTGGTGGTGTTGTTGTTGCGACGGTGGTGGTGTTGTGATGCTGCTGGTTTCTGTGTCTGTCTTGTACGTGTGCAGACTCCGAGTACAAGTAGCGTCAGCAGCACTCTGTCAGCAGGTCGTACCGCCGACACCGGCTCATCACCTATGTAAGTCATTGACATTGGTCTCTACAGGTACACCACACTTTGCCTAGCACACACACACACTCACTGCATGCGCAATGCTGTGCCTATCATGCAGGGCTGGAACAAGCGTGCATAGTCCCTTATCGATTACCGGTCAAAGAACCTTCGTAGGAGTTGATTGTAGGAGAGTGGCTACCTTCTTCATAGTTGTGGATGATGCTGACTGCTTTGCAGCAGAAACAGTGCTGTGCGCGTGAGTGACGATTGGCATTTCCAGGGACAATGTCACATAGGATTGTCCGCTGATGACAGTTGTCGCCACCTCTCCAGGCTGGAGTAAACTGATCAGCTCCTCTGCCAGGTGCCAGTCGCTGTCTCGAAGAAGGAGATCGCGATCTGACTGGGGCTGCTGGAGATCTGACTGGGGCTGCTAGAGATCTGACTGGGGCTGCTAGAGATCTGACTGGGGCTGCTAGAGATCTGACTGGGGCTGCTAGAGATCTGACTGGGGCTGCTAGAGGAATGTGTTTTTCCATTGTTATATCAGCACTTCTTAAAAAATGTGAAGACTGCACTATAGCGATCCGTTCCTGAAAATGAGCCTGGCTCGAAAATTCTCAGTGTATTTTTAGCGCCGAGAGTGTATGCGATAGGGGTGAGATTGTGCATGGATATGACACCAGCTACTGCGGGCTGGAGATACGGGCTGGACACGAGGGCTGGACATGAGGGCTGGAGGTGTGTTCTAGTTCGAATAAACGGAGCAGAGCTGTGCAAGTTTGAAGCGCTCCGTATGAATGTGTGCAGTGCACGCCGAACCAGGTGTGATGGCCTCTCCACTTACTGTACGTAACTCTGTATATGGGTCTTCGACAGCGAAAAATCACATCTCTTGTTTCAGGTATGTCTCGTACTACGCACAGTGAAGGAGCGAGCGCGCTGCCATGATCATGCTAGGCAGTTGCATATGCGGAGTGAGTTTCTGTCAGGGAGTTCTACTTTTCATACTTCGCTGCTCGCTGAAAAACGGTCTGGAAACGTACACCGGGTACACGACACCATGTGATGTGAGTTTTCGCCACCGGCGAACCTTAACATCAATTTACGTGCCATCCTAGAGATGAGCAAGCACACGAGAAACCGATTTCAAACAGTCAAATGAAAATCAGTTTCTCCCGTGTTCATTCACAGTGCTGGCAACTGAAATCCGACCCCTGAACGATGCGTTCACATTCTAGCGGTCTCTATTCCATAGTTTTACTATCCTGTGTTGGGTCTTTGCCATGTGAGCACAGGGGTCAGGGGTCAGGGGTCAGGGGTCAGGGGTCGGATTTCAGTTTCCAGCACTGTATGTATGTCTACTAGTGTCTACTAGTGTCTACTAGTGTCTTGTTGCTGTTGTCAAGAGATGGTAATTGTATGATGTGTCAACTGTCTTGTCTCACAGGCTGGCGTCAGATTCCATTGAGAAGGTACGGTGTTGCCTTGCTTTGGTTTTTCGAATGGGTGGCACTGTGTGTCCGCTTGGGTTGCCAAGGGTGCGCATGGCTGCATGTGTGCATGTGCATGGATTTGTGTGTGTGTGTGGGGGGGGGGGGCACACTCGCATAATATATGTGCAAGTGTGCATGCAGTCTCATACCGTTTAGGAAGGTTTTGTTGCGACTTTCATAGATAGATCCGCTGTTCACAAGTGCAAATGCACATGCGTGACTATACTCGTAGTGTATTATAAATTAGCTGCATATTCATAGGACTCCTGCTGCTGCTGCTTGGTTGGCACTGGTACAATACTACCAATGGATTCTCTGAGTATGAGCAAGAACTTTCCACTATTGCAAACATGTTCCAGCAGCCTTTTGAAATTCATCTCCCCTATGTTTGGCTCTGTATCGTTGTTTGTAATATGCATAGGAGATGCCTGAACCGATGGATGAGGTGACGGTCAAGGTGGAGGCTAGCCAAGACGCATCCAGTCATCCCATCTGGGGACTTTCTAAACCTAAAGGTCAGTCCTGGATGATCAATGCTGCTGCTATTCTGTTGTTGCTGCTGCTGCTGTTCTGTTGTTGCTGCTGCTGCTGCTGTTCTGTTGTTGTTGCTGTTGCTGTTGCTGCTGCTGTTCTGTTGTCGTTGCTGCTGCTGCTGCTGTTGCTGCTGTTGCTGCTGCTGTTGCTGATGCACATACTGTAAAATCTGCTGTAAACACACACACACCATCCCAGTACACGATGTCAGGTCAGGCGTGTGTAAGCACTGACCTAGTACAGTGTCACTGGTACGGTGCATGAGCAACCTGAGTCACTCATTATCTGCAACAAAAAATGGGGTTTAGCGTACCCTGCAGCAGGAAATATGGCCTGTATTGATGATGTTATGTTGCGTTCTCTACACTGCAGACACGGCTGCCAGCACCCCAGTTACCGATGCACAGACAACTGCCACAGGCGCAAGCACACGGCCAGCAGAACAGTCAATCAGAAGCCTGGTAATACTCCTGCTACGCCTACTGTTTCTTGTTGTCAGCAGCATGTACCATGCATGCTCTGCAGCCTGCAATGGCTGTAGCTGTCTGTGTGGACTGTGTCCCGATGTCACAATGTGTGTATGTGGACACTGGGGAACATGCGTTCTTTGCCTTTCCTTCACTGCTATTACAAATATTGTACTGTCAGGGAAGATTGCGCTGAACACGTGATATTTAGGCATTGCTGAGACAGCATTCAGCGACTGTGCCAGACACCATACCATTGCTTCAAAGTTCATACCCAGATGTGTCTGTCCTACTCTTAGCCATGTACATGTACTAGTATATTGCACCACATTTCCGAATCACACCGGGGTACTACCAAACGAGGGTATTATCAACACTGGGGTATTACTAGTACATGTACCCACATCAGTGTGTCCCCTCCCTCCATCCGCCCCCCCCCCCCTCGAATAGTGTCGCATTCCAGTTTGTACTACCATGCATTATGACTATAAAGGCGTCAGGGCGGATTTCAGGCCCCTTCTTTCCACATAGAAGTAGGGTGATAAAATCAGTGTTTAGACTCCTGAAACACGCTTCTGCTTAGCACAACTATTGACTAATGGTGTGTCCCTGACTCTCTGTTGCTCTTGACTAATGGTGTGTCTCCGTTACTCTGGCTATGTCTAGATGGCCGGTCATGGAACTTTGAAGAGAAAGCGCTCTGGTGAGGACAGCAGCAAGGTGGCAACGCCTGAGGGTGCCGTAAAGGAGGAGCCATTTGAACCATTTGACTACGAGGCAGCGCACAAAGCTACTGCCGACAAAGGTACTGTCACAAACATGCGTAGCAGCACCCGTGCTTGTTGCATTGGCCTGTATCGATTTTGCCAGCTAGGAGGATGTGTTGAGTGACTTGAGTCAGTGTTGCATGTTTGTGAGTTCGTCTGTGAGTTTGTCTCGGTTTTTAGAGTGGTTAAAGCACTTGTTGAGAGACTTATCCCCTCTCCCCTGACTCCCTTGTGAGGTCTGCATTCAACACTGAGGATATATTGGCGAAGTGGTGGCCCACCGATGTGAATGTATTTGCTCGATGTGTTCCTAAACACATCAGGTGATGCGGCCGCGAGTCCGCCTAACTTTACTTACTTTTTAAAGCAGTGTGTTCTATACTACTACTGCACATGCATATGTAGCTTGGGTGATCGGTATCTTGGTCTGCTCTGTGTCCTCTGAATTTAGCTGCAGCTGAGCGGAAGCATACCCGTTCAAACTCGTCTTCGGCTGGCCAGGCAAAGCGGAGAGCCATCGATCCAACCAAAGACACATCATCATCGAGCTTCTCGGTACGTTGCCTAATGTTGTTGGGGTTTGTGGTGGTGCTGCTGCTGATGGTGATGCTGCTTTGTTGTTGTTGGTGGTGCTGGTGCTGCTGGTGATAGTGCTGGTGCTGCTCCACTGGGTTGGTGTGGTAATTTGCTGCCCACTGTTTTTTTTTTTGTTTTCTTTTGTTTGGCGGATAGTGGTACGCTGCTGCCACTAAGTTGGTTGTTGATGTTGCTGCACTGCTGCTGCTGCTGCTCACCCCCCCCCCCCCCCCCCGACTCATGTATACGCTATAAAACTATTACCGGTACCATTTTTTGAACAGTCCCTAACAGATATATGGTATGATGGTATTTTTTTATTTTTTTTATATACTATGCAGGGCATAGATTAACGGCCGGACATCGGACATTTTCCGGCCATTTTCGGCCACTGACCGGACGTTTTCATTTTCACCGGACATAGTGTCCGGTCAAAAAAGGAAAAAAAAGAGCAGCGACCTTTCGACCTTTTTATGCAGAGTTGGGCTTTCTTCGGCCGCTTCGTGCCAACTGCGACTTGCATATCGTACAACTAACACGTCTACACCGTAGCCTCAGGCGTAGACTTCACCATATTTTCTTGATCCGCCTGTAGCAACGCGGTTTTTTATTTTATTTTTTTATATACTTTTTTTTTTTCACTATGTTCACATAACCAGCTCGAAAAGAAGAAGGAAAGACAATGGTACGGAGACTAGGACAAACGTGACAACTAATGAGCAGGCGCTGCACCGAGACGCAGCAGTGATGGGTATACTATGTGCACATCCCTACAAAGTAAAAAAAAAAAATAGTCTTTTAGAGTGTCTTCTGGAAAGCGAAAGAGAGATTCAGAGGACTTGCCGCCGGGCAAAAAAGTCCGTGGTGTGAAGGCCGCTACTTGCGATAAGTGGATCTCGGACAATGATGCAGAGCTGACTTCTGCCGCCTGGCTGATTTATGACCGGCAGAAGAACGATCGGCTGTTAGCAGAATGTTTGAAGTGTCCCGTGTGCATCAAGTTTGTAGACAGAGTCCGCAGTTGTAAAAACTTCAGCGAGGCTTTCATAACCGGATCCAAGAACCTGAGAACATCAGCGTTCAACTTGAGGATCATGCTGGAACGGAGATGCATAAACGAGCAATGAATCTTTTCCGCAGGCAAGAGTGTCCCGCTCGAAATGCCCTCGAATTCGCTCCAATTGCGAAGGCACTGTGCGAGATGGATGATGGTGCTGCCGCTATTGCACGACGCAAATTCGAAGGTCAAGGAGCATATCGCGTTCGCAAAATTCTTGACTGCAACGCTTTCTTGTACATACATTTGTCGTCAGTAAAATAGTTCAGTTTCTAATACAAAATAAATTGGCGAATTGTGCATAGTAATGTGTGAGATACGTCCACATAATGAGTTATTGTGAATATACTTCAGTACTACTAAAAAAAAGAAGAAGAAACACCCTGAAAATGTGTTGTGGAACATGTCCGGGCATGTCCGGACAGATTTCAAAAAGGAAGGACATTTGTCCGAGCTAAATGAAATCCTTAAGCTATGCCCTGCTATGTGCACATCCCTTCAAAGTAATAGGGGTAATAAAAGAGACAAAGACAACAAAGGAGTAGTAGGTGCTACAAGAGCTGTGCTGGTCAGGCGCAGTGCACTCCTCCGACCATTTCGGTCTCGGAATCGACATGGACTGTGCGGGCCAAGGGGGCATACTATGAATGATAGACTTATGGGAGCATCTGAGAATGCAACAGAAATGAGAAAGAGAAGATCAGAAATTACACAAATGCAAATAATATAGATATTTTGTTGTTGTTGTCAGGCTGCACCCAGGAGCAAGGTGATGCCAAAGAGTGGCGAGCGAAGCAAGAGCTTCTCAAGCAAGAGGTGAGAATACAGGCTACCGCTGTTTTCTTGCAGACATCTGCACTACTAGTGATTAGTGGACTTCTGACAATGCAGTCAGTTGGCATGGCGAGCAGATATCTACGCACAGGTGTAAATCTGGCTTTGGAAAATTTATTTTTCATTGCTACCAGGTTTGGCCTCATTTCCTCTGTGCTGCGCTGATGAGTCCACAAAGGACGAAACAGTTCTGTCCGCAGATTGAGTATGTACAGGTGTATGTGTTTACACGCACATGGACTAGTGTAAGACGATAGCACAGTGGAACCTATGTAAGTGATCTGGAGCATGGAGCATGCAGCTACTTATAAGCAGGGGAAACGGGGGACACAGTCATCTGAGTCACTAAAGTCTCGTATTTACTTTGCTTCGTGCTTTCTTCACTGTTGTTGTTGTTGTTGTTGTTGTTGTTGTTGTTGTCGTTGTTGTTGTTGTTGTTGTTGTTGTTGTTGTTGTTGTTGTTGTTGTTGTTGTTGTTGTTGTTGTTGTTGTTGTTGCTACTACAGCCCTGGCGGTAGTGTGCAGTGGCCGAAGAGATAACATGTTGCAAGCAGTTCCTGTGCTGGTGGCAACCCTTCTGAGTGAACGGACCCAGGCAAGGTCAGGTGCTTAAAACTACTGTGGTTTCCGTGTGCGAGTGTGGGCTACTCTGCACCGTGGTGGTCCATGTGTGTTGGCAATTGTGAACGGGACCAGCTTGAGTGGCTAACTGTGGAAGCCTGATCTCTGACTTCAGGCCTGGGCCAGTCCACATGGCCACGCTCTGTGTCGTGTGTCCGCGTGGTGCCGAACGTTCAGTGGGCCTGGTGAGACCGGAGACATTACAACAGTCATCATCCTGGTGCTGAGATCCTATAGGACAAAGATAGCAACACAACACTGACACCCTTCCCTCTATTTGTGTTGCCTATTGTCATGTCGTGTTGTAACACTGGTGGCACTACTGGTTACATGATATTGAAGTGGACTATTTTTTTTTACTGTGCCTTCATAGATGGTGTATCATCTGCTTTTGAATATTTGAGTTGCTCTATAATTTAGTTCTCCTTGGAGTTTCTGAGCTGCGGGACTTCCTGTGACTGTCATTTTGTTTTGGTTGGTGCCGTCGGGTTATCTATGTAAGCTGCAGTCGCCTTGACCGGCCTGCACGATGCTGTCGTCCATGGCAGTCAGCATACGATTAAGGGCAGTGTACGTTGTCCAACTGTGTGCAGCGTGGGCATTGCAAGACTGTTGCAATATTGGCCACCACCTCTGTCCTTTGTGCACCGTGCCACTGGCAATGATCTTGGAGATGGGCTCCTTGCTGCTTTCGTGCATGTGGTTAGGATCATTAGGGTCGCGTGCGTACACAGTCATAGTTATACATGTACTGTATATGTACATGCCCAATGCATTGGACCAGAAAAAACCCATTTTGCGGTTGGGTGATTTTTTACGGTCACGGGTGACCCGAAACAACGAATTAATTCTGGGTGACCTTATCTAAAACGAAATGTTTTCCAGGTTGAAAGGAGGAATGGGCACTGACCAATGGCAGCACATCCCAGCAAGGCACACTTGTACTTTAGGCAGGCATAGCCTCCTGCTGATTGCATTGTTGCATGATACTTGGCTGTAGACTGGGTACCCCAACAGGCCTGGACCTACGTGTACATCAACAGGACCATCGGTAGGTGTACAATGAAAAAAACCGGCAAAGATGAATATAATACAGTCAGACCTCGCTTATCCGATCCTCTTTTATCCGGATCCCTCGCCATCCGGAAGAAAATTGTTGGTTACCGATTTTCAGCATATGTCATGCATACATACATAATGTGTGTTCGATTATCCGGTTCCCTCGCCTATCCGGATATTTTTGTGGAAAACCGATGTGTGTGGTTAAGAGAGGTCTGACTGTATTGTAGTTTTCCATCACCAATAAAACACTGGTTACCGCACAGCTTGTAGTGCTAGCAATCAAACAGGAGCCAGTAAGACCGCCTACTGCGTTGAAAGATTACTCGGACGCTCCTCTGACTGTAGTCTAGGACACGTTACCTTTTTAAGTTGCTTACGGCACAGACTTGTAGCAGTGTTGGACAGTATCTTCCAAGACACGCTCAATGATGAGCCAGGTCAATGCCAGGTAAAAGTACCTCCACAGCAGTTTCGCACTTTGAATAATAATGCTGCTAGATTACGTTGCTTGCTTAACGATTTTGGATTCATGCCACAGTTCTGGTGCGTATTTCATGCCCTACAATCTATTGCTGACACCATTGCGACCCATGTTCCTCAATCCAGGGAGGATCTCTGCCAAATTGCTTCAATGAAGATGATCGAGGTCTTGGAGATGTACTGTTCCTCGGACCTGCTATGATGGTGACCTGTTGTTGTTGGACAGTGAGGAAGGAGGTGAACACACAGATTTGAAAGAATTTAGTTTGGCGTCTGCAAACCTCTAGTCTTCGGTGCCAGCGAGTTTTTACCATTCTTTGATGACGCATAATACGATTCTGGCCTAGTTTTTCCTCATCGTGGATATGTGTGTTGGGAAAAAATTGAGTAGTAGCGCTGTGTCTCGTAGTAGTGACGAGTGGAAGTCTGTTGTGTTGGAGGCAAAGAGAATCTTCAATCCATCGTTCAACGAATGTGATGTGCACCAGCTTACCGGCATAGAGTTCTTGCGCCTGTTCCGCTACAGTGCACACACGCCATGGAAACACCGAATCCAAGACGTCAGTCCAAGTCACGAAATACCAGGATGTGTCCGTACGCACTACAAGTACATCTGCAGTGCACTGCTGCTGGAGAACATTGACATGTTACTCGGTCTGCTAAAGTGCAACCGGCAGCTTGTATCCGCTTGCGTAGATGCAGGCATTTGGGACTGTCAACACTTTAGGAAGCAAATCGTGGCCCTTGATTTGCCTAATGATCTATTGTGTGATCTGGTATTCTGTCTGGAAACGGAAATCTTCCTTGTGTGACCTTGTGTGGCTTTTGCACACTATCTTCTCATTTGCAATGATGGCGGGTAAGAACATGTGATGGTATTCGCATATTTCTATCTAAAGACTAAAGTGTATTAGATGAAGGCGGTCAGCGATTGTCCGCACAGTGTAAATCATGAGAATATCCTGGAGGTAATGAAAGAGTGCCAAGAATACCTCATTTCGATGTGTATTGCCCCTGCAGGGGATGATAAGGAAGCGTTCTTCAGATTGCTATGTGAGGACGAAAGTGTGACATCCGCCAGTCTACTCTCTCTACAAACTACACCGAAGCATGTGAAGACCGGTATCACAAGCCAAGTCACACCATTCACTATGCACGGCTTGACAACCAATGGAGGCTCTCCACAGGTGAGAGCAGAGCCCTCAACCTCTTCTGCGAGTTCCTATCCGTCTTCTGATGCCATCGTGGCCAGTTCTGCCGCTGTTTATGAGGTGGAAGCAACCTGCAGCCAAATGACAGGAATATCCTGCACAGTTACTTCACACAGCGCACTGGGCAAAGAAGCTGAAGTTGCAGTGCTGACTACATAGATGAGCTGCACGTGCAGGTTGAATGTTGAACCAACCAACGACTTCATTTCGGGACCGCTTGAAGAATTTCCTTACTGATGAGCTGTGAAAACACTCCATCGTGAACTCCCTCTGCCTTGTGTGGTTTTAGAAGTTCTGCTCGCACTTGAGCACGCTTCAGACCTACATGTACAGTGACTGTAACTGACGCATACCCATCTAGTCTGACCCTCAGTAGTTGATATGTTATCACTACCATGTAAGTTACTTATGGCATCGTTAGCAATGTGAATGTATGCTGCGTCGTTTCGGTTTTTGGCCGAGTTAATTACTCCCACGGCTTTTCTTTGACCGTTTGCGGCGCGGGGTCTTCATCTTGGTAGTCTAGACTCTGTAACGGTATTGGTCTCATCCGTGTTTCTCAGCTTCAATATACAAGTAATATATTATTCTGGGCCGCGTTTGCAGCCGACTGTACAGTAATACCAAACTGTGTTATTTTCAGCTGGCGAGCAAAAGATGAGCAAGAAAAGGTACAAGGAGTAAATTTTGGCGAATTGCTTCTCGATTCGGCATACTTCATACTTGTACATGTAGAAGGTTGCACCTTTTAGACTTATTTAATGTTTTGTCAATTCGGTTCTGTTCTTGTACCGCTTATGGCGGAAGCTCTGTAAAAAAAGTATGTAGAAAAAAAATGCAGACCAAAGCCCAGACTTTGAACATATGGTGCAGAAAAAGATTCGGTTGAAGTCACTTTGCTGCGTGCATTACTCTGGTAACACATACATGTACATGTACGCTTGCTTACAAAACAAGGCGTGTTTGCTGCTACTTCAAGTTTCATGCTCTCGCAATCATCAGGCAACACTTTGTATTACGCTCTGCCTCGGCGGTGTTGAGCACTGTCAGCACACTGGGTACATACTCCGGTGTACGCTTGCTTAGTAAGGCCATTGTCCGGAGCACGGGTGTATTGATTTATACTACAGAAGTACAAGTCGAGCCGTATGTTTGGATAGGAAGTATATGTCCCTGCATGGATACTTACAACTTCAATTGCTAAGTACTCGAAGTCTACTTTCCTGCTGCCCACGCATGTACACACCGGTCTTATCAGAGTGTTGCACCAAGAGTATATAACCCCCCGACAGTGTGCAACTCCTGATACCCTTTCTATGCGGTACGTCGACGGCGAAAACTCACATCACGTGGTGCAGTGTCGCAGTTGTACGTTTCCAGCCCGTTTTTAGCGAGCAGCGGAGTAATAAGAAAGCACTCTCTGACAGAAACTCACTGCGGGTATGCAAATCCCCAGCATGATCATGGCAGATATTCGGATTGCGCGCACGCTATCCTTCGTTTGTACGTAATACGAATGTATCTGAGACATGTGATGTGAGTTTTCGCCGTCGGAGACCCCATATGCAGAGTTTCACACTCTTGGGGGTTATAATTATACTCTTGGTTGCACTTAATACACGAAACGTGCCGAAGATCAATTTTGAACGAAGAAGCTATACACCTCTGAAAGCAGAAACAAATTCAATTCACACTTGTGTAGGCTGCTTGATAGGCCGCCAACAACTCGTTAGCTTTGTCCATTGTTGTCATAGTACCTCGTAGTATTTAGCCAGCAACACTCGCTGCGCTGACACTCGACAGCTGCATTTGACAAACTATCTTAAGATCCTGTAAGACCAGTAATGTTAACGAACATTTAATTCTAACAATTTAACGAATTTAAGAAATTTGTTTACATTTGATGTCGTTATGTACAAAACGATATGTACCTGTACAGTCATTTGCCGGTTTTGAGACGGAATTCGTTAGAATTTCACCTCCCTATTATTATTAGAAGCTTCTCCGCGTTGGCATCAATGCAATGTAGATATACACAGCATGATAGCTTTCGCATAAGCCGAAGCGACACCAGCCAAACAGGATATGGATGGCGATATAAAAACATATGCGATATAAAACGCGTGACGAAAATAGAATACAATTAAAAAAAGCAAACGAGGAGCTCAACCGAGTTGAATTTGAATTTGCTGATCATTGCCAGGGTTCATCCTTGAGCAGTAACATAATTAAACATATCTCTCCAGGATACGGCCGCTGAGGTAGCTCCACAAAACTCCGGAGATCGTTAACTTTAATTGACGTTAAAATATCTTGTCTTACAGTAGCTATTTCAACGTTGTGGTCACCATGACGTCACCATGACATCACCATGATCGGCATCAGGAGTGAAGTACTAAGTGGACATAGGAGAGGAGAGGTTACTAGTACATGTCAGTATAAGGGAAGCTCTGTGCGGTAGGGGTTCACAAACAGGGAAGCTTTGTGCGGTAGGGGTTCACAAACAGGGAAGCTTTGTGCGGTAGGGGTTCACAAACAGGGAAGCTTTGTGCGGTAGGGGTTCACAAACAGGGAAGCTCTGTGCGGTAGGGGTTCACAAACAGGGAAGCTTTGTGCGGTAGGGGTTCACAAACAGGGAAGCTTTGTGCGGTAGGGGTTCACAAACAGGGAAGCTCTGTGCGGTAGGGGTTCACAA